AAAATCACTATGCTCGATTTTGAAGCCAAAAGATTGTAGATGAGAATTGTGGAAGAACAGATGCGAGCTGATCGTTCTAAAACATAAGAGATGCAGTTACAATAAAAATATTTAAGTCTTGAGAAGGACTTCAAAGGAGAAAAGGAAAAGCTATTCAATATCAGTACTGATATGAATAGACAGTATAAATAAATGCAGGATGAATTACTTAAAGATATCAATGAGTTGAATGCTACTGTCAAAGAGAAAGATGAAGTTATTAGTACGAAAATACATCTATATACCTAGAAACCAAAGAATAATAAATAACCGATTATCGAGCTAGTTATGAGGAGAAACTGAAGAAGAAGGACTAGGATATTTCAGAATTAAGAAAGAAGATAGATGACATGTCATTAGAATTTGCAGATATGCTTAAAGAGACACTTAACAAAATGCAGGAGCGTATTGAGTTGGCTTAATGGGATAACAATTCAGATAATTAAGTTATGAGAAATTTCAAGGAAGCCTCAGGTTTTGGGAATTGAGGATGAAAAATACAAGTATTCATTACAATATTATTATTATATCTCAAATATCAATATATTTTTGATAACTATCAAGTAATCTACTAATTACTACTCATATTAAAGAGTCATTTGAAAGTACTTGGAATAGAAAGCATGTACATCTAAAAATTCTAAATAATTTTATTATAAATTATTTCCTATTTGATTCATTAATCTACTCATATAAGAAGTAGATTAACAATAATAATCTGAGCGTTTTAGTTAATTGTATTTTGTAATTCTTATTCTAATATACTTTTAAAATTAATTATTTTTCGTGAATTTTCGTGATTTATTATATAACCTTTCTGCCTTAATATTTAATTTACAGTAGGGGATGAAGAAATTGAATTCATGAATTAGATTAGAAGTCTTAAGAAATCAGTTAATTATTCAAGGCTATATTTGATTGAAATCTCACTCTAATTATATGCTACGAAGTAACATGTGATGGCAAGTGCTCGATAAATTTCGTATGAAAATCAAAAATTAACGCTTATAATACTTCAAAGCATTAATGAAAGTAATAAAATATTTATGGTACTTAAATTTTTAATAACACTGCAAAATGTAATTATTTAATATTCTATATGATTGACTGAATGGCAATCTTTATGGTTTAATTTTAAACGACAGTACAGAAGCATTAAATCAATTATTTGTATTCAATGATAATAAATTTAGAACTTCTCAACAACAGAGCATTGATTAATAGTTATAGTATAATATAGTTTCGCAAATTAAGGTTTTCTTCACTTGAATGCATATGGAAATTCATTACATGTAGTGACATTAATATTTACAAAATATTCTAAAAATTACAATCAAGTTAATATTATGATTAATAAATATATATTGTTATTCATCACAAGTACTTTTGCATACTTAGATGATATTTATGGAGTATTGGAATAAAATGAAATCAAGAATTTCACAATTTAAGGTTACTATACCACATAAGTTTCATTTTTGTCATTTCAGGGCCCCATCTAATTTGCTAGGGTATCAGAGGATGGAAAATTAGTTGAATTGAAACCAATACCTGGAACATATTTCTTTTATGATTATTTGAATCTCACAGATTCATCATCTGTAACATATAGAGCTTATGGCTCAAAAGGAGGAGCAACATATCCGCAATATAAATTTTCAGTATAACTTCATCATTATATTAGACTTCAAACCGATAAATTGATTATTAGACTCCCTCTCTTGCAGTATATAAGAATCAACCTATAAACCATAGATCTGAGGATGGTTATCTCATTCTCGACATCCCAATGGTTTTATAAAATGATGGAACCTTCATCAAAAACGCACACTTTTTATTTAATGTTGGCCATTAAGAAGATAAGGAGTTACTCAAATTGAGTTCGTCATATCTATACTCTTCAAAAGAATAGCCAAAGGATTATTACTAATCAGATTATAATGAAATGACATTTTCGAACTATTACACAACCTTTTATATCAAATTGGAGCCAACAAATACTTATGATTATTTCGCAGTGATATTATAGAATTATGAATTACCCATTGGTGGTTCTACTTTTACAATAAATTACAATGATTCAAAATCAAACACATGGATTTGGATCTTGGTTACTTTAATTGTTGTTGTGTTGATCATCTTTGCTGGGTGGTACTTGAATCATCTAAAAAGAAAGAGGGAAGTGAGAGAGGACCCATAAAACTTTTAGTAGACATTTTAATAATTTAGTTGATTTTATATATAATATACATTAAATATTTAATAAAATAATAAAATCAAAATGAACTTATCACAACTATAAGGAGTGCTTATGTAAGAACCAATAATAATCATGTTGCTTTGTTATTTGCAATGACATGCTATGTAAATTGTTCAGGTTGTAACACATGAGTGAGAAATTTTAGTGATTAGATGCCCACATAAATTGCAAAATAATCCTAGAACTATAAAGAGGACTTGGTTTCCACTGTTTTATATTAAGTTTATCACAAGATTTAATTTCTTAAAAGATACCTTAAATGATATCTTCTAAGAATTCGAAATTATTAAATTCCTTGTTTGAAATCTCAATTATTATAAAGATATGTTGCTGTTGCTGATAAATCTACATAATATTCTTAAATGAATGTATGTTTTAATATTAACTGATATAAAAAGTATGGTCTAACAATTTATATATAATAATCTATTTATATATTAATAATACCCTCTATTGCAGACCATAAAATTTAAATTCATGAATAGATAAGGATTAGTTTAAATCATTTTATTGGATTTCTATTAATTATTTCATGTCGCTTGTTAGTATAATTTTTATATAAATCAAAGTGTAATAAACCGAATGAATAATCCATATTAACCTTATCGACCATATTCTATAGTAGGGAATACTCCTCGACAGAATCCAAACATACTCTCTTATGTGGATTCTGTGTTGCAGAAATCAAGGAATACGTATGGACACCGACCATCAGATCCTTAGGCTAGATATTCATAATCTTATGCTAATACAGGGATCATAAAAACAGATACAGATGTTAAGAACTTAGGAAGTTCTCCTTTACTTGTTTCTCAAAAATCAATGGTGCAACAATAGACATTGAAAAGCAAACTCGAATACGTATCTCCTAAGAAAAGTGACTAAATTTAATTTCCAGCAGAGCAGTATCAAATCACTGGTTTTGTAAGTAATAACAATAAAGTGGAGAATCAAAATGTATGGATATAATTATTTTTAAGAAGGTGTAAGTGATTTCAGAGTAAGAGAAAAATGAGGTGCCAAAATATAAGAATTTTATAACAATCAAGAGATTGGGTGTGGGTAAATACAGCCAAGTGTTTTTGGCAATTTAGATTCAGACGGGATTCTTGGTTGCATTGAAAGTGATACAGAAAGCATAAATAATCAAGGAGAAGATGTAAGGTCAATTGGCTTGGGAAATCAAAATTCAATATCTCCTAGAACATCCCAATATCACAAGATTGTATACTTTCTTTTAAACTTGTAAGATTAATAAAATATCTGCTTAGAAACTGAAATCGTTTTAGTGTTAGAATATTGTTCTCATGGACAATTGAACACTGTCCAACAGACGAAACAGAATAAGAAATTCGTTGAAAAGGAGGCAGCACAATTGGTTTAATAGATTACATTTGCGTTGATGTACATTCACAATCAAGATGTCATCCATAGAGACATTAAGCCAGACAATATTTTATTGAGTTTTGGATAGGTTAAACTAGCAGACTTCTCATTCTGCGTATATTCTCCAGATGAATACAGACAAACTCAATGTGGGACATTGATATATGCATCTCCTGAAATCTTAGAAGGGGACATGTATGATAAGAAGATAGACATATGGGGTTTGGGAGTTTTAACTTATGAGCTTTGTTTTGGCAAGCCTCCCTGGAAGGAGAACCAATAAGAGTTAATGAAAACAGTATCTATATCTTTAATATAGGCATGCTTCATGATACCTTATACTGCATCTAGGGATCTGAGGGATTTCATAGAAAACCTAGTTAAACGGTTGTCTCGGGAGAGATACACAGCATAACAGGCCTATAATCATGCATGGTTGCAGAGGAGTATGTAGGTGCTTCCGTTTTACATTTAATCTAATGAAGCTTTATTTAATTGATGGATATTATGTTTTATTGTATAAAATTAATCTAATTCAATTGATTCAGGTTTTGCTGATTTGATTCAAGAGTCAGAAGGTGATTGGGTGTATGGATACTCTATTAGTACTTAGGGAAGAATAGATGAAAGTAAGAATTGAGACTTGAGATATTAAATTTATTTGGAGTTCAAAAATTAGATCAACACGATAATGCATAGGAGATGAGTATATATAAGTTTGAAATAATTATATAATATCTATTCACAGTTGATTGAGGACGATTTCATTTATCTTTTAGTAAAAGTCATTAAAGGGAATTAAAAAGTCCAATTCATTTGGAGGTTAAAATTGGAAATTGGATTGGTCAAATAACTATTGAAATTGGAGGTCTTGGTCAGTCATTTTGAAGGTGCGTTTTGAGACTTTGCAAGGTACAACAATGAGTTTGGATTTAGATTTCTTTAATCTATAAATGAGTCTATAGTTATCTGAATCAAAGGTGACTAATTTCTTCCTGGGACTTACTAGATCATTCAATTTTTGTGATAAATCATCTATGGGGAGGACATCTTCTTCAGGTCCTTCAGTTTTTGAGATGTCATGTATGATAAGATCATCCAGATCAAGATCTTCTTCAGTTTTGCAGATTTCTGGGGTAGCTGAAAAGTCTATTTTCTGGACAACTATATTGTTGAGTAAATCTTGGACATATTTGGCACCAAAGGTTTTGTCGAAGCTCTTCTATTTCTTTTTGAAAGTATACAATTTACGGATAGTAGTGTTCATAAATTTAACGAATAATATAAAAAATAATAGATATATTTATATATATATATTTTACTATGCAATAAAATGACTTTGTCACTCAGATGATTCCGATTTTGTTGGCCAAATTGAGTGCGTCGTTTTCACCTCCCAATCTGATGTATGCCTTCTTTTTGCCTCCGAAGGTATTTAAGATCTGAATATAGGCATGTAAATATTACGTTGACTTTTCTCACTTTGACTTCGTAGATCTTAGAGAATGCTCTTTTAATTTATGGTTTAGTTGCTTTTTAATTGACATAGAAGACCATGGTATTTTCATCTTCCATCTTCTTCATGTCCTTTTCTGTAATGAGAGGATGTTTGAGGACATTTTAGAAATCCAAACCTTTGGTAATGGGTTTCAATTATCTGGTCAATCTGGTGAATCTAGGTTTCCTTGCAAGTGCCAAAGGTTTGGCTGTGTGGAATCTATTTTGGAAATGAGTTCTGGCTCTAATAACCTTCTTTGCAACTCTAGCATTTTTAGCAGCCTTCTAAGCTTTTTGTGTAGTTGTTGTCTGTCCCTTTGGCATTTTATTTAAAATAATTTTTTAAATCTTTTTTCTTTCTGAATTAATTAATAGAGATTTTTAATATAATCAACATGAACAGAAACACCCTTGATTGACATTGTGTCTTAGAAGATATTCGTCCCTATTGACTTCTGAATCTCTGGGATGAACCAATTTCAAAGGCACAGCTAGAGTGCTCACGCAATGAGATTTCTTTTTCATCAATTTATTTTTCTTAGACACATCTAACCACATATTGTTTTCATCCTGACTGACAGCATTAGTATCTTCTGGTGGAGTGACAATGATCGTGGGTGGAGATGTCTGTGGTAGCACAGGACCAGAAGTATAAGGAGATTCATCTTGTGAACTTTCACCCCCAGATTTAATAACCTGCAATTTAGAGTTATCGGATATGGAGGCATCTTTTTCTGGTGGCTTGTAGGATACAGGTCTGCTTGATTTGATCCCACTGTTGGACATGTCTCCATTGTTGGATTTGCCTTCGACGAGAGAGCCCCTTCGAACTACTTTGTCACCAGAATCGATTTATCTTGCTTGAATCAAAATTTCTATTAGCTTAATGATGGCATTTTCGATGTTGATATTCTCTTTTGCAGATACTTCTTGGAATAAGAGTTTCTGTTTTCTGGCGAAGAGCTGACCCAACTCAATTCCGACTTCTCGACTCAGATCGATTTTATTTCCTAACAACATCTTTATTGCTGGTCTTTCGCATTTGCTAGTTTGCATCATGATATAAGATACTCCTCGAAATCAGCTATCCACCCATTGACCTATTCGAAACTTTTCATGTTTTAAATGTCATAGACAATCACCACTGCATCACAACCTCTATAGTAATTCTTGGTCAAGGACCTGAATCGCTCTTGTCCTGCAGTGTCCCACAATTGCACCTTTACTTATTGGTTGTTTATAGTAATTACTTTCGATTCCTTGGGTAATCAAAATTTAATACGCATGCCACTCCTACAGTGCTCATCGATTTCATTGCAAATTCGTTTTTGAGGAATCGCTTAATGATCGAGGTTTTGCCAACTGAACTGGACCCCAAGAACACAATTTTAAAGCAAAGTTATCTAAATAGTATATAATAATAAATACATGTCAGATTTGATTTAAAAGGATTGCTTCATTAATTTATTTAAAATGTCAGAAAAAAATAATGAAATCGAAAGAGGATTATTTGGATTAATAATAAAAATGCGTAAATTATAAAGAATATAAAATTATTCATTAAATGTATCCAAATACATATGTTATTGTTTTATGGAATATTAATTTTTGCGTATTGAATGAGTTTGACATTCGAGAGACTCAAGAAACAAGATTTATTGTTGGCAGCTGTCCTTTACGAGAAAATACCCAAAGAGGAATTGATTCAACATCTGAGTCAAGTCAAGGGAGAACAATTTGATTTGATTGACTCATGGAGCTATGAGGCCCTGGAAGCCGAAGTCAAACTCATGGTCGAGAAAAAGCATGATGAATTCAGGAGGACCAGGTATGAATACAAGATATCATAAGAACAATGAGCATTGAGGAGGAGATCCTACTTAAACCGAATGTCATAATCAATGATGAGAAACACTACAGAGAGACGATCTCATGCAAACAATTGCCTCCAAATAGGATTGTCTTGTATTACGTTGAGAATCCTCAAATTATCATACAGCCCAGAATTCCAGAATATAAGATAATAGAAGGCAACACATTCACCCCAAATTATGTGAACTATTGTGTAGTCGTTGGACAATTCGGTTCCAATGTGTGGAGAAGAGTCGAACACTTCTATTGGCTACAAGAGTCCTTACAGTAGTAATATCCAGATAGTTTGATACCACCACTTCCTGCTAAAACCCTATTTAGAAAGTTCACGCCTGAACACATTTCCAAAAGATGCAAAATGTTAGAGCAATTCTTGAGTGCTATCCTAAATAACCATTTGTTGAGACAGTCCGACTTTATTGAAGGCTTTTTGTTTATAGATGATGATATCAAATTCAAATAATTATTGGCTGCTTCCACAGTGTTGAAACAACCAACCAAATTTAGTGATTATGCAAACCAAGAAGGATAGGTCATTCTGGAATTCAATCCAATGATGGATAAGTACTTCATGGACATTAATAAGTAATAACAAATTCTATCCATAGTTACATGTTGAACACTAATGACATCTACAAAGAGTTGACTGACAACTCTAGGTTTCTGGTAACCTCTATGAAGGATTTCATTGTCAAAGTCAAGAATCTGGGAGGCAGCATTGGTTCTCTGAAGGAAGCTACGAAGGCCTTCAATTTAAAAAATATTGTTGGTAGTCTCCCTTTATTGGAATTTGTGTATACTCTACTGGAGGAATACTTGGTAGATTGGAGCACCAATCTAAGCAAGCTGGCCAACACCTTGAATGAAAATCTGTATGAGTTCTTCAGATTTTAGAGGGACATGCAAAATCAGTGTGTGGAATTGATTTCCAATAGAAACAAAGCCCAATCCAGGTACCTCAAGGAGTTCTAGGATTTGATGAAGAAGAAACACAAATACTTTACTACTGAACCCATTGAGAAATGGGAAATGGTTACGGAAATGGATAGGATAAAGATTAAGCAGAGTTAGGTACTCTCCTACCATTTCATGTTGCCTAAAGAAACTCAAGAGGTTGAAGATTTGAAGATGAGATTCGCATACATCAACAGATAAGCATACCAATAAATCACTCAGTACTTCGATAATAAGGGTATATCTTATACGACGAGAATGTGCAATATGAGTATACGGAAGAAGGAGAATGCTGCTTAGCATACGCAACACGTGGAAAGGATAGCCTCGCAGTTTATGCAGATTGTGGCTATGAGGAATGGTGAGATTCCGAATCTGAAACAGGAATGGATCGATCAATACCTCAATCCACTCAGAATTAGTTGCATTGTTAAGTGAGTATTGGGCCACAATTATTTTATAATAATTTATTAATCATTATAATTTCATTATGGCCACATTGGTGCATTCTTCAAATTTGCCATTAGAATATTAAATCATTCCTTTTTTATAAATGAAGGTGCCATCACTCAATCCAATCAACCCGTCCAAACCATTCAATGCATTTATTAACAAGTGCTGATAGTTCTTGGCATCACTTTGATTCATCATCTTGTAATCATTCTCATCGATCTTCTTATTCCTTTCTATTAATTTTATTTCCACCTCCACCGGGTCTTTGTAGTAAAGACTTGCGATCTGTTGAGCCTTCCTTAGAATTTAAACTAAGATTTTAGTATAGATGCTGATGCTTTCAGGCAAAGCATTCCCATTGAATCTGGATTCATTGCTCATTGTTGAAATTACCAAAAAGAATCTATACAGAAGTAATAGTTATTAATAGCATACCCAAAAACAAACCCTGTTATGAGGATGATAATCATTTCAAAGAAATCAATGTCAAAACAAGTTATGAACAATTAGAATACAATCAAACCACTTGTTAAGATATATAAAGATTATTGATGCAATTACAGATCTTTCTCATTATTAGCAGATAGGACACTCAAAAATTGTGCTAGCACTTGTCCTCCATAAGTGAATATTATCATCAAAGCTACATTCATATTATTCACAGCTTTTATGCAGGCAAATAAAAAATAGAATAGAATTACGAATAGTATATAGAGTATTGAATTATCTATTACAAGAGACAACACTGATATGAATAGAAGTGCTCCTAAAAACAAATACAGAAAATATCCATTTTGATTAAAGAATGCATTCATCGATTCAAAATCAATCTAGTTAGTATAAATAAGCTACTAAATTAAACAACGCAATGAAATAGCATAGGAGCATCATAAAGTAGAGTTTAGTTAGGTGGTGGAGGTGAAGGTGCAAATGTTCCGATGAATTTGAATTGATATTCTCTTATTCCGGTAGTTAATGATTATATTGCAAATTCTGATTAACCTACATGGATTACCCTAATCTTGGAGATATCACATATCTGGATTGAGCATTCGGAATAAAGGCATTGGGGGTTTAACTGCTAAACATTAATTTATATGTGAAATTATTTATTTTAATAAATCTCATTTGAAGTTTTGAGCATACCATTTCTTAGTAAACTCATCGCAATCAAGCAATTGGAATTTCCATCCATTTATGACGACCTCATTCCCAACGATGAGATCATTTGGAGTGAAGAACTCATTGTTGTTATTGACATTTTTGTACTTCCTCTTTTCCAAGAACTTCCCATCAGGAATTCCTATTAAGAATCAGAATATCACATACCTGAGTTTCGCACTGTTGGTTCATAGACCAAAAGACTGTCATCATTTAAGAAGAAAGTGATTACAAATACTCTGTCCTTGTCTTCTGGTTTGGTTGTGTTGAACATGGCCAGAAATCTAAGATTCACTTAGTTATCAACCCATTTAAAGAAATCCTTCTTCGGTGGTATGGGTTACAACCTGTAGATGTATCCGAGTGAATCCTACTCATCTCCAATACCATTGTGAGGAGGGATAATGATATCTAGATAGATTTTAATTGTTTTTTATTACTTGATCTTTCTTGTTGCACTTGTTCCTCTTATCCTCCTAATGGGAAGTCTACATTGAACTTCTCTAAATAGTAATATCTGGTGAATTGATCACAACCGTTGATGAAGAATTTGCGATTATAAATAATGAGTGGTTGTCCGTATTAAATATCTTGTGGTCGGATGAAATCTTCAGCATAAGTTTATCCAGGTTGATTGAGTGAGAACTTCCTGGGGAGCTTTTACCTTCTCAACATCATGGGGAATGGAACTCTTCCGGAGTTGGCTGAATTGATTTCCTTGATTTCAATGGTATCATCTGCTAGATAGTAATGAAGAATATATTCGATATCTGAGAACACATAGAATTTAAGAACCTAGAGATTAAACTAATTTAATTTGAAACCTTTCTGTCATTCTCTAAAAATTGCTTTTAGGATGTCACTCGACCACCTCCTAATTTATGTTCTAAGTAATCTTTCATAACAGTATCTTTTTGAGGAATGAATTTAGTCATCGTCTTGGTTTCAAATGAGTCAGACTGAGGTGCAAAGGAGGGTTGTTATGGTATGCCTTGTAACTAAATGAAATTAAAGACTCTTGAGATACCTCGTAAAACTCCCTTGTATATTGATCACAATCGTAGAGACGGATCGTCTTTCCAAAGATGATGATGTCTTGGTTGATTCTGAAATCCTCAGGGAGAATGAAGGTCTTGGAATCATCAGCTCGTAGAACCTAGGAAGATCGTAGGTATGCTATACTTTCTGTCTTTTCAAGAATGCTCCTTAAGGCACTCCACTATTCTCCTACTTGGGTTCAGTGATGCTTAAGGAGTGATCCTCAAGGTAGTAGCAAATGGTGATTTTGCGAATTCTGTAATTTTCAAGTGCAGACTCGACCACAGCTTCTTTGAAATAGCCGCTAAATCGTAGAACATGTCTATCCATTTTCACCCAAGATGGTTGATACAATTCTTCAGAGTCATTGGTTACATTCTAAAGAGTGTAACTGTTTTTAATACTTTGGGGAGATGCATGGCATGAGTAGTACTCATATAATCAGGATTGAACATGCCACTTTGAGGAGGTATTTGAATTGGTTGTTTACGAGGTACTGCATACTCCTTATTTGGAAGATGATTGACTTCTCTATTCTATTCTTGTTTAGTGGATGAGACTTTTCTGAAGTTCGGTTTCTAATTGAAGTTATTACTATTAAAATACATCAATCTCTTGAGTGGGCACGAAACCTGGCAATTTGGGAAAAGCAGATGCCATTTAATTTATATTATTATTAATTATATATTTAATTCATTCAGAAATTTGATTAGTATCATCCAAATCTTAATTCACTTGAGTACTTAAGCATTTCGATTCCTCATCCGATTATTGTCGATTGTCATCTTCAACATTGAAGTCAATTTATACTTAGAAAATGTTTTGCAACTTGTGATAATAACATTATGATTACCTATTCTACGCCCTTTCGGATCTACACAACTGGATATAAAAAGTGATATGGAATAGCCAAGATCTCCTTTAATTTGCACAATATGAATTCAAAATCTTGCTTGTTTTTATTCAAATACTCAGACAATCCAATCACATTAGAACCAAGTTCAGCTATCATGCATATAATTCCAATCGTGTAATCCAGATCATCCTTCTGTAGGACCTCCATTAATGTTTTGGCTCGAGCAGTCTTTGATTCAACGCCCTATTCATATGAGAATATCAATAGGATTCTGGTCTATTGCAATCCATCCTCCATAAGCAGGATTTCCTTTAAGACTTCAGTTATCTTCTCCAATGAAGACCATGAATTGTCATTGTCCAATATTTGAATCAGAATTTCCTAAATGACTTTGTTACTGACAAAATGATCATTCCAACAAATATGCTTGATCATCTAAATCAATTGCTTTTGATGCGTAACCATGGATAAGATGTACTTTCTAAACCGATTCTGCTATAACAATTCTTCAATCCACTCTTAATCTAATTCAAACCTTGGTGATCCCTTATGCAAATATGTTGGACAATCTTGATTCGATAACATACCAACTGTCTAAGAGTATCTAATCATCTTCCCCAATATTTCCCAAATTAGGATCAGAGTATCATCCTTTAACTAACTATTGGTTGGTGAAGTTGCCTTCAATTTCTCCATTAAAATCTCATAAAACTTATAGAAGTAACCAACCTTACCATTCTGCATTAACAAAGTGAGCAAACCCTCATGCTTATCTATATTATAACTAATCACTTCAAAATAGTAAACTCCATTCTTATGATTTTTACTTGCAATAGGCAATAATTCACTTAGATAAAACTAAAAGAATGGCTCTACACTAGATGAATCATAGACACAAGCTTATTCAATCACTAAATTCAAGAATTAAGCAATTTCAATTAATTGATGTTCAATTAAACAGCAAATCAATATTTCCTTGTTGAATCTAAACTACTCAAGTAACCACACACATGTTGAATGAGTTTGATTGTAGGAATTGTTCAGAATTTTGAGGTTATTCTAAAATTACTAGACATCCTTGTTCTTCAAAAACTATGTAAAAGTGAAGATGGTGAACAATTGAAGCAATTGTGCAAGAGATTGAAACTAGTTACTCTCCATACCCACCTACACCAGTCTTTAAACAAAATTCACATATTCTTGAGCATTCAACAATTTATTTTCTAAATACTGTGTATTCTATTTTATCACCTACTTTCTCAACTGTTCTATGTTAAGATCCTCATCCTCACTCTCTATTTCAATATTGTTTTGGTTAGTCTTCTACTAACTTGCCTGCTTCTCTTTCTCATAAAATAACATATAGGCATTCTTGCTATTTGGTATCCCCCACTCATTATTTTGATCGCCTCCAAAGCACTTCTCCCTCAAATTCTGAACATCAAAGGGAGTGACCAACTTATCATTGAATTCAAACCATTGATTTTTGCCATCTCTGATGTAGGAGAAGTAATGACCTCCTTCAGCACTTCCTGTGTGAACAAGAACACCTTTCAAAACGTACATATACTCTGAGAAATCCTCCAGTTACTGCTGTTGAACAATATTATCACGAGTCCATTTGAACATATTGAGTTCTAAGGGAAATTCCCAATAATCATTGATTTTGCTACGAGTGTTGGTATTGAAATCAAATTCAAATCGTTTAAGATGGAAAATGAAGGTTTTGGGTAACTTAGTGAAGTAACATCTCTTTTCCACATCGATCTTACGTTAGACTTCATCACAAAAGTATTGATTTTCCCCATCCAAAACATCAGATTTAACAAACAAATCCAATGCCTCATATAAACTCTTTTTATTTTTGATCTCAACAGAAACAGTCAAAAAGGGCTCTTCTGTTTCCTTCAAAAAATCACAATCGGATTCCAATGACTTGATTTCATTTACCAAAGTACCTCCAAAACTTTGTTGTATGAGGTTTTATTAGATAGTATGCTTCAAATCCTATTCTAACTTTACAGTTAACAGATTAAAGAATTCATTGCAATCTTCCTGAATCAGAGGATTGATCTATTATCCATCAAAGCCTTTGAGTGTCTTAATAAACTAGTTGGGATTGATGTATTATTTGACTGATTCTTAGAGTTAAATGAAAACCAATTGCAACTGGAATAAGGTGTGTTCATTCAAACTTTAGATCTGCTCTTGATTAGCGTAATTGGTTATTATGAGTTATATTCCAAGCTCAGTCTTGATGAGAATTTACCCATTCAAAATACCTCTCCGAAATTGAATATTCATAAACAACTACTATAGAAGCGAATTGATATAGCAAGTTGCTCCTAAATTGCACAGACCTACAAACCCATGTTCTCTTTTGATGCCAAATTCCGCATTTGATTCTTGAGAACTTGTTCTGGTTTGCTGGTTCATTTGAATCAGATCTAGTATTTAATAGAGATGCGATTAGACTTTACTTAACTCTAACAATAAATCAAAAGCTCTCTTTCTTGTATTGCTCCTCTTATACACTGGGTAGAGTAAATAGTTGTTGTGCATTTCAAACAAACACTCGTAGATATATTTAGAAAAATGAGTATCGATTAGATTATTCGATAATTCTCTATCCTTCTTCAATAAAGATATCAGCAACACCAAATTGCCTTACAAGACTTTATCTTCATTCTCCATAAATGGTGATTCAATTATTGGTCTATTCTAAATGAAATTTATGACTTTCAAACCCAATTCCCGAGTTTACAAAAAGGAAACGTCGTTTGCTTACTCAATTAATTCTGCAATCACAATAAACAATTCTTCATATTCAGTCTGTCCTTAAATCAGTACTGGCAGAAATTGGATGCTCAAGTTGTATCCAAATTTGATGCCAATATCACTCAATGTGACGATGAAGTTTGCAACCATTTAACGTTATTCAAATAAAGGATTATTCAATAAATTCAGCAATTCATTGATTGGAAATTGGCACTTCAACAAAGTAGGTTAAACAAATATTATACTCAGTATTACGGTGTAGCATTATTCAATACCTATCCAATGAAACAAGTCATTCAACAAATTCTCCCAGTTGATCTCAATATCGAATTTTTCACATGTCACTAAGGCTTATGCTTATTCGTCTTGAATAATGTCCTGGGAAGCAAGCTAACTCTTAACTTGATCATTGGTTTTCAATTTAGAAAACAGCAAATAATTATTATCTGCGAACTCCTTGCCAACGTAACTATTCAAATACATTTGAAATATCTCCAATATTATGAGTACTATTTCTAATGGATTATCAAGATTATTCAATAGCAGTTATAAACCACCATTTTTAATGAAATTATATCTCAATATCCTGTAATTATCTTCATCTTCCACACAATCACACGACAATTATTCCTTTAATATTTGTAAGTGATATTGTAATCGATATTTGTTATCAACTATTAATAACTTACTCCAATCATTCTGCGATGATTCAATCAATTAATAGACTTCCTGATTACTGGGAATCATCTGTAAGATACTCCATATTTTAGTATTTAATTGCTGATTGTTGCAATTAAATATGTTGAATAATTAATCGATATATTAATTGGAAATTAGAAATGCAAAAGAAGAGTTAGTCTATATTATTTTTGGAGGAGGTGCTTTATTGAGATTCTTCTATTGATACTCATTATATAATTAATCGCCTATGTCAATGAGTTCCCCTATGGTATTATCTACATCAAAGTTCTTATCCTTCAAAACTGATAGGATAAAGTGTTTGTTCTGGATGTTGACAATGTCCTGAATCTTATTCACTTTCTCATGGAAATCTAAGTCATGTTGTTCATAAGTTTCAAAATCGTCATTGTAACCCTACTTATTAGAGATGGTGAAGGTCAATTTCTCGTTCACTTTGTAATCTTTGAGGGTCTTGTTGTCTTTGAACAAGGAACCTCTGCAAAAGATATCAAATTCTTCTGGCTTCATAGATGGGTTCAATTTCTATCCAATGAATTACTTAGCCTGATAAACTTATAAATTAGATTGCAATTAGATTTCCTATTTCTTGGGATTCAAGGCATTTGCACACTTGTTAAGGATGGTTATAACAATCTTTTCTTCTTAATCTATCATCTTATACCCTTCAAACTCTTCCAATAGTTGTAGAACAAATTGGATAGAAGTGGGATTCTGGATGTGTGAAAAGAGTTCTTCTAGATATTGCTGTTTCAAATGATTCAGTACATTAAGGGATTGATTCATTTTTAATAGTTTGATGAAGAATTCGGAGAGTTGATTGTACAAATCAGGGTGAGTGTGAAATATCCTCCACAAAACGTTGAGACCTATCAGATCGCTGTTACCTATTTGGTAGGCATCATAATTCACTACTTTAATTACCCTGTATTTCTGATTGTAATACAGAATCAATTTGATCAAACATCTAAGCATTGATTATGACAATGGAGTTTATTTGATTATTTTAATGAATAACCACATCATTGCATCATAATCTAAATTTAATTATTCATAGAACCAGTCAAAAAACAAGTCTCTCTCCTCCATGCATCTTGAATTTTCAACTAGCAATCTCCATAATATCTATAATTCATATTGTTTAATTTAACTATTCTAATGTAAAAATTTATAGAAATTAACACATTGAATAATCACCTACAAGTATTCTTTCTCCTCCTTAAAAAGATACTTTAATTTTTCTCTTCTAATCAAACTCAAAAAGCTGATTTTTAAATTATACTACTTCTACATCCAATTCAACACATCCTTCGAATTGAAGAATTGCTCTATCGGATAAGAGGATTGAATGATTTGTTGAATTAAATTAAAGTAATCCTAGATTGGCAATTGAGCTTAATCCAAATTCAAAGCCTATATTGCATTGATCAAGTATTAGATTCTCAGAAATTTAAATTGATGGCAAATTAACTAAATGGCAATTTCGAATGCTGTCTGGCCTATGATGGTATTATGTTGATCATGAACCACATTTAATAGGTATTCCACAATTTAAGCTTTAATATCTTCATATTAGGTTATCTATTGTTCCAAATTCTGTTTATCAGACAAGCACTAATTTTAAGAATCTTCACAATTCCCGATTGATATCACCTTGCAATCATCATTAGTAAGCTTTTATTTTTTATACGTATTATCAGTGACATCGGAGTCTTGGGCATCCTGAAACTTGTTTAGGTATTTGTTACGACCCAAACTCTTTATGAAATTGAGACCATCCAAACCGATTTAGTTGGACTGGATATTTTGGAACATTATCTGAACATCTTCCAAATTTAATATTTCTGCAAGATCCTATAATAAGGTTGAGATTATATTAATCCAGGTTTCATGTTTACCTCTGGCCAATCTGAGGATACTAATTAATTCCTCTCTTTTTATACTTTTATTCTCATAAAGAAGTTTAATTAGAGGGAAGGAACGTTTGATCAATTCAAAATGGGTTTTCTCTCCGAATAAATCCTAGAACACTTGATTTTCCACAAGGAATTTCAATAGGTTTTTATTGACCTGCGAATACTGACTATAATTTGGCTGTGTGTCGATCATATTGGATAGTGATTACAATCCTAATAAAATACATTTTATGCTGATTACCATATATACGTTTTTGGAGTGAAGAACAACGGAGGCATTACAAATACATGGTCATTTACACCAAATTTATCTATGCTTTTTGCTCGGAAAAGCTACTGACGAATGATATTAGGTTTGCTATGTATGCATTGAATTTTGCGAAAGTTTCTTTGCTTGCATTTTTAATATCTTCATCACATAATTACAAGGCAACTTATTAATAGTTGATGTGTTGAAAGTTGGTTGTGAATACCATTTCATTGATATTCGTTTTAAAATAACTCAAAAGAGATAAGGCATTTAAGTGTTTGAGAGTGAAATTAGATAAAGATTCATTTATAAGTTCAAAGCCACCATTCTTATAAAAGTAATGAATTTGCATACGTAAAAATGGTGATAAACTAAGGACATTCTCGGCCAAGTTACGTTTACTGAGAATCTCATTTTGAAGAGGGTAAAACAATTGTATTTGAGAATTGCTAATATAACTCTCAGCTTAGTTTTATATGTCGTAAACCTGTCTCTCATAATAGAATTGATTGATGAGAGATTTATAAATTGATAATTCTGATACTCGACTGTTGTAGAATTATGTAAGATGTGATGGAATCACCAAATAAAAGAATTCAAGTGATTAAATGGGGTGTTGTTTCCATATTTTGAATGCCAATCTCTAAACCAAAAATAGAATCTCATTTAGATAACATTGTAACTTCATACGATTCTGAACAAATACTCTAATTGATAGAAATTATTATACATTTAGTTCATAATAAAAATAATGAATGGCTATAATCTTTGTCTCAAATATTGCGGCAAAATAGACATGTTGCTAACTCTGTCCAACAATATTGCTTTTAATTCTATTTCCAAAATACATAAACATTCAATCCATTCGTCCTTTTAAGCCATCTACATATTAATACTTTCTCCTCTTACCTTTTGAATGCTTGATTCATCCAAATTAATCAATTCTTAACTCTCCTGAAATTCCTTTATCTTCTTGTACGAACTATCAACATCTATCAACCTGAAACCTTCACATTCTTGTGATTTTTAAGAATTCATATATATCTGAATTTGATAATTTATTATAATAAATATTATTGTACAATAGGCACTATTACACATCGAATACACTTATGAACAATATCATCTCAGAAAAATATATCAATCCTTATATACATCATTAAAATGGATGATCAAAAGATTATTTGTATTCTTCATCAATAGATGAGGGAAGTTGTCCATTGATTTGAAATCAATTAGAAATTCTATTGTAAAACTCAAATAACTAATATTAATATTGATATTAATATTATTCATATCTTTATAGTCTCTCTGTATTATAGATTACATAAAAAAATAAATCTATGCTTAGATTTATGGACATCAAATAAATATATGATCTTTAGATTAAACACAATATATATTTTTATATTATCATTAAAATTGATAGCTTTAAATATGTCAACCATTTTTCGTTTTTTTTTTGGGTAATTCTGTTTTTTAAACTATATAATTTGTTTATTTAAATACTACTTTGTATAACTTTAAACACAATTGCTATTTTTAGGCTTGAAATTTCATAAGAGCTCAAATATATGTAAACATGTTAGTCGATGGTGATTATTGAAACAATTAGAGAATGCTATTATGTGTATCCTATGTATCAGAAATTATTAAGAAATTAGTTTATAGATTATGAAAACATATTATGCTACACTTCAAATTTATTACAATAAGGTTTTAATATAAAATCTGGAGAAAATTTTGTATACTGGTATTCATAACAATAAACAGACACCTAATCGAAACCTGTATTCTCTGAATTCATATATGGAATAAGGTTTCAAGTTATTAAATGCATTTTTGCATTTAATAACTTACTTCGTCCTAATTGAATTGAAAAAAAAAATAATAAAAATTATGAGTTATTTTGCCTATTATATCATCTTTAGCTCTTATTCTTATTATAAATTCTAATAAAACATATTTATTATTTAAGTTAGACCTCTGTTGAAGTGTTTATGGTGAAGTATTACTTTTATTGGAACTTTAATAAATTTAGAATTTAATTTTAATACTTTTTTTGCATCATAATTATTTATGGCTTGTTCTCGTTTTTCTTCCAGTGAAGGATTGATTGTTATTATTTCATATATTTTGATCCTATGATGTCAACTTTTTACCTAATAACTAAAACAATAAATATGTTATCTATATATCTAAAATATGGATTACTTATAGGCTACCATGGGACAACATTTGAATGTAACATTTAATGGTATTTTGTTTATAAAATTTTTGGTTTTCAAAAGAGTTATCATAGAGATAGCTAGAATTTAATATAAAGGGGTATATGGATGAATAAAATTGATTTATCCAGAAAGGTGAGATTTATAAAGGCATATATTTAGAGATCCTAAAAAATGCTCAAGTAAGATACTTGCTTAAAGAGTAGTATTTGGATGATGAACTACTAGAGTGGTTTGATTACAATATTTAATAGGCTTGGAGGTAAATTATCATTGAAATAAATAAAATTAATCAAATTTATATAAACATCCAATACAATACAAAAACTAATTTTAGTTTAAGCTCTACAAATAGCCTCTACTGAATCCTTCATTAGATTATATTTATTAAGAAACTATTTTATTGGGCATGGATTTGCATATTCGGGTTTAGAGGTTTTTGTAATAGAATTGAAAATGTTTTAATTAATTTAGAATTGCCAACCACATAAAATCAAGAATTAATAGGATATTCATAGGGTCTAAATATAAAAACGAGTCTGCAATTACATGTAATAATAATGAGATGGATTCTGGTAGATTTATTTTTGCATATAATATGTTATTAATAGTTTTAACAAAAAACCAAACTTAATCAAGATTAATTCCTTTAAATAAATGACTAATATAAATGTAATTATTAATAGTGTGTAGACTTTTGAATAGAAGCAAACTAAGAAAATAGTGTTCTTTATAGAAATAGGATAAAATATTGGTGTTTGCAACAAAAATATTTATCTTTTAATAAAAATATCGAAAATGATGCTTTCATATCCTTTTGTTAAGCAAGTTGCTAGAAGGATTTTGGTTAACGCTATTGAAGTTAGCCTTATCATTTTTATAACTTTGAGGCTGATATTTTTAATATGGATCATTTGTAACCTAATAATTTTTATATTCATTATTAAAATTGTTCACCTTTTCAATTTAAGAATTTACTTAAGCAATTGGCTATTAGGCATTTTTGAGATCTTATTACAAAGTTTTGAATTCTTTGCTTTCAATAACAACTTATGGAACAGTTCCAATTTAAGAATTTGTTGAATTAATTGCCAATAAGGTATTTTTGAGATCTTATTACAAAGTAGTGAATTCTTTGCTTTCAATAACAAATTTTGGAACAGTTCCAATTTATTAATTTGCTGAATTAATTGCCAATAAGGTATTTTTGAGATCTTATTACAAAGTCTTGAATTCTTTGCTTTCAATAACAAATTTTGGAACAGCTCCAATTTAAGAATTTGCTGAATTAATTGCCAATAAGGTATTTTTGAGATCTTATTACAAAGTCTTGAATTCTTTGCTTTCAATAACAAATTTTGGAACAGCTCCAATTTAAGAATTTGCTGAATTAATTGCCAATAAGGTATTTTTGAGATCTTATTACAAAGTCTTGAATTCTTTGCTTTCAATAACAAATTTTGGAACAGCTCCAATTTAAGAATTTGCTGAATTAATTGCCAATAAGGTATTTTTGAGATCTTATTACAAAGTCTTGAATTCTTTGCTTTCAATAACAAATTTTGGAACAGCTCCAATTTAAGAATTTGCTGAATTAATTGCCAATAAGGTATTTTTGAGATCTTATTACAAAGTCTTGAATTCTTTGCTTTCAATAACAAATTTTGGAACAGCTCCAATTTAAGAATTTGCTGAATTAATTGCCAATAAGGTATTTTTGAGATCTTATTACAAAGTCTTGAATTCTTTGCTTTCAATAACAAATTTTGGAACAGCTCCAATTTAAGAATTTGCTGAATTAATTGCCAATAAGGTATTTTTGAGATCTTATTACAAAGTCTTGAATTCTTTGCTTTCAATAACAAATTTTGGAACAGCTCCAATTTAAGAATTTGCTGAATTAATTGCCAATAAGGTATTTTTGAGATCTTATTACAAAGTCTTGAATTCTTTGCTTTCAATAACAAATTTTGGAACAGCTCCAATTTAAGAATTTGCTGAATTAATTGCCAATAAGGTATTTTTGAGATCTTATTACAAAGTAGTGAATTCTTTGCTTTCAATAACAAATTTTGGAACAGTTCCAATTTAAGAATTTGCTGAATTAATTGCCGATAAGGTATTTTTGAGATCTTATTACAAAGTTTTGAATTCTTTACTTTCAATAACAACTTTTGGAACAGTTCCAATTTATTAATTTGCTGAATTAATTGCCGATAAAGTATTTTTGAGATCCTCTTACAAAGTAGTGAATTCTTTACTTTCAATAACAAATTTTGGAACAGTTCCAATTTAAGAATTTGCTGAATTAATTGCCAATAAGGTACTTTTCAGATCTTATTACAAAGTAGTGAATTCTTTGCTTTCAATAACAAATTTTGGAACAGTTCCAATTTAAGAATTTGCTGAATTAATTGCCGATAAGGTATTTTTGAGATCTTATTACAAAGTTTTGAATTCTTTACTTTCAATAACAACTTTTGGAACAGTTCCAATTTAAGAATTTGCTGAATTAATTGCCAATAAGGTATTTTTGAGATCTTATTACAAAGTAGTGAATTCTTTACTTTCAATCACAATTTTTGGAACAGTTCCAATTTAAGAATTTGCTGAATTAATTGCCAATAAGGTACTTTTCAGATCTTATTACAAAGTAGTGAATTCTTTACTTTCAATAACTACTTTTGCAACAGTTCCAATTTAATAATTTGCTGAATTAATTGCTGTTTAAGTATTTTTTAGGTCTTATGACATCGTCTAAAATTGTTTACTTTCTATAACTGTTTTTGGAATAGTTTCCATATATTATTTAATCTAGTTAATTGTTGCTATATTCATTTTTAAGTCTGATTACAGAGAAGTAATTTGTTTACTTTCAACAATATTCTATTGAATAGATTAAACTTATGATTTGATATAATTTTTTAACTCAATTTTTTAATTTTAATATTATTAAAAGGATTCTTCTATGGCACATTTTTAGGATTTTTGGAGTTCTGCAATTATTGACTCATTTGATGTTTCTTTTAATTATTTTTCTAACTCTAAAATTTTCGTTTCATATTATGAGAGTAATTTTTTTAATTTAAATGTTTCTTGTTTAAAATTTTGTGTTTGCTCTTAAGCATTTTAATATTATTAATCAAACTTATCTTTTTTAATTGTTGCAATATTCGATTTTAATTATTCTAATTAATTTAATCTAGATTAAAACTCTAATTTGATCATGTCAGAATCATATGATAATAAATTCTAATCAATACTATGATAAATATATATTAGATTTTGATTAAAAGGATCAATTTTAGTTTAGGCTTCCAATAATTTTAGATTTTCTCTCATTGTTTAAGAACAAATAAATATTTCCTGTTGCTTTTATTAATGTGCTGCTAATTCTTAATCAATTCTGTTTTCCACTTCTTATTTAAGCATGCTATTTTATTCTTCTATTAATTTAAATTTCTCAGATTATTCACTCTTAATTTTTTTTAATGTTTTTACAAAGTTCCTCTTATAATGTTGTTCATGATTATTCATAGCACAACCTAAACAAATATATTCATTTTTTTGCTCTTTTAGACAATCCTCATGTGTACAAATACAATTTTTATCCATCTAGTGTTCTTTGCAATAAGGCAATTAATCTTTTTTTTTATCCACAGTTTATATTTTGAATTATTCTACTTCATATGTTGGAACACTATCAAATTTAAATTCCATAGTTATAAATTAGTGTACTCTCGATTAAATTTCTGCAAATTCATATTTGAATTATCTTTCTAAACAATTATTAATCTAAGTATATTTATTTTCTATAATTTATTAATTTTCTTCATTTAAAGTTGTAAAAATAATAAAATTATCAATTGATTAAGAATCCAAAACAGATTATTCGTTTAACAGCTAATTTGCTTTGTTAACATTTTGTGACAATTTTTAGTTTTGTTGTTCAATAATAGATGTGATGAACTTTTATTATTTTTAAAAATATTGATTGAGTTTTTGGCATAGATCAGTTAATTATTAAATAAATTTTTACTTCATTTCATTATTAAAATTGATTATTTTGTTTTGCATTTCTACATATTTGGCTACATTTTCTTTACCCTCTTCTTCAAGTTCTTCCATACTTTTTATGTAATTATTTGATTTTTTCCAATTTATGCATTTGTGGCAAGAAAACTTGTTACCTTCTTTCAACAGCCTAGTTTTGTGAATGCAGATAAATTTTTCTTCATACTTCTGATGAGACTCGCACTTTTTTATCATGATAGAAATATAATATTTGGTAGTTAAATAAAAATTAATATAAAATAAATCTTGTATTTACTCTTATAGCTGCAAAAATATATCTATTTATGAAATATTTCTCAAATTAAAACCAAAACTAATAATAATATCGAACGATTTTGATTAATATCTCTTATTTGGAAATTTTGAGTCAATAATATTATGGGTATTTTCTATTTTTCTGTCATTAGAAAAACAAATTAAGAACAGGGTATCTTAGTTTTTTGAGTATTGACTATTGGTTATTCAAGGAAAATAAATTAAGGTATTTTTGATGAGATTAAAAATCTTTCCTTAAGGGGTTGAAGTTGGATAAATTATAACAAGTGCTAATGGCCTTGCATTGATGCTAATCAATTAGAACTTATAGTAATGATAACCTAGAAAAAATAATGTCGATAATAGAAGAATATGTTAAGATGGCTAGATCATATATAAATATTATTTTTATTAATCCAATTAGTGACCTTATTCAATTTTATCATTATTATTAAATAATTGTTTCAGATTCTTATTAATTATCAACTAAGGTTTTATTATTGATTTCTTCTCACTCTGAATTAATAATTTAATTTGAAGAATCCAGAACTAATAGTTTTTAATCATATCCATTTCTATTGATAATTTTTCATTACTTATTTCCGTTAATATTACTCTCTATTACATCTTTAATTTTGCATCCTATTATTAATTTCTACATACTTTTCATACTTTATAAAATAGTTGGCAATTAAATTCCTCGCATTTATATATATGTTGAGAAAATCTTGAAACAATAAATATTTCAATATTCTATATTTTTTCTATTCAAGGGCAATCAAATTTACTCTTCCCTTTATTGTATTATAATAAGCTGGGCTAAAGAAATATTTTCCTTCAATAACACTCAGATAAAATTACTTTTATTCTATCGTTTATGTAAATTATGAATCATATGACTTATTAACATTTTGATCATTAAAAAAATAACCATAATTTTGTTCTAATATTTTCCTTAAGAAATAAGTACTTCAATTTCCAAAAATAACTACATGAATTTTTAATTATGAGATATTCAAATAACGACAAAATTATTAAGGTTTTATGAATTATTAGAAAAGTTGACCGCCATCTACATATAATATATACCCATGATATTAAAAAACAAATGTTATGTTTATGATGATATTTGTAATGATTTAATAATGATTTTATTTAATCCTTCTATAATATCGAGCCATCTTTTCGCTTGATGATTGTTTAAAACCTAATTTCATCTAATATAGTCTTATTTGTTGTTTGATTCTCTCAGAACTTTTTTTCCTAATTAGCTTTTAGCTTTCAATTGAAAACTTTTCTATTGTTTGAAAAGTTTATAAATTTAACTTAGTCATGAGATCTTTTTAAAGAATTTCATATATCTATTTCGACTAATGGAAGTATTTAGCTGCTTTAATTAGCTACAATACTATCTATTTAATTTTACTCTAAATCATCTTTTGTGATTCCAATAACATTCTCATTGTCCTAAAACTGTTTATAACCTTCCTCATTTGGATTCAAAGTATATAACTTTTTAATTAACCATTTCTTTACCGGTAGTTCATCTTAATGATGTCTAAGGTAATTTATTTTTAATCGCAGATTTTCTGATGATTTTCCTATAATTGGACCTTTTTCTTTATCTTATTAAGTATCCAAAATTAACTCTATCTTTCTTTATTTTATAGCATTTTCCAAGAGCAATATCTAATAAATATTAACAATAAATAGCTGCTGATGAATAGTCAGGCATGTAATGCTTTCAAAGAACCAATAACAACATTGGCTTCTTAAATGATACCAATAGATTGTTATCATTGAGGTAAAAAATAATCATATATAAGCCAATTTAATTCCTTTTTAATAAAACAGATGAATTGCCTTTCCATTTTTTTTTCAAATTTAAGAAAATTTTTTTTCAATCATAGTTATATTTAAATTTTACTGGCTTTAAATTGTATAAATATTAAGAAATGCTGACATGGCATCTCATTGGTGGGTTTTTAAAAAACAGTTAGAAAGTTTTTTCAATTTGATATAAAAAAATCATAATAAGAAAGCAAATTATGGTATTCATTTTAAGTTTGCCACATTGTTCCATTGTAAATATTTAAAAAGTTTCGAGCTGTATACATAAAGACTAAAATAAAATTAAAATAATGTCCATTATAAACTAGAACAACTTGTAAATATCAATTGAGAAATAACAGATTAGGAGTATATAAAAAAAATTGTATTACTTCAAAAATTAAATTAATAACATTGAAGTGTAACAATGACTGTCAAAAAATCTTACTAACTTTGAAGCTAAATTCAAAAGGTATCATTAGTTAGAACAATTCATTGAGCTTAGAAGAAAGTAATAGGGAGATTTAAAAATTGGAATGGAAAAGATTAAACCTCAAAAGATTCCCAAATAATAACAAGGTATTATTTAACAATTGGTGCACTTTTCGAGTGGCTATGATTTATTGAAAGTATTTATAATGAAATTCATAAATATTTGAATTCTATTAATCCAAAATCCTTGGATAAATGCATTTATTCCATGACCCCATATCTGAAAAGGGAGTTTATAAGGCAGTATTTTTATTTTTTAAGCTTGAAAATCAAATACTAAAAATTTGTTCTTGTATTATCACTCAAATGATGAATAGAAACTAAAAAAATCTACCATAACCCCTTGTTTGATTATATTATTTTTCTCTTTCCATTTGTGGGTGCAGGAGAAAATAGTTGAAACCTTATTTTAAGCCAAGTCAAAAAACTTCTTTCCTAATTATCTCGTCAATAATTGGCCAATCTTCTAGATGCTTTTGATACCTTTTATCAAAAGATGAGATGAGATGGAAAAACCCTGAACTACACCATTTTGATACTAATTTTTCTGTTCTTTAAAGTATATATTGTGTGTAAATTTTCAGAAAATTCAATCTCCTCATCCTCTAGGACTTTTTTCTGCATTTATAATCTGGTATCTCGTTCTCTGTTGATTGTGTTCTTAGCACTGAAGAAATTAAAAATGATATCCTGTTTTTCCTTTTCTTTGTGTCATTAAAAATTTTAGGTAATTTCCTTATGTTCTTTAGCGTACTTTTTCCCTACATAAAGCTAATTTGGTAATGGCTGAATCCAATAATTTTTCCGTTTCTCAATGAGTCTTAGTTCCAAAAATTTATTCAGAGGACTCAGGATAACTATTTTTTTGAATTAGGAAATATTAGATTAGGAACACTATACAATGCAACAATTCTGGTTACGCATTAGCGAATATTTATCTCAAGGGTGATCATGGACTTACTTATTCAGATATAGTGATTTTTATAATAGGAATAAGACTTTTAATCTTATGCAGACTTGCAATTACATCAAGTGAGAGTAATTGAGAAAGGATGCTTTTTGTTATGCAAAAGGCGTTGATACTTGCTAATTTCCACAATTATGAAAAACAAATATGCAAAAGAGATTTCAATTTAGAGAATAATATAATAATTTTATTTATATGAAATTATTCATTATAATAATTCATATTTTCAAATTGCTCATTTTCTAATTTATCCCATTACTATTATTAATATTTTAAGCTATCGATGTAGAACTATATCCTACAATTCTATGAGAATAATTATCAATTTCATAGTTTATTATTATTTAATACTAATATATATCGAGAATTACCAATATAAAACAACTTATAAACAATAAATGAAAATGTACTTGTTAGCTCAACAATAGTAAGGTACCATTGAGCATTTGAATTATTATTTAATATTTTTCTAAGAAATTTATTTAAAAAAAAACATGATTCGTCATTGCTCAACCCTGAATACTCAAAAATATACAATACTTGCTTGATGAATTATATTCATATGAAAACAACAATTTATTTTGCCTTATTTGAAGTAATGTATAAACAATTTTTCTTAAATTTATTTTTAGATTATAATTATTTAATTATTTACTTTATATGATTGACAAAAATAATTTTAAAAATAGGGATGCTCTATAATATTACATTATTGAAAACTCTGTTTATCGAATTGAAAGAAATAAATTTCAAATTAGATATAGGTTGAAGGTGGAAATTGAAATAAATCTATAAGGAAGTTAATTGAAAATTGTTTGATATAAATAACTAATATAAAAAGCTTATATCTTTCTAAGTCTTTATGAGATTATTATATAAATAATTAATTAAAATGTTTGTTTTATAATATTGGTATTCAAAAATTATATTGTTAAATATTGTTAAATAATATTATTAATATCAAATCTTTTTAATAAGATGTGGTTTGGATTTAAAAAATAGAATGACACCCAAAATACTTAGCAAGTTCAACAATTTCCTGCATATAGACACAAGGCAGCTCATTAATAAGGTTAGTGCATGTTTAATATATAACGTTAGGAGGTCTTAACTTATCATTTGGGGAAGAAAATTCTGAAACTTAAAAAGTGGCAGCAAGTGTGTTTAAACAATTGAGTGGCAAGTTGATAACAGGAAATTTCGGATCATTGATGCAAATTAGCAAGCCCATCGCAATGTCTTTGGATATGAGTTTTTTACATGGAGTGGCTTTGTAAAAAATAATAATATAAACTTAAGAGGACACACATTTGGTAATTTATTGGAAAGATGCAGCCAGTTATCACCAATGGAATAAATTAAATATATCTCGGCTTATCAAGTAAGAATAGTAATCATCATATAGATATCCGGATTGCATTGCAATGGGGAAATTACAAAAATGAAATCACCTTTGGATCCATTAGTGGGAGAGACAATTTAAGTAATGTTATAGTATCTATGAGTGTAGTTGGTGAAAGAGGATGGCACATAATTTTTTGCAGAATAAACATCTTTCGATCCACCAATTTGTTTTTATTACATATAGGGAAATAATTATAAAATATACGGAGATGACAGATTAGAAATATCAGTACACAAGACTGTCAATTCATTAACAGGAGTGCAGAATGGTNTATCGATGTAGAACTATATCCTACAATTCTATGAGAATAATTATCAATTTCATAGTTTATTATTATTTAATACTAATATATATCGAGAATTACCAATATAAAACAACTTATAAACAATAAATGAAAATGTACTTGTTAGCTCAACAATAGTAAGGTACCATTGAGCATTTGAATTATTATTTAATATTTTTCTAAGAAATTTATTTAAAAAAAAACATGATTCGTCATTGCTCAACCCTGAATACTCAAAAATATACAATACTTGCTTGATGAATTATATTCATATGAAAACAACAATTTATTTTGCCTTATTTGAAGTAATGTATAAACAATTTTTCTTAAATTTATTTTTAGATTATAATTATTTAATTATTTACTTTATATGATTGACAAAAATAATTTTAAAAATAGGGATGCTCTATAATATTACATTATTGAAAACTCTGTTTATCGAATTGAAAGAAATAAATTTCAAATTAGATATAGGTTGAAGGTGGAAATTGAAATAAATCTATAAGGAAGTTAATTGAAAATTGTTTGATATAAATAACTAATATAAAAAGCTTATATCTTTCTAAGTCTTTATGAGATTATTATATAAATAATTAATTAAAATGTTTGTTTTATAATATTGGTATTCAAAAATTATATTGTTAAATATTGTTAAATAATATTATTAATATCAAATCTTTTTAATAAGATGTGGTTTGGATTTAAAAAATAGAATGACACCCAAAATACTTAGCAAGTTCAACAATTTCCTGCATATAGACACAAGGCAGCTCATTAATAAGGTTAGTGCATGTTTAATATATAACGTTAGGAGGTCTTAACTTATCATTTGGGGAAGAAAATTCTGAAACTTAAAAAGTGGCAGCAAGTGTGTTTAAACAATTGAGTGGCAAGTTGATAACAGGAAATTTCGGATCATTGATGCAAATTAGCAAGCCCATCGCAATGTCTTTGGATATGAGTTTTTTACATGGAGTGGCTTTGTAAAAAATAATAATATAAACTTAAGAGGACACACATTTGGTAATTTATTGGAAAGATGCAGCCAGTTATCACCAATGGAATAAATTAAATATATCTCGGCTTATCAAGTAAGAATAGTAATCATCATATAGATATCCGGATTGCATTGCAATGGGGAAATTACAAAAATGAAATCACCTTTGGATCCATTAGTGGGAGAGACAATTTAAGTAATGTTATAGTATCTATGAGTGTAGTTGGTGAAAGAGGATGGCACATAATTTTTTGCAGAATAAACATCTTTCGATCCACCAATTTGTTTTTATTACATATAGGGAAATAATTATAAAATATACGGAGATGACAGATTAGAAATATCAGTACACAAGACTGTCAATTCATTAACAGGAGTGCAGAATGGTAGATAAACCATAATATTCAATAATGGTGCTGTGTATAAGTGTACATAGAGACCAACAATGTATTGAACTCTAACTATATAAAATTAAGGGAAATAACTGGATTGGTGATGGGAGATCGACTTTTGAATTGGCAAGGCAAGATGGTCATAGAAGGACCTGGTGTGAAATCAGTTATTACATTCAATTACAATGCTGAAGGGATGATGTCCAAAATTACTTCTTTCTTCAAGTCTTAGGAATAAGCCAAAAACTTCGACATTGTAGAGATAGACATTTTTGAAGTGCAAACTGATGAAAATGGAAATAAAACAGAGTAATATTGTATATTTATTATTGTAGAACTCTCATTTAATAAGGAATTGGATCCTGGTTGGAAGGATTACTCTTTGGAGAAGAGAAACTTTGGTAGATAGACGAAGAAAAGAAGCCTTGGATCTCGCCTTTAGAAGTATTAGAATCTGATACTACCAAAAGAGATGATCTCTTATTTATGAAGAGTCAAAAGATGGAGGACGCACAAAAGTATAATTTATTTTATCTTTTTTATAGAGCCAAATTGTAATTGGAAGAATAGAATTTTAAAGACATGGATAATAGAAGAAAAAAATAATGAATATATCATTTAAACACAATCAAATTTCTATGGCTGTCGACCTTCTTCAATATTTAATCTATCAATTCTTACGGTTTATTCATGTCTGCTAAAATACATTTAAGATGATGTAAGAATCTATCAAATTATTGATCAGTAATGCTCAAATTCTTATGCACTTCTATTAGATCTCTGTATATTCATTAGTAATAATACTTTCCAGTGTATTTAGTGTGAACGCAACCGAACATTTAAGCGAAAAAGGTCTTTTATTACAATCTGACTCTAGTCATGTCTGCTTTTAAAAACATGCTTCTCAAACTTTGATCGAATAACACCTTATAATAAAATTAATCTATCAAATCTGATATCGACCCATCACCCCCAAATTACTCAAACATACTCTGATCCATATATTAATTATTTTTAAAATATATATATAATAATCTTAATTACCAGTATTCATGCAAACTAATTAATAAAGAAAATAAGCATCAATTATATTGTAATCATTATTATTAGATAATTTGAAACCTCTACCCCGTCATTTATCACCTATGACACATTAAATTTGTAATAATCTTAAATTATTGATTCTCTTAACCTTAACACTTTGATTGTATTCACATAATTAATTATTGTTCTTTTGGTGTACATTAACACTCTACTAAAATTTCAGAACACTAACGTAACACAACTGTAATTCAGTACTAGTATGCAATCAAAAACAGGTTTAAAGTGGATTTGAAAATTAATAAGGTTGCTAATATTAGTGTCATAATTACGCATCAGTGCATTTATTTTCTATATAGAATTAGTTTTTGTTAGAAGTTGAACACAATCCAAACATAATTCATAAAGAAAATTTACATGAAAACTTGATAAGTTTTTGATTACAATTAAATTTCCATGCTGATTTAGATTAAAGATCAATAACATATTATTTAAAAATTAAATAAAAATTCTAATTTAAATCATAAAATAAGAAAACACTCTTAAAATCTATACAACCTGAGCATTACTTGTATTACAAACTTAATATCAAATTAAAGAATAGATTCTTTCCATTTTCTTTTTTGTATTAGTTCTAATTAAAAGAGCATTTGCCCTAAGAACTTTCACACCAGTTTCAATATTCTTCAACTATAGTTAATTATTTACTAGATATTTGATTTTAAATTTTATAAGCAACTTAAAAGAAGATTTCAATTTTCCTTTACTATTTACTTTGCTATTAATAGAGTTAAAATTTGGTGCTTTCAAATAATAATTAAAATAGGTTTTTATAATTAATATAAAAAGAGATTTACAAGGTAAGGGATTGGCAGAAACATAGTATAATACTATAAATTAATCATATTTTAAATTTATATCAAAATATTTAGGGTTATAATTCAATAATGTATTATAATAGAATTTTTCAAAAACGAGAGAACTTAAAATTTTGAAGATAAAACCTTCAAAAATTAATGGTTTTATATTAAATATAAAATGAGAACATGAAAGTACAATTAAGGCATATTAGAAATATTATATTAATATCCATTAGAATAGACAACAACTTCAATAATTACATACTGTGTTATTAATATATAGTTAAAGGATTAAAAGCTTGAAATTTGGGCAAAATTATGAATACTAGAATGACTAATTAATACTTTTGTATATATGACATTACTTAATATATATTCAATGTGATGCTTTAAGTGCGTCTTCCATATCGTTAATCAAATCCTCAACATTTTCAATACCAATTGACACTCTAACCAAATTGTCTGTGATTCCCAATTAGTTTCTGACATCAGCAGGTACTGATCCGTGAGTCATGACTGATGGTACTTCAATTAAACCTAGATAAATGTTAAAGATATTAATATACTTTCAACTCCTCCTAAGGATTCAGCGAGTGTAAATATTTTTAAGGCCTTCAATAATTTACTAGTTTCTTCAAAGCCTCCCTTAACATAAAAGCTGATCATGGCTCCTCCTCCTCTTTATTGTCTTTTGACCAATTCATGTTATGGATGAGAGGGTAATCCAGGATAAATAACTTTCTCGACCAAGGGATTGCTTTCCAAGTACTTAGCGAAGATATAAGCATTCTTTGTAGCCTACCTGACTCTCAACTCTAGGGTCTTCAAACTTCTCATAATGAGATAGCAATCAAAAACACTTGGACATCCTCCTTATGATTTGGCTGAGAAGAACAATCTGTCATACAACTCCTTGTCATTACAAGTCAAAGATCCAAAGACGACGTCAGAGTGTCCACCCATATATTTGGTTCCAGAGTTAACCTGTTTATAAGATTGAAAATAATACAGTGATGTCAGCTCCCAAGTCTCTTGGAGTCTAGAGATATGGAGTAGCAAATGTGTTATCAACCACAGATAATATGTTCTTTTCTTTGGCTATTTTGCAAACTGCAGCGATGTCTACTATTTTGAGGGTTGGATTAGTAGGAGTTTCGATCCAGATCAATTTGGTCTTTTCAGTGACTGCCTTAGCCACATTTTCAGGATCTGTGATATCCACAAACAAGACTTCGATTCCATGATTCTTTACAGTGAAGTTTCTCATGTATCTTTGAGTACCACCGTAGACATCATCACAACAGATGATTTATTCACCATGTTTACAGATATTGATGATGCAAGACATTGCTGCACATCCAGATGAGAATGTGATGCAATGATTGCTATGTTCAAGATCTGCTATGCACTCTTCCAATGCAGCTCTGGTTGGATTACCACATCTTGTGTAATCGAAAGAAGAATAGGGTTAACCGGGAGCCTTTTGTTTATATGTGGTGCTCAAGTGAATGGGAACATTAACACTGCCATGAATTTGTTCAGCATGTTATCCTGTATGAATTGCTCTGGTTGAGAATGACTTTGGAGTACTGTAAAGATAATCGGATTCTTGCACTTATGGTATCATATTGAACTTAATTTTATTTTGTCAATTTCTTTCTAAAGTCCAATATTAAATAGCAATATTTTTAATTACAATGAATATTGATAAATATGCCGTCATTCATCGATAACAATTAGAAAAATAAATTGAATCCACAGAGTTCCAACCCATACCCAATTAAGCCATGCTTACATATTCCTATAAATTCAGGTACTCCTTTCTCTACATATAATCACAGGTATAATCTCAAAAAAGCTGACAAAACCAAAAGTCGATTCTGTCCTGACCCTCTCATTAGTAAGGAATATGAGCGCGTGCTCTATGAGAAATTTAATGAATATTGAATATTTTTACTTCCTTTAATAATTTAAAATTCAAATTTACCTCTAAACCTATGTCAACTACCAGACAAAGACTCACTCCCTCTAAAATTAAATTAAATGATCAAAACACATTTTAAATTCATAAACTGAATTCATGCATTAATCATTAAAATAAGAAAGCCAAATATCGTGTTTTAAACGACTTTTCATTGTAATTGTGTTCCAAATGTGCTGTTAGTATGGTTGGAAAGGGAAGGAAAGTCGAAGAAATCCCAGGATTAGAGGATGAATACAGAAGAGACCAAATCCTTAAATTTATTATCTCAGTCAATAATTCATTACCTTAAATCGACAAACTCATGAATGCCTTAATTGCTAAACGAGAAGACATCCACAAATACTATGATCAATAAAGAGACAAAGTTGAAAAATTCCACATCCAAATAAGCCAATTTTTAGAAGATGAAAAAATGCGATTGCTCTAGCAATTATTCAATAACTTCAAAACTCTTTCCAAACTCTATGATGACTCCATAACTTGCCTATAAATCTCAAGGTCTGAGACCATCAGTATGAAAAATGATGTGGAATCCAATCTAGATGGAATTCTAAAACAAATGCAAAATGAACCTTTTAATGAAATTATGACTAGCTATAAGAGGAATCTATAATTATTCATAGACAGAACTGAATCCATCCAAAAAACACCCATTGAAATCTTAAAAGTTACTCTCAATGAACCAATCAACATTTCACATCTCATGACTGTCCATCCACTCAAAACCTGTTTAATTAAAAAGAATCTACAAGACCATAAAAATTTAATAGAATCTAATGACAGCATATGTGCTAGTGTTGAAACCAAAAAACAATTTACTTAACCAAAATAACCCAAAATCCCTCCTTCCTTGAGCAAAACTCCTAGAAAAGATCACGATAATATTTCACCCTTTGAAATTAAACAAGAAGAAATCTATGAAGAGGCTCCTTCTCAAATGATAGAGAGAGATGATATAGAAAATACCTATCATATGATGTTGATCGATTATCAATTAGATTCTGAGGATTAAGGAACCGAAAAAGACATGGTAACTTCTTTTGGCCCATTAAACATAAGACCTAATAGATTATTGCCGAATAATTAATAATTCATTCATAACAACATTTAAAGATCAAATGAAAATAAAATGGATAGAAGTCCTGCCTTCTAAGCAATCCATACTTCCCTTAAATTAATGTGATTTTAATTTATTTCTTCCAATTTTTTTACTAATCATTCCAATATTATATGAATTTAACGTTATTTAAGAATATTTCCAAGTTGAAAAATGACAGAGGTTATAAATTATAAAGAAATAAGATAATCAATATGATATATGGAAGCATCATTATTGAATTTCAAGAAAATGCATTAGAATGTATCGCATGATTTCTTCCAAAGAATTATTAAATTTCACTGACGAGTTAAAATAAATTTAAAAATTAAATTTATCAATTTCTAACATCAAATCTTTCTTGATCTATGTCGCGACATAACATAAAAAAATTTAAGTACTTATTTATTTTTCTTTCATAAATTTTTAATATTAAAATTTATATTAATTCTTGTAAGAGGTTGGCAAATTGTAACACAACTCCCAAGAAGCTTTTTTATGCACCAACCACAAATCCAATAATCATAGTCTCCACCTGCTGAGACTACTGAAAAGAGTTAGGCCCCTAAATGGACTATTTGGAACCAGTTTTTAAATATTATTTGTTGTCTTTATAAACTGGAATCCTAAGAAGGAAATTAAGAACCTAATGTGAATATTGAATTTATAGTTTGCATAAAAATATAAAAATTACTATTTCTTTATTTTTTTGAAACAATTCAGGTTTTATAATCACAAATAACTGTTGAGAAAGAATATTTCTTTTTTTATCCTTAAAGTTATAGAATATTAGATTTCGTGTCTAATTACTTAACTGTTCTTTATATTCTTCATATGTTGCACCATACGTCTCTCCTGAAAAATATACATATATAATTATTATTTGAAATTTATCACCTTAATTTAAATCATCTATAAACTTTTGTCGTAATTAAATAATTTAATACTGTAAAATCTAGTGAGCATAAAGGAAATAATAGTTAATGTCATCTTTTGGGATGAATTTGGATGTATATTATCAATTTTGGAACTCAATTAATTTGGAATCAATAAGAGCATATCCTCATATTAAATCTATTAGAATTGGTTTATTAGTTTTGAGTTAATAGTATATTTTTCATTTACAAATTATTTTAGATAAATTCTTATGCCTAAAAATAACTATCATAATATTTATATATGTTTTTTAAATAAGCTTTTTTGACACTTAATCGGTAAGATGATTAAAAGACCTGCATTATTTAATTAAGCCAATAAATATTATGTCTCTAGTCTTTCTAATCTCTTGTTATGAGAATCAAAAATTAATTTCTGGGACACAGATTTAAAAAAATCAATTATTTATTTCAATTTTTATTTTTTTTAAATTCTATTAAGATTTTAATTAATCCATGTTAAATTCTATCAGAATTATGATAATCTTTCATATATTTTCTTAATAAATGAATAAGTGTAATACTTGCTAGTGCAAGCCTGGTGAATATATCTGTATACGACCAGAATGTGTATAAATTAAAGATAATAGAATGGTTTGTTACTAATGTTATTGGATAAAGCATAAAGAACATGAACCTCACCGAATTTAAGAAGTTTGCTAATTAACCACAGAGAAATGTTAGAGGCAAATTCAATTCTTAGAGATGATTATATCAAAAAATTAGGAAGAATCGATCTAACTTGACAACTTTTTAGAAAATTAGAAGCAAATATATAATACATGGAATGATTAACAGAAAAAATAAATAAAAGTATTAATAGAAAATGAGAATCAAAAACTGTAATAGAAAATCAAAGAGGCATAATAAGTATTGAAATTATAAAATCTTGATTAAATGTTAAATTATTGCACAATTAGTGTAGATGTATAGGAATAAAATTATGAAAAAGCAAGCCAATAATCTAATTTTGAAAGGTAATTTTAAATTAATGAAATCGAAACAAGAATTAATTTTATAAAAGGATTAAATTTTTCTATATCTGAATTATCCAATATTTTTGTTGATATACCTCAAGTAAGTATTCCTAGGGCTCAGGAGAAAGCACAGATTTAATACAAGTAATGTCAGACTCATTATAAACCATAAAAATATCTTTGTATTCACAAAGATTGCGTCATATAAAAATCTAATTTTCCGTTTTATTGTGAATATTGCTTTATAAATTCACATTCTAAGCATGATTTCATGACCTATGCTAAAAAGTATAAAGCTATAAAGTAAGAATAAGATGAAAAGACCTAATTAATAACAGTTGAATAAGAAAAGTTGAAGTAATGTATGTAATAAGAATTTAATAAATATTATGAGGCGGTTTAGCAACAATTAAAGGAGAAAATGAATAAATATGAGAAGATCAAGTGCAATATTTTATCGATAAAGGATCGATCAATAGAACAATTAAAAAGACTAATAAATTTTAAATTCATCGAAAATAATATTAATGTTAGTTTGCTTGGCAAAACAATTTAAGGAATTAAGTAGGAATATCAAATTGAATATAAAAGTTTTCGTTAAAAAATGTCTATTGACCTTGAGAGGGAGGCAAGAGAAATATCTTCTAACTGTTTAAAAATTGATCAGTAATCTGAAAAAGAATAGGTTAATATCAACCAACTTCACTACGAGCTTTAGACAAAAAATGAAGAAGTTAATAATTTGAATAGCAAACTTAAACTAAACCAAAAATTTATCTCCCAAAACTAAAATTAATTAATTTCCTTAAAAAATTACTACGATGGTTTCAAGTAAAAAATTGAGGATTTAACCAAAAATGTAAAAGAAAGGTTGAATAGTTCGATATATATATGTAATATTGAGAAATAGTTTTTGAGAGCCTTTGATACTGATTTTAAATCTATATAGACTTAAATTATCTAAACTGAAACCATAATGGAAGGCATAATTAATTCATATGGATAAGTTTATAATAACTAAGGAGAATAGAAATAAAATGCTCTTTAAATAAAATAAGTCCAAACATTGCAATCATAGCAAGGACAATAACAAACACAAGAAATGAGATCAATTTGTTATAATATAGCTAGTAATAAATAAATAATATAAACCACCTAAGTGTCAAGTGTGACGATGACAAGAAAAGTTAGTCAAAGCATTATTACCCCCTAACTAAATGGGCAACATTTGATGTTATAGCATAATAAACGTTGAATGAAAATGGATATTATAATAAAATAAGATAGATATCTATAAGAATTATTTCTAACTCATCCCTTATTTATGTTACAATCTACTCAGTCTTTCTTAGTTTAATTTTCTGTAAGTTCCCTAATTTCTTATTTCATATAAATCGTTTCTAAAATTCATTTACAATATTCTAAATGTATTAAAGTTAATGTATAATTATTCATTGTTAACTAATTTTATAATTATTATAGAAATTTTTCTTTTCGCAATTACAACTAAAAGTATTTACTTAAGTGTAGATGTTTTATATTTGCTTTGACAACAAATTCACTTAAAAAGCAAATAGAAATATCTATAGCTGAGATTATCTTCTTAAGAAGAGTTTTCATGAATTAAGATAATTCAATATATTGTCATTAATCCTCTATAATATTATTTTTTGAGCTTAAATTAACAATTTCAGCTTATAAAGATTATATTGATATGTAGGCAAGCAATCAAAATATTATATATGCTGTTAGTTGTTATATTATTTTAATTTAGATTAATGTAATACCCTAAAAAACTAAGGAATAAATAAAAAGTTATAGGATTATAGCTAAGATCGCAATCCTTTTAAAGAAAAGATAAGACTTTAGAATTTAATTAAGGAACTGATTGTTTATCATTTTTTACAAAATGTGGATGAAATATTTGATATTAGAATTAAACGTAAAGTTACTTAGGTTATATGAGACTATTTTATTATTACACAATAACAGTTTGCTTATATAATTATGTTATACTTAAAGTGCATTGTAATTTATAAAATAATTTTAACATGAGTTCTTAAATCTAAGAATTGAGAATTGTATAAGTTTGATTAACGAATTAAATCATCAAATTAAATGATTTTTTGTGGGAAACCTATCAATTAGTGGAAGGATGTTGAAATTTTCAAAATCCTCTAGATTTCCTCCAAATTTTAGAGATGGCTACTTAAATAGTTTCCATATGTAATTTAACATTTGATAATGAATATATTTTGGATGAGGTTGTTAGTACTTAAAGAATTAACAGGAATATCAGATCAGAAAAATAGAATTTATACATGTGAATGGGATTTGTTGAATGTTGATTGATATGTGAATTATTTAAGGTGATCATTTTATTTTCTTTGCATCTTTCTCCCAACTTGGAACATATCTAACTGGGAATCTTGATGAGGAATGGTTGGTTTAAAATATTCTATCACAAACCCCCCAGATTCCATAGTTGCAGGTGACATAGAAATGGTGATTGATATGTCCGAATGGATCCCATCTTCCATCGTGAGCAGCTTGGGCATAGACGGCAGTTAAGAAGCCAAAAAAGCTAATTGTATGATAATCTAATATACTGATGCCAAACTGGAGGGATTGGGTAGAAGAGACATGGGAAGAAATGTCCTAAGGGGCCTTGTACTATGGCTTCAATTGGGTGGACTGCATCTTATGCAAATGCCGTAGGTTCAATGAATTCATGGTGTTGTTTGTGGATGTATTTCCAGAAGAATGGTTGATGGAGGATGATATGGGTGACGTAGAAGTAGAAATCGAATCCGATGGAATATCTAATGAATAGAAGATAGAGATACACAAAAAGTCCAATGAGCCATTCCTTCAATCCAAAATCATGAGTCTCATAATAACCATAATATGGGGTAAGTGGTTCAATTTTCCACATGAATATGGTGGCAGAGAGCAGTACCCAGAATAGGGCTGAGACTCCTCTGCTGATTTCAAGTTTCATGTTTTTCACTCTGAAGGCAGATTTTGGTATGGGATTAGTGAATTCCAGAGCAGCTCCAGTTGCTAAGTACGAAAAGTAGTAGAAAAGTCTAATTTGAAATATTGTTGATTGTACCCTACATAGAGATTGGCCCATAAGAAGTCTTCAAAGGTGTCGATGACCAAGACTCTGGTTTTGGTGTTGGGAGGTAGTTTGAGACCAGGTAACATGGCAGCATATTAATGAATATTGAATGCATAGCAGGTAGTCAATAGTAAGGAAATGATGCAAATTTGAAATACAACTTTCATTAAAATAAAATATTGCACACATTAAATCATAAATCAGTTTTTGTATCATCAGCATCGTCTTCGTTTTCCTTATTTTCATCTTTCTTCTTTTAGGCTTCTTGAATGATTGGATCACAAACCCTAGATGTTTAGAACAAATCACTTACTTTTAAAGATCTTTCAATTCTCCCTCGAAATCTTCTTTGTCATAATTGGCTTCATCCTTCTTGATCCAGTCTTCACTCTTTTGGACAGCATCCTTCAAGGTTTGTTTTTATTCTTCAGTTAAGTGTTTGGCCAATTTTTTCTAAAATATTAAGAGAATAACAATACCTCATCTTCGATCTAGTTCTTGATGGAATAGATGTAGGAGTCCAAACTGTTCTTGGCATCAATCTTCTCCTTGGCAATCTTATCTTCTTCAGCAAACTATTCAGCTTCCTTGATCATTCTGTCGATTTCTTCCTTAGTCAACTTGTTATCGGCAGTGATTTAGATTTGGTTCTTCTTTCCAGTAGATTGTTCAGAGGCAGACACAGATAAGATACCATCCTCATCAATTTCGAAAGTGACTTCAATTTAAGGTTATCCCTTGGGCATCTTTGGAATATCGGTTAAATCGAATTGACCCAATTTGTGATTGTCCTTAACCAAAGGTCTTTCTCCTTCGAAAACAGTGATGGTGACTGTTGTTTGATTGTCCACATAGGTGGTGAACACTTGGGACTTTTTGGTTGGAATGAAGGATCCCTTGGGAATGATTTTGTTCATGACTCCTCCGACTGTTTCGATACCCAAACTCAAAGGTGTGGCATCAATAACTACCAAACCGTCAGTTGCATCAGATTTCTCTCCACAGATCAAACCTCCTTGGATGGCAGCACCATAACAAATGGCTTCATCTGGATTGATACCTGTATTTGGATCTTTGCCTTCAAAGAACTCCTTAACGAGTTATCTGACCTTTGGAATACGAGATGATCCACCAACCAGTACGATTTCATCGATTTGACTCTTCTTTAATCCTGAGTCATTCAAAGCGGTCTACATTGGTTCAATAGTCTTTCTAAACAAATCACTGTTCAATTCCTCGAATTTGGCTCTTGTCAAAACTTCACTGAAATCTAATCCTTCAACCAAATCTTCAATTTCGACTTTGGCTTCTTGGGCAGCAGAGAGTCTTCTCTTGGCTTTTTCGCATTCTCTCTTCAATTTTTGGATTGCCCTCTTGTCTCCTGAGACATCCTTTCCATACTTCTTCTGCACCAACTTAATGAAGTGATCAATCAATCTTTGATCGAAATCTTCACCTCCCAAATGGGTGTCTCCTGAGGTGGAAATGACTTCAAACACTTGATTGTCAATTGTCAAAATGGACACATCGAAAGTACCACCTCCCAAATCGAAAACCAAGATGTTGGATTCAACTTACTTCGAATCCAAACCATAAGCAATAGCTGCAGCAGTTGGTTCATTCAAAATTCTAACTACATTCAAACCGGCAATGTTTCCTGCATCCTTTGTGGCTTGTCTCTGAGCATCATTAAAGTATGCTGGAACTGTCACGACTGCATTGATAACATTTTGACCCAAATAACCCTCAGCAATTTCCTTCATCTTGGACAACACCATTGCACTCACTTCCTCAGGAGCAAACACCTTTGATTAGGTACCCTTCTCCACTTAAATGTAAGGCTTGCCGTCTCTGTCGATAATGTCAAATGGCAAGAACTTCTTGTCATATTGGATTGTGGAGTCTGAGAATCTGGGGGGATTATTCATATGGATATATACTTTCTGCCTATCAATCTCTTGACATCATAAAGGGTTCTGCTGGGATTGGTGGCAGCCTAGTTTTTAGCAGCCTCACCAATCAATCTCTCTTGATCTGTGAAGGAAACGACTGAAGGTGTGATTCTATTTCCCAATTCATTTGGAATGATCTCAACATGTCCCTATCTGAACACTCCGACACATGAGTAAGTAGTACCCAAGTCAATGCCAATAACTGGACATTCGACTGAGCTCTCGCAAATAGATACAGAAACAAGGAGCAAAGCAAGTAACAATCTTTTCATAATAAATTAATTCCAAATGATGTGTATACTCAATTTATATACAAAGAGAATTCTTCTAGAAATTCTTTAACGTGTAATTAATTAATTTTATTTATTCTTCCCAAACACACTCTGAATCCCTCTCCTTCCTCCTCATCATCCACACATAGATTCTTATCGATAAGCACTCTTCATTAGTATTCCAACAAATTCAATAAAACATTTGATATAATTCTAATCTTCAAAAGAAATACTTAATTTAGAGGATTGTAGATGTACAACTTCAAAATTGTAGGATGAAATGAATTTGAAAATCCCTCATTCTATATATTCTATATGCAAGCAGAGAATCCAATTAGAAGTGTAATACATATCATCTAGACAAAATTTCAAAAATAGATAAGAATGATATAATTTATGATTTCATATAGGAAATTTATGTTCATTATTCTAATTAATGATTCTCTGTTTATTACATATTCTTTAATCTATAAAAATGGTTATATTCCCCATCTCATAGCAATGGATATGAGATTCATAAAAGACTATTTGTAGAAATAAGAATATAAGAGGAAATATATCAAATTAATTTGAATCAATAAATTTACTTTATAGCATCTTAATATGAAAACCAATCCTCATTAGTATATCTATCTATTTAATCTAGTATATTTGCAACCCACTTTTAAGGAGCTAAAATACATTATAACAATAAAATAAGATTAATTGATATAGCATTATTTAGTATAGTAATTTTTTTATATATTTGAATAGTTATTTGGCAAACTGGATTTGATATTAAGTATGATATTTATAAATTAATTACAATCATTTAGTAACCTACAGTATGAAATTCAATCCTGAAGTTGCAATCAACCCCAAGGCACTCACACAAACTTGTACCAATAACTGATATGTCATGGCTATACCCATTACAGTGTATGGCTAAGACTTTTCTAAATGTCCCAAATTATCGAACTGATTTGTATAAATGATATACCACATGTTAAATCGAATTGATGCAAAAAATTGAGTAATTAAGCAGCGAGTCTTCTTTTATAATGATTTCTGAATAGGTAGTATCCAGCATTCTTGATAGAGCCTAGAGTCAATTGATATAAATACATGAAATACTGGGTCTTCTGCTTTAAAACTGTAATCCAAAGGCTTGAATATTTGATAGGCCAACTATTAGATAAGGAAGAGATTCCTTCTCAGTAATCCCCTATGAATAGACCAATGGGCATTAATCCTTGCTCCCTATAAGACTAAGCCAATTGAGAAGATAGCAATGATTGCGAAATCCAAGGTCTATTACAGTATGCTAATCATGGAGATTAGCTCCAAATAAAAGAGAAGAGTCATCACACCCATCAATATGGTATTGATAATCATGATGAATGATAAAATGAATGTTTGTCTTCTTGTGTATTGCAACCCATAATCAAGGAGGATCTTCCTCAGATTAACCCAAGAATAAATGGAGACTGTGCATAACAAATTGATGGTTGGAAACATCTTGGATTCCTGGTAGACTTCAACTTTTTCAGCTGATATCAAATGTGATAGTTGTGTCATTGAGAAAACCTTTCTTCTTAGATCTCTGTAAGTCAGGATCATCAAACAGAGGATTGTGCTGAAGTATGTGAACTGAAAGAGAGACAGCTAAACAACGACGGCAGTACTTTTAACAGATTCTTCACACAGTTCCATGAAAATGATGCACAACCCCACTCGTGTGATTCCCAGTATGATTGCGAGTTGGATTGCAGTTTTATAACTGCTGCTCTTGTTGAATTCATTGATTATCTCCTTAGCCATCAAAAAGCCATCACCAGCTATCTCTTCGATCTAAATTTTATTTCTTAAATCTTATTCAGCAACTTAGATTTTTTTCAATCTCTCTGGATTAGGTTGAACCATGAAGTACAATTGGAATATAGAATTTTCGACTTGTGATCGCTTTAAGGATTGCTCCAATTCTTTGGTGATTGTTGATGAATGTTGTTGTGCCCAATGATAAGGGTTGATGCTCTATTCACGCGAGTCACCAACGATACGCATTTCAAAGCTTTCTATCAAAGCCAATTTGGAAGGATGGAAAAATGCATATTAAATAGCGTATGTCACATTTTCAGTGATGTACACAATAGTGAAGAATGCAATTTCATAATGCATGATTCTCCTTTCTTCATCGGTGGTATCGTAGAGGATTGTAAAAATTAAGATGTAATTTGATATCCATCGAAAATAGTTATACCAAACTTCGCCCCAACTACCATACATTCTGAAGTTGCTCATAAAATTCAGCCAATCCCTCTTAATTAAACTGTAACCCAAAATTAAAGGACCTATTACAGTAAATACTACCCTCAAGAACAAATACTTTATAAAAACTCTAATCCTAAAATGAACCTCATGTGGTTAAGTCTATGACTGTAGCTATTTATTTATACCCTGTATCGAATAGGGGAAGTATCTAAATCACTTATCCTGGATTTTCCTAAATCCTCTCTAAAACAGGCAGATTATCCAATTTATTTCTTGCACAAGGTTTCTCTTTCGGAGAGACTTGGTGTCACACCCAATCGTGTTTCGTGTTTCTCGTTCATTTCTGATTGACTCATCTAAAAAATGAGTAATAAACTTGACAACTTGGCTTTACTACACAATCTTGTCCTAAATTATGGACAGCCATGATCGTTGTGGGAATTAGACTCTGACATGCTGTTTGTCTGATTCCTAAATCTCATTAGCAACTTGCTCTTCAAACATTATTATTTAATAAATTTATTATAGAAAGTATATACCAAGAATATAAAAAAATATTATTTTATATGTATTTACGAATAATTATTCTATTGTTTTAAACGACCCCAAAAATAAATATTTATAAATTCGGTTCTAAAAATAGTGATTAATGACTTTTTCTGACAAGGAAAATTTACTAATTTAAATTTCAATTCCATTCTTCTCAATTCAATTATTAACTTAAGTAATTAATGGGTCTTTCATTCTCTAAATTGTTCGAACAGTGGTTCGGAAAGAAAGAAATGAGAATTCTTATGTTGGGTTTGGACGCAGCAGGTAAAACAACCATTTTGTACAAATTGAAATTGGGAGAAGTAGTCAGCTCTGTACCCACTATTGGATTCAATGTCGAAACTGTGGAATACAAGAACATCAAATTCACAGTGTGGGATGTCGGAGGCTAAGATAAAATCAGACTCTTATGGAGACATTACTATCAAAACACTCAAGGTCTCATTTTCGTCGTTGATTCCTCAGACAAAGAAAGAGTGGATGTTGCTAGAGAAGAATTGATGAGAATGTTGGGTGAAGACGAACTCAGAGACGCTGTATTGTTGGTCTTTGCCAATAAACAAGATATGGGTGTAATGACAGTCCCAGAAATCACTGAGAAATTGGGCTTACACACTCTTAGAAGAGAGTGGTACATTCAAGGTACCTGTGCACTCACTGGAGATGGATTATATGATGGTTTGGATTGGTTGGCTAAGACCGTTGGAAAGAAGAAGTGAAATTTAAGAACTTTTTTATATATATAATCATTGTTACAATTAAATTAACCTCATCATTCATATTTGAAGAAAAAACATCTAACCTCTCTTCTAGTAATTAATTCTAATATTGGGTTATATTAAGTAGGAAATAAAATATGCTGAATATATAATAGAAGATCAGAATAATCATTCACTATTATCATATCCATTATCCTATATATATATATATACATTCAATTAAATCATCAGAATAATAGAATAATAGAATAATCTCATTTAATTAGTATATACTTTCATACTTTTTTTCTTTAAAGAGATTAAGTCTTATATATATATTTTCATAAATCAATTAGTATTATTAATATTTTCAATAAGTTCAGCAAAAAATTAAATAAAAATCAGGTCATTTTGGTTTTTTATTCTATCTTTATAATATTGATTTGAACTCTTCGTTTGTCAAATTCGATTTGGATTTATGGCTTGAAGTGCAACTACCATTACTTGTCATTACTTCAGAAGACAAAACACTGACATTCTAAATGATGTGTCTCTACTTCAAGGGAGTCTTAGAACTTATCTAGGTTGGCATGGTTTTCCTGGGGGGATTCGATTGAACAACTCCTAAGATTTAATCTACATAATGAGATTTCTATTCAGAATTCATCTTTTCAAAGTTGGGTATCATGAGATGCAAGAAAGACGTAAATATTATACCATTGACTTCATCGAATTGCTTTTGATTCATGTATTTGCTGTAATTGTATCGACCCTTTGCAATAGATTTGCATTGAGTTTGAAAGTTGTAGCATTATGCCATCAATTACTTGATGTGGATTTTCCTTTATTAAATTCTCTAATATCAGAATCATTTTACTTTCCTCAGGAAATTATGGATGTGTCCTTCCAAAAACAGCACGATCTATTTCAATCTGTAAAAATTGCAAACATATTTTCTACTTAAGTACCCTCGGTAGCATTTCTGAATGTAGACAGCACTTCTGATCATTCTTTTAGTTGGTTAAACGAGTGATTGAGTATTGCGAGTAGATTTCTTTGATTTCTGAGGTTGAATGCAAAACCCATATTCATTATGATGATCTAATTGAGTGGATTGCAATACCAAATGACGAGAAGTAGTTCAATCTTCGTATTTATTTCACTGCTTGTCTGGCTAGGAATCCCCTGAAGGTTTTTTGGATTACTGTGGCAGCATAATTTAACAATTCCATTTTTAAATTTGAATATTTATATTTATTATGAATAATATTTATCTCATTTGAACAGATCAAATGGAGTAGGCTATGACTAGGGCACTGGTTAATTATATTATTGAACTTAAGGAAATGCTGAATAAGCTAAGTTTCCAACAACTGGTTGTTGATTGCCATACAAATTTAGGATATTTAAATTTTGTTATTGTTGGGGAGCTTAGGGGAAGTCTGATCCAAAAGCATGAGAGTTTTGGAACCCACCCTATTGCTATTGATTCTAAAATCCTTATGTATTTTAGCCCATTTAATTAAAAGATCTAAAAATAGAATAGAATTAAATACTCAAATGGTTGTGAAACCTGAGTTGGTTATTAAAACATGGTTTATTATTATTATGGAATTTATTGTTATTGTTGTTATGATGGTTAATTCCAACCATTACCAAAGGCCTCAAATAAATTAGTTTATTAAGGTATATTAGTTTTTTCCTATTATTATTTTTATTATTATTGTTGATCAAATAGAAGCTGCTCCTACTATTGTGGATTGACTGACTTTTATTATGGCACATCATCATCTAAATTTAATAAGTCAACCTCTGTTTTTATATGATACATTAATGATACTTTTTTGTTGCTACTAGACTGTTTGGCCTGAGGAAAACCCTGAAACCTGGAAAGAATCTCCAAATGGATTGTTGGTTGTTTTTGAGACCTGACCGAACTATTCGAATTCTTCAAATGCTCCTGGTTACCCAAAGGTGGTGGATGTTCTAGAATAAAATGAGATTTGGTACTTGGTCTATTACACAACACTTGGCTTTTATTGGATGGGATTGGCGTCCTTGGGGTTTTCAAATTTAATATTTAAATTAATTTTTCTAATGAAATATGATGATTTATAATATACTATGAATTGTTTTGAAAGTTATTATTGTTGGAAAATTGGGTATTAAAATTCGGAGGCTCAGAATAGAAGTTGTTGTCCGTTTTATTGGTATTATTGATTTTCTCATCGTACACAAACTCGCTCTTTGTTTTTTCTAGGGGAGGGAAACAAGATTCTTACATTGGGTGTATAGATGAGAGAAGACCTTATTATTGATTCTCAATTCAAACGCATCCCCTTGTTAAATCACATTTAAAGCAAATCCTTCCAGAGTAAAGGGATACTGAAATGAGGAGGTGAGCATCCTGAGAATAGATTCACATTTTACATGCTTTCGTGTAGTACTCTGCCGTCCAACACGAGTCTTCTCTTCCCACTGAGATACGAGAATTCTAATTCCAACATGTGTTGCTTGTCCTCCAACATGAATGTCCATTTGTACTTCTTCTTTGATCTAAGAATGATTTCATTTTTTTTACGATTTGAAATAGCGACCCATATCTTCCACCTCGTAATTCACAGCTTAAATACTCATTTGATTTATTTTTATATATATATTAATGATATCACTACTTCTCCAATTACTAAGTAAGCTCCTCGATCCGACACTTCAATTTCACCACCTACAACCCGTACATCTATAACATCTTCCCCGAATCACTACCCTAACACAAATTGTTTCACTTTCGTACATTTTATTTCTAGACGATCCTCTTCAACTCCTCATTCTCCATCCTCAGCAATTTCAACTCCGAGTTCGCTGCCTACTCAATCTTCGGCAGAAACCCACTCGAATTACCCTTCCTCTAAATCTCCTACTTCAACTCTGCGTTCTCCGCCTCCAAGGATTGCAGCTGTCTCCTCATCGCCCCCAACTTCTACAGCAAATCCTGATTGTCCCTCTGCGCCTACTCCAACACCTGACGAGGATTGTTGTTCGCCCTCGGCTCCACAGATTTCCTCTTACTATATTATTTGAATTGTTTTCACATACTCCTGTTTTTTCTGCACCTGTTGAGTTTACGAAAATTGCTACTACGACCTCTATTGCCCTTGGACTCTCGTCGGCTAATTCGCTTGCTTTTTCGCTAGATTTTACTGCATCTTCTCATTCAGATCCTTCAAACTTTGCGGTTGTTGCTTCCCAATTTGAGTCATGCCTGATTGAGCCCTCTGATTGTGTTGCGGAGGCTTCTCCCTCACAAAAGACTGACTCGTTTGCAATCGCTATTCAAAATCCTCAATATCCATCTGAGACACCATATCCTAATCATCCGAAAACTCCTCCTTATTCTGTTCATCGATTAACTACTATAACTCGTCTTTTCTCTAATATTATAAATAGATTACGATCCATTCACAACTTTTTTTGTTTAGAATAATGAATAAAAAAATTATAATAATAAGTATTACTTTTCAAAATCTCAATCAATTTATTGTCAATCCCCCACAAATAACCAATTAAATCACTATGTGAATAACGCCTAAGTTACTTAATAAAGTTGTGTTATGAACAACAACTAATTGTATGAATAACTAAAAGTATTAATATATTGCTCACGATGAGGGAGAATTATTCATTTCAATACATTAAATAGGAGGTAATTTCAACATATTACATATAAATTGATTATATGTATGAACTCCACATATCCCCTTTTAGTATATAGCAACTACTTCAATCCTAATTATTAATATATTGAGTATTATCGAATAGACCTGAGACAAGGATTTAAAAAATGAGAATCTGGTTTAAAATTAAATAATATTGGATATTAAAGATATTAATATAAATATGGATTATTTTATTTATTTTTATTGAATAATAAAATTTATTTATTTAATGAGTTCACCCAAAAAGCAATCAAGTAAAAGAGACGATCCCATCTCTTGTATTATTGAACCTTCAAAAGTACTTGGAGGATTGTATTTAGGCAACATGGAAGCTGCAAGTATTTGTTAAATGAATTTAGGTGATCCATACACTTTATCTTAATATTAAATCAAAGCCATCTTGACTGTGTGTCCTCAGAGCATCCCCTCATCAACCAAGATTAAGCTGAACTTCTATCATCAATGCATGGCTGACGACGAAGATGACTACCAAATAAGCAAGCACTTTGATGAATCATTTAGATTCATTGAAGCCTCTCGTAGATCAACAAATGTGTTGGTGCACTGCCAAATGGGGATATCAAGAAGTGCAGTTATCGTTTTGGCTTATCTAATAAAAAAGGACCTGATTGGGGCGAGAGAGGCTCTGGAGTATGTAGAATAAAGAAGGCCAATCATCTTCCCCAATAATGGGTTTTTGAGGCAACTGGGCACATTTGAAAGACAGGTGTTCAACGACTTGATAAACGAAGCGAATTGCAGTAGAAGGATTGCAAGTCCTAAGCAAGTGGAGAGAGAGTACAACAAGCAAAGGCAGCTTGATGAGGAATTCGAGATGAAACTCCAGAGATTGAAGGAATCCAACAAGTAGCAGCAGCACTTCCATTACGAGCAATACACTATACCGAAGTCGAATGTCTACAGAAAACAGGAGAACACTTTATTTTCTAATTTATACTATAAACACTATTGAAATTACATAATATCATTAGTTCAGCTTGGTTTTGAGTATCACTCTTTGTAAGAGTCGGTTGTGTTCAGTGTACACCCTCGTAGGTTGAGACTTGATCTTTTTGTGTTGGCTCACTTGCACTGATCTGGGAGATTGGGAAGTCGTGACTTGATTCCTGGCCTCAGTAAGTATTTTGTCTAGGGCATTGTTGGTTTTGAACTTCGATTTCAATATAAATTATTAAGGTTCTAAAATTTTAGGTAGTAAGATACTGAACAGCATTTTGGGACTTTGTTTTCTGGAGTAACTCGGAGTTAGGGTTTACTTGGCGTCTAAGACTTGTTCGAAGGAGGGTTGTCTAGTGAGAGACATGCATTCTTGTATTGAACTTATTGTGGATGTGAATGAATACCTGGGAGTTTGTGCAATGATGTTCTGTTCAGCAATTTTAAAATCTTTAACTTTTTTCATAAATTGACTGTAATTATGATTTAGGCTTGGTCCACTCTTTGAGAAAAGGTTGCGAGCAGAACTTTGGGATGGTAGAGTGGATTTTTCTGTAAATCCTTTATATAAGGGTGATTACTTAGATTTTGTATGATTACATTCGCCAATCTTTGCTTTTTGTGTTCAGCGAATTCGGAAATGATGTCATGAAAGAATTGGTACTTGTGTGATCTGCAACCACACAGTTTTGAATAAGTAGATTGACACCTAAGTTTTTTTGGTAATTAGTCATAATCACTGGGAATTTCAAATGAATAATTCTTATGTTCATTTACCCTTTGAAACTCCTTTGTAATTCGTATATTTTGAACGACTTTGCTTGACTCTGTTTTAAATTTTCGATCAATTACATATGATTAAAACATAATTAATTATAAAATACATTCATTTTTTTTACTTTTACAACAATGTTACAATTTATTAATCAATTTAAAATGTTTGATAGATAGATAAATAAAAATCAAATAACTAAAACTCGGGAGACACTTGATTCTCCAGTTAATTTAAAAACTAGAGAAGAATTATGAATATGTTCCCAACTCATCTGAGAATTAGAATATTATGGTAATCTTGTTTTGTAGTATGATTGTAATATTCAAATTGGAGCAGTTCCATTGCAAATTATGTAGAATGTGTGTCATCCAAGTTTAGTTGCAATAAATCAACAATATTCAAAACTAGACTATCCAAAATTATTGTATTGACTGATTGTTCAAAAACTCATGTTGATTTCTTACTTTATAAAAACCTTACTATTTTCTTTATATTAATATAAATAATCATCAGTCTTTAGTCAGACTACCCGATTTGATAAGAAATACTATACTATCCTATGCTATGTTAGGTTTTCCACTCCTCTGCTAATCTAGTAAAATAGTTTCAAGTATTATCAAATATAATATGAGGAATTATTGATTCTGGATTCGAGTGCATATAATTTAGTGACGTAAGAAGCAGTAAGGTAAATAAAATTAATTAATCTAATAAAGAAGTAGAAAAATATATAGGTTCAAACAAATCAGTGGAGTCGAGAATTATCAGCAACAATATTTCTGATGTCGTGAGACATAATATCATCAGAGTTAGTAATGAGAAATGTTTAACATTATATTAATAAATTTCTATTCATAAACAATTTATGGGATTATTAACAATATATTTTTGCTGTCTATGTTTATTAAAATAATTTATGATATAAAATTTCATTTAGAAAGTTTCTTATTGCGATACCTTTGGAGCGGAAGTGAAATTGAATTTCAGGAAAAAAGAAACCCATCAATCGCCATTTGGTGGATTTTGTACAATCATAATGGTGGTTGTTTTGGCCATCATTTTCATTCAAGGAGCAATTAGTCTCATCAAATAGGAATCATACACAGTACAAATATTTGCTAATCTCTTGAGATCGCATAAAACAGAGTGCTGAACATCGACCCCCCATTAACCATGATCGACTACACCGATTTTATGATGGCTTTCCAGGTAGAAGATCCAATAATTAACGGAACCAAACAACTAATAGACTTTACGTACACTGAATATGAGTAAAACATAAACGATAATGGCACATTGAGTAAAACAGAAAAATACTCAACACCCCTTGAGAAGTGTACAATCAAGCATTTCCAGGACTTCAATGAATCCACCATCTACAATGTATCACTTATCATATGATTCTAGAAAATACTCAAAAATCAACTCAATGGCTATTACTGTCTGCCACTCAATTATACTCTAATTTTGTAAGGCACCTACAAATCCAATACATTTCAATATGGCAGAATTACTGCTCTACTATGTTAAACTAGTTCCTGTTATTCCACTACTGAAATTCAATAATTATAACTCCTGGGTTATTTGAATAATAGTTTTAAAATCAACACTTTAATGCTAAACCGAATCCCAAATTTAAATCTGGAATCAAATTACATTTCCCAAATCTACTCTGACTTCTATATTTCAGCCAAGTTTGGCCTCGAAACCAAGACAGACATCTACCTTGAGAAACAGGCAATGACAGTGGACAATTCAGTTGTCCCAGGAATCCAAGACATAAACAACCAGCAAGTATTTTCCATAGTGGAAAACAAATTGGCACAACAATATGTGTATACCTCCAATTTTACTCAGGTTGCATCCTTTTACGTACGTCTTTCGCAATCTGAAACCCATCATTCCAAACAATACTATCGTGTAGATGAACTCATCTCCTACGTTGGTGGCATAACTAAGTTCTTGGCCACTGTACTGGGTTATTTTATTCTTCGTTATAATCAGACTGGTCTGTAAATTAAAATGGCTAATGCATTGTATTAATTTGATATGCCAGAGAAGAAAAAGGGAGAACTAGTCTTCTCTTTTCAGTCCCTGGTTACTAAAATAATAGACTCTATGAAGTCTGTTGACGATGTAGTTCAAAAATTTAAACATAGTGCTCATAGGGTTATTCACATGACAAGGGTTGCAACTGCATTAAAGTTTCCGATCAGCTCAACTCAACCTAACGAATCAGACAACGTAAGTGTGCATACAAACAAAGTGTAAGTCATTAGCAGCGATGTTCATTATGGGAACTTGAAATCAGAGAAATCTGTTGATTAATCTCATGAGAATCAACACCAACCCAATTTAGATAAGGATAAAGAGAAATTCTTAGATTAATTCATTAAGTTGATTTTGGAGAGCAAAAAGAAACTGTCTTTTGGTATCCTTTTTATAGTGAAACAAATGTGTGACTTATTCAAGAAGAATGGGACAGTCAATTATTAGGCTAAGATATTCGAAAAATCAAGGAAAATGATCTTGACAGACATGGACATTCTGGTTGTTATAAGCAAACTATAGGAAATTGAGAAGTTCAAGCACATCTTTCTCAATAAGACTCAAAGGAAAGTATTTAATTACTTGCCGAAACCAGTTGTGTGTATCTCTGAGAATCTGAAGGAGGCCTAATAGGATAAAGTATCAAACAACGATTTGGCAAATAAAAAGAATGACATGCTCAAATTCAAGAGCAGTTCGAAGAGTCTCTTGGGAGGCAGACAGATTTATAATACAGAACGCAAATTCAAGACGTTGTACAAAGCCTATGAAAGTTTGGCCCTAGATGTTCATGATAATAATGAAGAGCTTGAACACCAATAGAATTACCATCAGGATCATGACAACAATGAGGATATGGAACATCCTTCCAAAACTCATGAGGTTCACGAACACTCATTCAACAATAGAGTGAACCAAGAAAATTCATTGAATCAACGGTTGCTAAAGATGGTAGACACTACAATTCAGTATAGTTTCAATTCTCTTGTTGAACTGGAAAAACTATCCAAATAAGCCAGAGATGCTAAGAACAAAAGGAAGAGAGTCAACACTCCAGCTCGCAAGAATCGTATGGCTCAATTAGATTCGCAGAACGAAGAAGAAGAAGAAGACGAGATTGATTGCATTTCTCTTAAAGGATCAAAGAAGGAGCAATTGACAAAACGATCTCCTAATAGTTTGAATAGTTGTCACATTAAGAAAACTCATAATACTCTGGCTAGTAGTGCGAGACAACATCAAGAAATCAAATTAACGAAAGTCCTATCCAAATAAGACCTAATTGATATAGAAGTATATAGTTCATGATTATTTTTGTTTATCTCGATATTAATAAATTATTATAAAATGTATGGCGACGACGATCCACAGAGTGTGACCAAAATAAAATCGCATTTGGTGATAGATATGCAGAACCATAATGATATCATCAAGGAGAAATTGAGTGACCAGCCTAGAAAGGTGCTGATTTTGAATACAGGTGGAACCATATCAATGTTTCCATCTTAAACAGGATATGTCACAAAAACGGGTGCTTTGAAAAACTTTCTTCAAAACAACCCATTCTCATGTGACATGGATTTTACCTACTTCAAGGCTACTGACGATTTCCTAATTACTCCTTTAACCGCCTTTAACCGAAGGATATGGTTCAAAGTGGAGGAATTGGAAAAGTTGCTTGATTCTTCCAACATGAATTCAGATGATTGGGTAACCATAGCAGAAAGGATCGAGAAAGCCTATAAACAATATGATAGCTTCATCATTTTGCATGGAACAGACACCATGGCATACACGGCCAGTGCTTTGTCCTTCATGTTCCAAAACCTTTCCAAGACTGTTATATTGACAGGCAGTCAAGTTCCTTTATCACAACCAAGAAACGATGGCTTTACTAATTTTCTGAATGCCCTTACTATCGCTGGCCATTTCACAATTCCAGAAGTACTAATATGTTTTTAGGACAAATTGTTGAGAGGTAATAGAGCTTAGAAAGTGAATTCTTCCTCTTTGGATTCGTTTGATTCCCCCAAATTCACTCCTTTAGGATATTTCGGAGTGAACATTAGCATTAAATGGGATATCATCCTGAAGAATCCAAATGAAGAAAATCTAATAGTGAACAAGAAATTCTGTACGAATATCAGTTTGATACGTCTGAATCCCTTGCTGAATCATATCACTCTAAATGAGATATTCAAGAACGAAAAGTTGAGAGGAGTCGTGATAGAAACATACGGAGCAGGCAACATGTAAACAGAGGAAAAGTTTTGTAATGAAATCGCTCAGGCAGCCAAAAGAGGAGTAGTCATAGTCAACATCTCTCAATGTCACACATCCTAGGTCGAAATGCTCTATGAGACAGGCATCATATTTGAGAACATGGGAGTGTATCACATATTTATATCAATTCAACTTTAGTATAAGCGGAGGAGATATGACATCCTAAGCAGCCTTCACCAAACTGGGGTATTTATTGGGCAAGACTGACGACGTCGATAAGATAGAGGATGAATTTTAAAGGGATATTAGAGGAGAATTGACAGAGTCTGGCGGTGCAGCTGAGACTGAACCCTTCTTGATGGCCTTGTCGTCAGCCATCAAATAGCAGCACTCCAAAATAGATTTGAATAAAGATCTTGTGTTTCCAAATATCTTGTGTCAGATTTGTGTTCAGAAAAGGAAATTATCTTCGATGAAACTATCAAAGATTGTAAGGTCTATATTAAATGATAGGAAATCAATTATAAGGCTCAAGACTATGACAAGAGAAGCATATTACATGTGGCTGCAAGGGAAGGGTCGCTGGAGATTGCTGAACTCATTTTGAGGAAATGCCCACAAATCGTCAACAATGTTGATAGGTGGAAACATAGTCCCATGTATGAAGCTGTAATGGCTAAGAATACTCAGATGATCTAATTGCTCTTGAGATTCCAAGGCAAATTGATTGCTCCAATCAAAGAGTTAACCCAACTCTTGATGTAGGATGTTGCGAATGGCAAAGAGGAGATGCTCAATCTCTTCTATGAAGCTGGTGAAAGAGATTTCACCCAATACAGAACGGAGGACAACAGAACTGTTGCTCATTTGGCTGTGTCGGTTGGCAACGATGTCGCTTTGCAATTCCTCTCTAACCCGGGAGTGATTTTTGATTGGTAGGTCCAAGACAAGTTTGGCAGAATACCGAAAGACGAGAAACTTTTATAGAAAAGACTATTAAAAAGGTGATTAAATCACATAAACATTTAAGCAATTATATTTTTAATTATATTAAGCATGTAACATTGCTGTTCTTTATGTGGGATGTCACTTGGAACCTTAAAATAAGCGCTATTCTTGTTTCCTATAGAATTGAAGACTCAATACAAAAATTTTTATATCCAACAAATAGTGTTGAAATTGATTACACTGCACAACCACTAACTCATACTCATCGATCACTTCATCCTGTTTCACAACGAAAAACACATTTGCGAATTATGCTGGCAACTAATTCAATAAGGTTTCACTTGTTAGAAATGCCAAGTCTATAACTTTGTATAGAATGGACCAATAAAGCATTGCAATTTCTGTCAATCCAATCTCTGTTTATACTGTGGATCTCTACTTGACCTCTTTTCAACCTCCAAAGGCATTTGCTACTCCTGTTAGAAATAGGAATTTCTCTACTACAAAATAGCTTACATCGTAATGATCCTATTCGTTGGATTGCTTTTGCCCTACTTAGCCTTCAATTACTTGTTGACCAAATTCTTCGACCCAATCCACCAATATGATTTTTGTAAGGATAGATTTTGTACTGCTCTGCTCCTCTTCATTTTGCTTTTCCCTCTTCTATTCCCCTACGCAATCATCTAGTTGATCTTTACAGGAATCAAATCCATCATCAGAAACTTTCGATGACTTGATCTATTCATAGTACTGCATTTAAAATAATATAGAAATTTTCTTATTTATATAGAATCTGAACATCTTGTCCTCGTCCTCTCCCTGCAACTGCCCACTCCCAAACAACAATCAATCAGATTGCCACCTCTCGTTGTCAAAATATTAGGCCAATACAATAATATCGCAAAAAATTAGAGATACCAACTATCACCGAGAAATTGGAAAATATTAATTCCTTATTATTAATAACAGCCTGAAATGAGGAAATTTAATAAAACAATTTATCATAATTCATTCAAACCTTCTATTCAACCAGAACTATTGTATTGGCACTTCCTAATCATTCAACCTGAAATGCTACTAATATTCACCAGCCACAAGCTCGTCACTTCGAATCATACTACCACATGCCATGATGAAACCAAAACTTCCCCCACTCACTATTACTGATATTGGAATCATAGATAATTTTTTGTATTAAACTGCTGCCCACAATCCCGTAACTAATCCAAACCCACCTCCAACCAGTGATCCCATTATGAAACCTTACTTTGCGTACACTTAAACTTCTGCAAACTTTCTTTTCACTATTCGCCATTTCCTTTATCTCGCAGTCTCCGTTTATGGAGCCTCCAATCTATCCTTCAGATTTTGCTCAGACAGCAACTTCTCATATTCGTCTTCCTTGCCAGACATAAAATTAAATATTTAATAATAAATTATAATAATTATCTCTTCTAAAACTCAATACATATTGAATAATGAGCAATAACCATCTCATAAAATTCATTCAAGCATGGCCAAACAAATAAAACTTTAATTGAACTCTTCAACCTTTAAGAAGTAAATATTAACTAACTTGAATTTTAAGATAGATTCCCACTTAACTGGGGTATCAAGATCCTATTGTTTACTTATTAGTAACTTTTCAAAGATTCGTTCTTTTTTCAATGAAAAACTCAAATAATCAATCAGGGATCTGATTTCATTTCAGAATTCATCAAATATGGAACCTTAAATTAACGAAATTTCTCTTTATCTCTATAAATATATATTCAATGCAATCACTTCTATCTTGAATAGAATTCATTATTAAAAGTTAAGTTTATCCTAAATGAATGAGATACACTCTACCTCATAATGAATCACAATCATCTCCTTAGAAACTAGTTAAATATGCTTTTATTAATAAAAATAAATTTCTTCAATTTGTCAATTAATGAAAAATTAATCAACTTAATTTTATTTTGCATCCAGATATTAAAGATTTTATAATACATTAATACGTCAATCAATAAATTATAATGATAATTATTGCGATAGATTTAATTACACAAGCAAAATAATTAATAATAAATTTATATGCCATATATCATTCCGCAACTCTTTTCTATATATAATATTTTTTCAAAAGTAGTATTATTGATTTAATCACCTTAGCAATTAGCAAAATACCAAATCCAATTAAACAAATGCAGTAGATTAAAGGAAACATTATCACAAATGACGACACGCAAATTATTTTCTAAGATTGTGTATACTAAATTTTTTCAAAGGTTTTAACTAATTTGCTTGCTAGATACTTAAAGGCTAGGCAAGGAAACATAAAAGCAAAAAACAATGAAAACAATTGTCGTGTTGAATTAGCACTATCTGACTGATGGAATTAGCAAAAAGTGCATAATCCATTCTATGAAAACAAATCAACTCTTCTAAAGCATTTCCTGCAATAAACAGCTTTGCAAAGGAAGCATATTTTTATCTCTTGTGTGCAATGATAGTTATAGGTATTGCATTTTTGACATTAAAATCCTTAATACATGAATGTCCAACATTCATCACATATGTCTTTGTTTATTATGTAGCAAATGTGAGTATCTGATAAGCTAACCTGCTAAGTCTATTTTTCATTTAATTTTTAAGTCATTCTTCGAAAATAATTAGGTATTGTTCCGAATAACAAGTGCTTAGGGTATGATAAGATCCCTTTTAAGTTAAACTTATGTTTCTTGTTACATATACGGCATTATTTTTACATAATTATAGTAATAATATTATGTCAATTCAATCTTTTATATATTATTATTAAATTTTAGGTGGAATAATAATTGATTCATTCTGAGTGCATATATTGATGATTCCAATTAATCATTAATAATATTATTAGAAATCCTCCAATTTTCATTTATTTCAGACAATTATTTATCAAACATTGATATTATTAATAAAATTATACGCTCTAAAAACTTAATTCTCAAAAATTTTTCAAAAAATATTCTGTTCTAAAATTTAATTAAAACTAAAAATTAATGATTATTGTAACTAAAATTGTTAACCTGAATAAGATATTATCAAAATGTCAGAAAGATTCATCAAAAGAAAAAAGCCTTTAATTTGAAGTGAAATAATTTGGATTCTAGCAAAGAATGGGTGAGTAGAAATTCTTGAATGTGGGAAGTGGTTCTTTTGAATTGTAGGATTGAAAACTGATTCAAGATTAATAAAGAAATTTCATCCTTTCGTTGACCTAATTTTCATTTGAATAGATAACATTAAATAAATCACTTGGGTTTTTGAATTTAAGGTTCCATTATGGACTCTTCGTTCTTGGATCTGAATAGAGGATCAACTGGACTTAGATTAAGATTGCGCTACTGGGAGATTTGGATCTACTCAAAAAATTGCACTATGTTCTTGTCGATCATATGCAATAATTTATCATCTATTGTGCTTTTGTGTCTATCTTATTATAAGGATGAGAACGAAGAGTAATAATCTTTAAGTTTAGTCTGAAGTTTTTTATTGTTAATCATTCTAAAACTCTTTTGCAATTCCATCTCTTAGAAGAACTCATCAGCTAGATTGTCAGGAATTTCTTATCCAATTTGCAGAAGAGGTTTAGGAAGTAAATCAAATAAATTATTTTGTTCCTCATTTAGAAGTACTAATCTAAGCATGTCTATCTAATGTAGTTTCTCTATTATCTTGACAATATCCAATTGTCTCAAGATTTCTAGTTTCACTTTTGTAAACATTTCTCTTTTCCTTTTATTACATCCCAGTAAAATGATGAAAGATTCATATAGACTTTTAGAGAGTCTCTCCTCTTTCTTTGGCAACTGATCCTATCCTATCATAGATAATGGGTCATCAAAGATAGGATCGTCCTTTGTTTGATTGTTTAAATTGATCTTTTGATGCGAATGTTTAGGATTTTGAGTCTTTGGAAATCGGTACAACTCGTTAGCAATTGAGATTGTCATTAGATTGTTGATCAAAGGATTCAAAATTATGGTAGTTAGCATCACAAAGAATTACCAAATACCACCGATTTTGCTTAATATAGTCTGTAATTTGATATAGGTTCTACGATATATAATCTCCTTATAATCCAGTTGAATGTAATGATACACTAAGTAATTGTCATTGTACAACTCAGAATATTCTCTTCTATCTTGTTTGACCAGATTTAAATCTACCCTATCTGTTGAGAGAAGCAAACCATCATCTGTGTGAGTTTCCACGATTCTATAAGTCCACTATAACATTTTAGAGGTGGTGATTGAAAAGCTGTTAATATCCAAATTGATTAATTAAGAATAAGGTTGGCCTGGATTATTCAATTGCATCAGATAATCACTGGCATATACAGAATAATGACCTGCTGATAAAACTTTATTGATTTCTTCCTTGGATGCACAACCCTAATATTCTGTGCTATTTTTGCAAACACTTAATTGAATTACCAAGTACTAGTACAAGGATCCAGATATTTGTCCCTGCAAAACCTAAAAGCTAATGAAAGCAAATATACTGGTGGGTTTCTTTATAAAAATTCTCTATCTAAACACTAAACTACACCTAATCTTGTATTCTCAAAGAAGTTTTGTTGTAATTCATGATTGAAATCTTCCTTTTTACATGGTGCTATTGGAAGACTTGTACAACTAGTTTTAAGCAACTCATACTTCAATGTAACATCGACACTTCCTGTGTTATAATTAACATTTCTCACCCTCACACATTAATTCACAGTGATATTGTAATACTTCAAGTTTCCTTCAATTGGCTCCGAATTTTGATTTGCTATAGTTATCGCTAATGTAAAGTTATCGTTATAGAGTGGAAATTACTTTATAACAAAAACTAATACTGTTGAGTTAAATATTTGCTTCTCCGATTACACGACACTAGGCTCTGCTTGATCAATTAAAGTAATTAATTCAGTTATTAAATAAATCAAGGTAGCTGAACCTATAAGGAAGGTCATACAACACCCAACTAAAGTTGTATATCTCGCTTTTTCAAGCACTCTAAAATTTGGTAATTATCCATATATGTCGCAAGTGTCGATGGTTTAATTACCCAAACTATTTAGGATTTTCTTTGATTTATCAAACATTCTGGATTTAAATGACAATTAATACAAATTTAAACAATTGATTAAAATGATTTTCGGAATAAAATATTATAAGGTTAATTAACAACGTCAATCTTAACTTAACATCACACCAATTAGATAGAAGACCACTTCGAAATATTTAATCAAAATTTCAATTAGGTTAAAATTGTTGAATGTCTATTATTGGAGAGCTTAAAGTTTATTACCCTTCTATAAATAATTATTCCCTGATATATTAAGTCACATCTTGGGTATATCATATATCTTCAGTCACATTATCTTAGACTAGTTAACAATGAAAATATTTTTAATCCTAGCTCCTTTACACAACTTCGAATGAAAATTACAACTCAGTTATCTATCAAACGTACATATAATTAAATTCAAAATCATAAGCAAGCAGGCACATTCCTCTTTCAATTCAGAACTATTAATATCTCTGTCGACAGTATTCAGTGATACTATCTATAGATCCCTTATTTAATAAGCCATTCTGAAGTACAATCAACTCTATGAAGGAAGCCCAGAAGTCATTTATGATACCCTATCTTCTAAATTGACATCAACTTTGTATATTTCTTAAAAATCTACTCTTTCACTTTTTCAAGATAATTATATTAATTGACGAAAATTAATATTAGGTGTATTAAGTTTGCTTGAGTATTTCAAGAGACTAAGGTTATCTCAGAGACCATAAAGTTTGGTTCTTTATGATTAAAATATAAGAAGATATTTTCAAACTTTATTATTATAAAATTATTAATATCTAAAAGAGACTTTTATTATAAAATAAAATAAATTTTTAATAGAACTTAAATAATTATATCATAAAAGGGTAACGCTTCAAATAAAACAAAGAATTGCGGCCAACAACAGTATATAAAAAGTTACTGAATACAAATGACTAAATAAAATAATGAAATTAATTACTCTTATAATGAATTGTAATATTTCAGTGTGATCATGATTGAGATCAACTGGGCAACGGAAGTTATTTATGATGCAATATTCTGCTATATGAAGTTTAAAAAAAATAAAGTAATCAAAGGTAAAACTACTAGAGAGCTCCATATTAAAATTTGCCTGAATTCAAAAGAGAATTCTAATTATTTTACTTTTAACTTTGAAAAAACAAATATATATCTAAAACAAATGAAAGCAAATAAAGCAGTTTATCTTATTTACCATTGTTCTAGAATTAGTAAATTGCAAATTAAAATCATCTAACAGGCTAATACTTAAAAAATCTTCTTCCATGTTACCTTCTTTTATTCATCAATTTGAAGTGCATCATTATTATTACTATAATCAAATTATATACCACCTCTTAAGTTATCATTAATGACAGGATTTGGTGCTTATTGACTTTCATAAAGAATCTGCATTCTAGGCCCACTCTTTTTTTCAATATTTGATAACAATCTCGTGAGGGTTTTGTCGTTTTAATAAATAATTTCAATCTCCTTGCCGAGTTAATCAAAATTAATTGATTTCAAGGTCTTGAGAAGACCGAATTTGATTTCTCCACAATCATCTTAAAACTTAATCACATTGAAGTTCACTTAATAGATTTTGATATTCTTACCTTGGTTTAGCTGGTTGGTCTATTGTCTCTAAGGAAATCCACTAATGCTGTTCTTAGCATAGGACTATCGTTTGTCCCCCAAGAAACCCATTAGAGACTCCTGTTTAATAGGTTATTTACTCCTTTCTGTAGTAGCTTAGCGTCCAATATTGATTTCATTAGGATTGGGAATCTGCTTTGGTGTTATGTTCTAGTTGCACTCATATATTGATTGAATGGCTGGTAGTTATTAAGGGTATTATTCCATTTCTTGATCCAATTTTCCTGTGTTGTTTGGACTTTATGTATTCAAAATATTTATTTAGGGGATGTGGCTGTCGTCTTGCTTCTTCAAATAATATTTAAATATCAGAAAGAACGCTGCTGCTATTGTGAAATCTAATAATTGTTGTAGATTATATTTACACTAAGAATTTCCAATGATCCTGGTCTCAATCATAAAGATGCTGATATTGCAAATAGAGAACAGGATTGAAATCTTTTGTTTATTCAATTCTCGGTCGTAAATATAAAATAAAGTGATCACAGAAGAAGATAATAAAATCAATTACAATTGCAAAAGCTCGTTATTCATGATTTTATTATTCTTACTTTAATTATTTATTCGAGCCCTAATTCAATTCTAATCTAAAGATATCCTATCATAAATAAAATGACATCACAAAGATATTAAATTTGATTTAAAACAAGAAAATTTTATTATATTCTTGACTCAGAATAGTCATACTCCAGAATAAAAAGAACTTCTAGAATGGAAATATACAATTTTATTCATTATAACATTTATTATAATGACTTTGTGTATTATTTATTAAAAGAGACTCACCACTTTTTTAATTACGGTAAAACTTAAGAAATTAGACAATAACTTTATTGGGAGATTTTTAAGTTTTCAAGAATATTATCATTCTTCTTTTCTCAAAAAGATCCAAAAACAGATCCAATAATGATGCTTCAAGCAGTTGGAGTAACTCGATTTTACCCTCTACCTGATAGTTTGGCAAGGATTTTATGGAAATGTTCAATGGAAGCTTGCCACATTTTTTATCAATGACATTATTGAAAATAAAAGAGTAGCACACGATAAAGGCTAATTTTACCTTAGCAAAGAACCTGATCTATACACAGCAAATTTTTGGAAATACTTTATCGTATTCGTTTTTAGAATGTATTATCAAGTCAAATGCTGTTTTTGTTTAAAATTTATATGATATCAAGAGTGTTGATTCTCCTTCTTGAAAATTCACCTTAAAGAATCTTTTATTGACCGCCTATTTTAATAATTAATTAAATGATACTTGTCTGAATGCATGGTCACAATGTAAATCATTCAGAATTGAAAAGAGCTTTTAAATTAAATTTGTGGTCGTACTTTCAAATTTAATTTAGAACCTTCAGTAATGGTAGTTCCAGTATGTTGTTTAACAAAGATTAATTAATTCTTGCTCTAAGAGATGAGATTGAAGAGGTCTTTTATTCAGATATGATCTGTAGATTATAAAGATGACATATAACGAATGAAATAAACAAGCTCCAAAGAAATCTTGAAAATACGAATCCTTTGTGTATGTTCCAGAAGAAAAAGAAATAATAGTTAAAATCAGCAAATGCTATAAATCTATGCCATCATTAAGAAAAATTTAGTCGGATTTTATGCCAAAAATAATCAAAGTATAAGAAAACGAAAAATTAAGAATCAAGCAATAGAGAATAGAAATCTAAGATGAAAGATTGAAACATTATTAAGGCGAAAGGCTGTTCAGATCTTAAATTCTCCAGTCCCGCTTTGTGCAGTCTAATAGTTAATCTATTTAACAATCCTTATTCATAAAATTAATATTCTTGATTATCTTGTATTTATTCATCACGACATATTATCTTAATAATTCAATTAGATACAAAATAATCGAATTAAAATACTGAGTGGATTGTGAAATCTATTTGTTACTACAACATTTTTCTCAATTTTATTTTAACGTATTTTAAAATAATATTTTAAATGGAAAACAATTATTTCACATTCTACATTAGACTTCAACCCAATATCAAATTGTTATCTCCTTTAACTAACGCCTACTAAAATTTTTGTTAATGAAGATTTTTTTGGGTCATAATTGTCCATCATCTAACTGAAGTGAAAACATATATATTACTATTTTTTTCATTTTTGATTATTCTTTCTATTACTACTTCTTCATATCTCTAACGGCCTAAATCTACTATTCATTTAATTAAAATACAAATACTATATCTTTGAATTACATTTTTATAAATAAATTCAATAAATAACATAAATATTCACAAGCAGGATTTATAACCCTAAATTAAGAGTGAAAAATACATAAATTATTTACTTAAATGAAAATCGCAAAAATTTTACTTCTTTTTTGCATCATCTCTTCAGTTTTCACATAACTTTCTTAAGGTGCTTCTGAGGCTGGACAACGTAAGATCTTTAAATCTACGGTATTTTAGCTATCCCTGGAAGCTCTGGTCCAACATAAGGTGCCCCTACTGGTTCACAAGGATAATAAAATACTTCTGGTATCTAATAATATATTATAATTTAGGTGGTCAATAGCCAGGAGGATAGCAATAAGGTGGAATACCACAAGGAGGCATGCAATAAGGTGGACAATAAGGTGGATAATAAGGTGGACAATAAGGTGGACAATAAGGTGGATAATAAGGTGGTCCATAAACTGGAGGAAAGGCGAAGAAATGTTAACCAACACAATCATAATAGGGATAATAATAAGGACAACAATAATAATAATAACCTAGTCAATAAACTGTGCCCGGGAATCAGATTCCTGGTTAATAAGTTTAATAAACAAACTAATAATAACCTGCAGGATAATTTCCTGGTGGAAACTAACAACCTGGTGGATTTTAATAACCAGGGGGAGCTTAATAACCAGGAGGTTCCTAATAACAAGGTGGGCTTTAACAGCCAGGAGGAGCCTAACAACCAGGAGGAAGCTAACAACAAGGCGGATTTTAATAACCAGGAGGATCCTAATAGCCAAGCAGTACCTAATAGTCAGGAGGAGTCTAATAGCCAGGCAGTACTTAATAACCAGGTGGAACCACATAATAAGGTAGCACTTAATAGCCAGGTGGACCTTAATAATAAGGTGGAGTCTAATAACCAGGAGGCACTTAATAACAAGGAGGAGTTTAAAAACCAACTGGTCCTTAATAGTAAGGAGGATAATTTCCTGGATAATAATAAGGAGGTTAGCAATAAGGATAAATAGGATAATCAGGTTAACAATAAGGATAAATGGGATAATCTGGTTAATAATAAGGATAAATGGGATAAGCTGGCTAATAATAAGGACAAACAGGATAAGGATAAATGGGATAAGGACAAGGATAATTTGGATAAGGATAAACCGGATAGGGTTAAGGATAAATGGGATAAGGCTAAGGATAAATGGGTTAAGGGCAAGGATAAATGGGATAAGGGTAAGGACAAGGATAAATGGGATAAGGGTAAGGACAAGGATAAATGGGACAAGGGTAAGGATAAGGATAGATGGGTTAAGACTAAGGATAAAAACCTTAAGGACCTCCTTAATCAAAAGGATAATGGGCTCAAGATTCAGTATAGTAACAACAATGTGTTGAAGTTGAAGTGACTTGTGCTGAGAATGAAATAGTGTTCAAAGACAGATGCATTGCTTAAACCTGTGAAAACTTAGATAAAGTTTAAAGCAAATAGGAAGGTGGAAAGAAGATGCTCCCAATGAAGTTTGATGGAAAAGCTGACTTCAATGATAATAAAGATGTTGTTGTATAATTGGCGTTCCCTGATAACAAAGAGAAGCCACTTGTTAAATCAGACGGAAATGCCAATGCTTGTATAGATAGATAAATTTACAGATATAGACCAAGTTTCTTAAGTGAAACATTAGATGATTCAACAGTTACAAGCAGTTATGATGATGATAAATAATTAAGAATTTGGGAATTTACAATATTGAACACAGATATTGATAGCAAGTTATTCAAAGATGAATAATCAGATAAGGTTGTTTATACTGGTTACTACTCAGTCAAACTAACAATCCAGGAGAAGAAATTGGTTTAATTTTACTTCACATTCTTTGTAGCAGTGGACTTAAATGGTAATGTCTTAACAGCCCAAGCCACATCTGAAGCATAAGATGATACTCCTGCTTGTGCAACTGAAGATAATTGTGTTTCAAGAGCAGAAACTGAAGTAGGATTTTGTAGTGACTAAACTTGTTCAACCCTTGTTGATTAGCCATAAGTTTATGCTGGTTAAAATTTCTATGTTGTTTAAAGAGTAAAATAATCCGGATTTGAGAAATGGAAAGTTGGAGATGCTGATGTTACTATTACAGGTGATGGAGTTAATAAAAAATTGAAGCCAACCTAGTAGCAAAAATCACCTGGATAAACTATTTATATTTTAAATGTCGATATTCTCGCTAATAATGTTGAATTCTCAGTCAATGGTAAACTTGAAGATCCAAATTCAGCCCGTAGATTCAGATTTTTAGAAGATGCTACTACAACTGATGGTGCTGAAGTCTCTTCTGCCAAAGCTGTTGGTTCAACTACATTAGAATGCATAAAAAAGGATGCCAATTCTTCATGCCCAACTCCTGAAGAAGCTAAAGCATATAACAAACCAGATTGTGGAACAATTGGATAAATATCATGCGAAAGCAATAATAGTATCATCTCATCTTTAGTGATTTTTGCAATTGTTCTGCTAGTACAATGATACATAATTTACATCTATGAGATTATAAATAGAAATTTTACAAATGTATTTTAATTATTTAGAATTTATANTATATTTTCGTTTCAAAATGCAATAAAAAATGTTATTTAATTCTTTGTCTGTAAAATAAAGTATCTCAAATTATTAACATAAAATGTTTACTGGAAATTAAAGTGAAGGAGTGGATATTTTGCTTTAAGCATAAAAATAATTATTTTTTATCTAAATTTTATGAACGCAAATACTTCACTTTTTATGATTTTTCTTCCCTCCTTATATTAATTTCAGCTACCTTTTATTCTTCATAAATATTTGAGCAATATTTCATAAGACGACAGTATTTAAAAATCATTTTGGCAATTTTTTTTACTTATTTATGATGATCCTCATATTAAGATAATAAATTATATATTAAGCTTATGCTTAAAGTTATACCCATGCAATATTCATAGCAGTAGTACACGTTATTAGATAGCATCTCTCAAGTAGTTATGAGTAAATTTCTTAGCATTTCTGTAGAATGAAAAAGGAAAAAGTTTTAATAACCTTGGCTTTGCAGCAAAGATTAATAGTCTGTATAATTATTTGATTCCAGATGTTTTTATTTCATTCAAATGGCGAATAAAGTTGTCTTTGTGTAAGAATCTTGCAATAATTGGGCGTTAAAATTATTATAACATTAGAGTTTAACAAGTTACTTGTAAGATTTATTCATTTTTGGTGTCATTTCGAAAATTATCTTATCATTGTCATCTGGATATTAATTGAATCATCCATAATCTATTGTTAAACTGAAGTTATCCAAGAAGTTATAAAATTATAATGAATCTTAATTTAAGAAAAATACATTGAATTAATAATTTAGAATAAGGAGAAAAGCTGAAGACTAAAGATTTTTATTTATATCTTAGGAATGGATCGCTTTACATCTTGTAATAACATTTAGATGATGAAAAGTATCTGACTAATTCCTTCTAGAGCTAAAAAGAAAAGGCATAAATAAGAATTTATTGAAGAAAATTAACAAAAGTTATAAATTATGATAATTTACAGAGGTCAAGGTTTAAGAACAACAATAGTGTTAAGGTTTTACTATATATTTGAGATATCATAAAATAGAGAGAAATAAGATTGAGTGAAATAATTTTTTCAGGCCAAGTCTTAAAATTAGCCAATAAAAATCTAAAAAAAATCAATTATGTACTCGCAAAAATATGGAGAAATTGATTTTTGCTTTTATTTTTATCTTATTTACTTTTAGCATTAAATTATTACAGATATTCAATATTAACTATCTTTTAATGTCAATGCTATCTAAAATTTTTGGAATGCTTAAAGAAGAAGCAGCAAAATTATTAAACTTTAATACACATCACATATAAATTTTCTCATTATATATAGATTTCTGAAGAATATAAGGAAACCTAAACTCTTCGCTAGAAAAAATATCGCAAGATCTTTCTTTCAAATTTGAGAGAAAAATTTATCAAAGTCTTATTCTGTTAAGAATGTTCCTTTCATTTTTTGTTTAGTTAGTTAAAAAAGATAAAGTTAGAATATTATATCAACCCATATTGAGAATTATTGAAAAACTGAGTGCAAACATTAAATTAAGAATCTTTATATATAATTGAAACTATTTTTAATAGAAATAAGTTTATATTAATTAAATAAAGAAAGAAAAATGAACGCGATGACATATTAAACTCAGCAATACTACTCTTATAAGGACTTAAAATCATTATAAGAAATTCTAAAAATTGATTCCATTGGATTTTTTAATATTTATGAAGATGAATAAATAATTGAATACTAAATCGATAGATCCAAATGTTTAAGATTAAGTGATCTCATTTTAATGATTGTATGTTTATTATTAACACTTATTAGAACCAAGAGTTTTTTATAATTTCTCTAGGACAACTACTAGGTGTATTTCTTGATATATTAAGGAAGGTGATATCATAAAAAATTTAACATAACATCGATCACTCATATCTTGACGATAATAGAATTTGGTTGGTATTTCAAGATCCAAATTAATGTATAAGTTTTGAGTACTAAACAATTGAATATGAAATTACTTTTACAGGATATCAATGTGAATTATATGAAGAAGGTTCAGAGACAAAAATTCCTGCAGAATAGAAAGTATAAAGAATTATTAAGGATATATTAATTAATTTGAAGAACAACAATAATTTTATTAATTCTTCTGAAAGAGATAGAATCCTTGAATACATTTATGATCCAATCATTTAAGAATGTGATAAAATGAATATTTAAAATACTCAAAATTTAATTCTAGATATTTTAAATGAATTTAATTTCAACAGTGAAGAATAGACTATTACATTAGATAAAATCAAAATTATATATGACAAGACAAATTTATATTTAACACATATAAATTTTAAGAAGTTCATTGAAAATTTAAAAGGAGAGAGACCATTTATTTTAGAAACTTTCCTATTTTATAAGTTAAAATATTTTTAATACAATCAAAATAGAATAGAAAATGAGTTTTTCCATTCTGATAATAACAAAGAAATTGAAAAGGGGTTGTAGACATTGAAATCATTCTATGAGAAATATTAATGCTCATTTGAAAAGAATATAGAAAGTATCATTTAAACATAATTTGAAAATATTCTAAAGGAACAAATGGAAAATTATAAATTTATGATTTCTGAATAGGAGAAACAAGAATTAATTACAAGTATATTAAATAGAATTTTAAATATGAAATTGAATAGATACTTTTATAATTCTCCACATTATTTTTTAAAAGCATAGACAAAATAAATTTTAGAATATCAGTTAAATTCACTTTCTAAATACTCATAACTTATAACTACAGAAGAAGTGGAACTCTTAATTCATTAAAAAAATTATGAATTAATATAATAAATAATTTGATTTTTTTAGATATTTTTCTCCTATCCATTTTTTGTAGTTCTATTAAGTACTTCTCATTATTTTCTCTCAAACATTTTCAATCTATATAAGATTAATATCAAAACTCTATAGTCCATAATTTTGAGATTGGATTTCATATAAGATTTCTAAACAGGTTTAATGTGTTACCCCATCTAAAATTGTAAATTAAAAACTGGATATAAATAGAGCAAAAATAGATTGAATTTCATATTAAATTTTTTTTCTGAATACAAAAGTTATCATATTGTATTAAGTTTGATCTAGTTTCATTTAGCTAAAGAATTAACAATGGAAGAAATCTAAATTAAGTTAGCGATGCTACTTTGCACACATATATATATATATTAGCAGCAACTACACTTAATATACTTAAAAAATAATTAACCTAAATCATAGTTTAGCTACTTATAATTTAATAAATGAATTTTGTCTCATAATTTTCCTTGTTTAATGAGTGTTACTGTGTAAACTTATGTTACGTTTGTTAATATCCGTTTACCCTGTATTTTATTATTTAATAGTTTAATAATACTCCATCAAAATACTTGATATAATTTCCCACAAGATTTAAGTTATTATTTGATATTTGTTTTAAAAGAAAGAGATGTAGTTTGCAACATAAAAATAGATAGAGATTGTCTAATCAAGTATTGGTTAAATTGAAGAATAAATTTTTTAAACTATATGCTTTAATAAATTTAGTACAGCGACAATTCCTTAGAATAGAATATAGTTATTAATTAGTAGGGAGTAAATCGAATTTGAAATTAATGAAATTGTTCTCATATTAAAGATTGGTTCAATTTTAATAAGTTTATTGTAAATAAATTATCTAATAAAATGAATTCTAAAATAAACTAATGAAGATTAAATCTTTAGCATTAAAATGTAGAAATATATAAAATTGTAAAAATAACTATTTTTCAAATTAATTCATTAATCAACTACAGTATTTTTAAATCAATTAAGAGTTCCACTTCTTCTGTAGTTATAAGTTATGAGTATTTAGAAAGTGAATTTAACTGATATTCTACAATTTATTTTGTCTCTGCTTTTAAAAAATAATGTGGAGAATTATAAAAGTATCTATTCAATTTCATATTTAAAATTCTATTAAATATACTTGTAATCAATTCTTGTTTCTCCTATTCAGAAATCTCAAATTTATAACTTTCCATTTGTTCCTTTAGAATATTTTCAAATTATGTTTAAATGATACTTTGTATTTTCTTTTGAAATGAGCATTAATATTTCTCATAGAATGATTTCAATGTCTACAACCCCTTTTCAATTTCTTTGTTATTATCAGAAAAGAAAATCTCATATACTATTCTATCTTGAGTATTTTTATAAGTTTTTAACTTATAAAATAGGAAAGATTCTAAAATAAATGGACTTTCTCCTTTGAAATTTTCAATAAACTTCTTAAAATTTGTTTGTTTTAAATATAAACTTCTCTTGTCATATATAATTTTGATTTTATCTAATGTAATAGTCTATTCTTCACTGTTGAAATTAAATTCTTTTAAAATATCTAGAATTAAATTTAGAGTATTTTAAATATTCATTTTATCACATTCTTAAATGATTGGATCATAAATGTATTTAAGGATTTTATCTCTTTCAGAAGAATTAATAAAATTATTGTTGTTCTTCAAATTAATTAATATATCCTTAATAATTCTTTATACTTTCTATTCTGCAGGAATTTTTGTCTCTGAACCTTCTTCATATAATTCACATTGATATCCTGTAAAAGTAATTTCATATTCAATTGTTTAGTACTCAAAACTTATACATTAATTTGGATCTTGAAATACCAACCAAATTCTATTATCGTCAAGATATGAGTGATCGATGTTATGTTAAATTTTTTATGATATCACCTTCCTTAATATATCAAGAAATACACCTAGTAGTTGTCCTAGAGAAATTATAAAAAACTCTTGGTTCTAATAAGTGTTAATAATAAACATACAATCATTAAAATGAGATCACTTAATCTTAAACATTTGGATCTATCGATTTAGTATTCAATTATTTATTCATCTTCATAAATATTAAAAAATCCAATGGAATCAATTTTTAGAATTTCTTATAATGATTTTAAGTCCTTATAAGAGTAGTATTGCTGAGTTTAATATGTCATCGCGTTCATTTTTCTTTCTTTATTTAATTAATATAAACTTATTTCTATTAAAAATAGTTTCAATTATATATAAAGATTCTTAATTTAATGTTTGCACTCAGTTTTTCAATAATTCTCAATATGGGTTGATATAATATTCTAACTTTATCTTTTTTAACTAACTAAACAAAAAATGAAAGGAACATTCTTAACAGAATAAGACTTTGATAAATTTTTCTCTCAAATTTGAAAGAAAGATCTTGCGATATTTTTTCTAGCGAAGAGTTTAGGTTTCCTTATATTCTTCAGAAATCTATATATAATGAGAAAATTTATATGTGATGTGTATTAAAGTTTAATAATTTTGCTGCTTCTTCTTTAAGCATTCCAAAAATTTTAGATAGCATTGACATTAAAAGATAGTTAATATTGAATATCTGTAATAATTTAATGCTAAAAGTAAATAAGATAAAAATAAAAGCAAAAATCAATTTCTCCATATTTTTGCGAGTACATAATTGATTTTTTTTAGATTTTTATTGGCTAATTTTAAGACTTGGCCTGAAAAAATTATTTCACTCAATCTTATTTCTCTCTATTTTATGATATCTCAAATATATAGTAAAACCTTAACACTATTGTTGTTCTTAAACCTTGACCTCTGTAAATTATCATAATTTATAACTTTTGTTAATTTTCTTCAATAAATTCTTATTTATGCCTTTTCTTTTTAGCTCTAGAAGGAATTAGTCAGATACTTTTCATCATCTAAATGTTATTACAAGATGTAAAGCGATCCATTCCTAAGATATAAATAAAAATCTTTAGTCTTCAGCTTTTCTCCTTATTCTAAATTATTAATTCAATGTATTTTTCTTAAATTAAGATTCATTATAATTTTATAACTTCTTGGATAACTTCAGTTTAACAATAGATTATGGATGATTCAATTAATATCCAGATGACAATGATAAGATAATTTTCGAAATGACACCAAAAATGAATAAATCTTACAAGTAACTTGTTAAACTCTAATGTTATAATAATTTTAACGCCCAATTATTGCAAGATTCTTACACAAAGACAACTTTATTCGCCATTTGAATGAAATAAAAACATCTGGAATCAAATAATTATACAGACTATTAATCTTTGCTGCAAAGCCAAGGTTATTAAAACTTTTTCCTTTTTCATTCTACAGAAATGCTAAGAAATTTACTCATAACTACTTGAGAGATGCTATCTAATAACGTGTACTACTGCTATGAATATTGCATGGGTATAACTTTAAGCATAAGCTTAATATATAATTTATTATCTTAATATGAGGATCATCATAAATAAGTAAAAAAAATTGCCAAAATGATTTTTAAATACTGTCGTCTTATGAAATATTGCTCAAATATTTATGAAGAATAAAAGGTAGCTGAAATTAATATAAGGAGGGAAGAAAAATCATAAAAAGTGAAGTATTTGCGTTCATAAAATTTAGATAAAAAATAATTATTTTTATGCTTAAAGCAAAATATCCACTCCTTCACTTTAATTTCCAGTAAACATTTTATGTTAATAATTTGAGATACTTTATTTTACAGACAAAGAATTAAATAACATTTTTTATTGCATTTTGAAACGAAAATATAAATATAATGCCAATGTTGAAAACCTTTGATTAATATCATCTATCATAATAAATCAAAATCTTTTTGTCAGGATAAGCAAATTTAAAAGAATAAAATTGATAATTTAATTATAACATTTGTAATTAAATAGTAATATAGTATTATTTGCTAGTTAGAATATATGATTATGATAAAATTTAATAGAAATATAATTATAATGTTAAAATTTTGTTATTATTCTCAAGAGGTTTACAATTTTTAAAATGAGGATAACTTGATAAAATCGTTTAGCTTAGATTATTTTCAATCAGGAAAATTAGATGAACTTAATAAAATAATAACTTACAACATAAATCACAGTAGATGTATAAGATTAAGTGATCTAATATTTTACATTGTAATTATTTTTATTTATATATTTATAGGATATAGACTTTGTTAGAATTCAATTTGGTTCATTCCTTAATTTANTATCTCTTTCAGAAGAATTAATAAAATTATTGTTGTTCTTCAAATTAATTAATATATCCTTAATAATTCTTTATACTTTCTATTCTGCAGGAATTTTTGTCTCTGAACCTTCTTCATATAATTCACATTGATATCCTGTAAAAGTAATTTCATATTCAATTGTTTAGTACTCAAAACTTATACATTAATTTGGATCTTGAAATACCAACCAAATTCTATTATCGTCAAGATATGAGTGATCGATGTTATGTTAAATTTTTTATGATATCACCTTCCTTAATATATCAAGAAATACACCTAGTAGTTGTCCTAGAGAAATTATAAAAAACTCTTGGTTCTAATAAGTGTTAATAATAAACATACAATCATTAAAATGAGATCACTTAATCTTAAACATTTGGATCTATCGATTTAGTATTCAATTATTTATTCATCTTCATAAATATTAAAAAATCCAATGGAATCAATTTTTAGAATTTCTTATAATGATTTTAAGTCCTTATAAGAGTAGTATTGCTGAGTTTAATATGTCATCGCGTTCATTTTTCTTTCTTTATTTAATTAATATAAACTTATTTCTATTAAAAATAGTTTCAATTATATATAAAGATTCTTAATTTAATGTTTGCACTCAGTTTTTCAATAATTCTCAATATGGGTTGATATAATATTCTAACTTTATCTTTTTTAACTAACTAAACAAAAAATGAAAGGAACATTCTTAACAGAATAAGACTTTGATAAATTTTTCTCTCAAATTTGAAAGAAAGATCTTGCGATATTTTTTCTAGCGAAGAGTTTAGGTTTCCTTATATTCTTCAGAAATCTATATATAATGAGAAAATTTATATGTGATGTGTATTAAAGTTTAATAATTTTGCTGCTTCTTCTTTAAGCATTCCAAAAATTTTAGATAGCATTGACATTAAAAGATAGTTAATATTGAATATCTGTAATAATTTAATGCTAAAAGTAAATAAGATAAAAATAAAAGCAAAAATCAATTTCTCCATATTTTTGCGAGTACATAATTGATTTTTTTTAGATTTTTATTGGCTAATTTTAAGACTTGGCCTGAAAAAATTATTTCACTCAATCTTATTTCTCTCTATTTTATGATATCTCAAATATATAGTAAAACCTTAACACTATTGTTGTTCTTAAACCTTGACCTCTGTAAATTATCATAATTTATAACTTTTGTTAATTTTCTTCAATAAATTCTTATTTATGCCTTTTCTTTTTAGCTCTAGAAGGAATTAGTCAGATACTTTTCATCATCTAAATGTTATTACAAGATGTAAAGCGATCCATTCCTAAGATATAAATAAAAATCTTTAGTCTTCAGCTTTTCTCCTTATTCTAAATTATTAATTCAATGTATTTTTCTTAAATTAAGATTCATTATAATTTTATAACTTCTTGGATAACTTCAGTTTAACAATAGATTATGGATGATTCAATTAATATCCAGATGACAATGATAAGATAATTTTCGAAATGACACCAAAAATGAATAAATCTTACAAGTAACTTGTTAAACTCTAATGTTATAATAATTTTAACGCCCAATTATTGCAAGATTCTTACACAAAGACAACTTTATTCGCCATTTGAATGAAATAAAAACATCTGGAATCAAATAATTATACAGACTATTAATCTTTGCTGCAAAGCCAAGGTTATTAAAACTTTTTCCTTTTTCATTCTACAGAAATGCTAAGAAATTTACTCATAACTACTTGAGAGATGCTATCTAATAACGTGTACTACTGCTATGAATATTGCATGGGTATAACTTTAAGCATAAGCTTAATATATAATTTATTATCTTAATATGAGGATCATCATAAATAAGTAAAAAAAATTGCCAAAATGATTTTTAAATACTGTCGTCTTATGAAATATTGCTCAAATATTTATGAAGAATAAAAGGTAGCTGAAATTAATATAAGGAGGGAAGAAAAATCATAAAAAGTGAAGTATTTGCNATATAAAGATTCTTAATTTAATGTTTGCACTCAGTTTTTCAATAATTCTCAATATGGGTTGATATAATATTCTAACTTTATCTTTTTTAACTAACTAAACAAAAAATGAAAGGAACATTCTTAACAGAATAAGACTTTGATAAATTTTTCTCTCAAATTTGAAAGAAAGATCTTGCGATATTTTTTCTAGCGAAGAGTTTAGGTTTCCTTATATTCTTCAGAAATCTATATATAATGAGAAAATTTATATGTGATGTGTATTAAAGTTTAATAATTTTGCTGCTTCTTCTTTAAGCATTCCAAAAATTTTAGATAGCATTGACATTAAAAGATAGTTAATATTGAATATCTGTAATAATTTAATGCTAAAAGTAAATAAGATAAAAATAAAAGCAAAAATCAATTTCTCCATATTTTTGCGAGTACATAATTGATTTTTTTTAGATTTTTATTGGCTAATTTTAAGACTTGGCCTGAAAAAATTATTTCACTCAATCTTATTTCTCTCTATTTTATGATATCTCAAATATATAGTAAAACCTTAACACTATTGTTGTTCTTAAACCTTGACCTCTGTAAATTATCATAATTTATAACTTTTGTTAATTTTCTTCAATAAATTCTTATTTATGCCTTTTCTTTTTAGCTCTAGAAGGAATTAGTCAGATACTTTTCATCATCTAAATGTTATTACAAGATGTAAAGCGATCCATTCCTAAGATATAAATAAAAATCTTTAGTCTTCAGCTTTTCTCCTTATTCTAAATTATTAATTCAATGTATTTTTCTTAAATTAAGATTCATTATAATTTTATAACTTCTTGGATAACTTCAGTTTAACAATAGATTATGGATGATTCAATTAATATCCAGATGACAATGATAAGATAATTTTCGAAATGACACCAAAAATGAATAAATCTTACAAGTAACTTGTTAAACTCTAATGTTATAATAATTTTAACGCCCAATTATTGCAAGATTCTTACACAAAGACAACTTTATTCGCCATTTGAATGAAATAAAAACATCTGGAATCAAATAATTATACAGACTATTAATCTTTGCTGCAAAGCCAAGGTTATTAAAACTTTTTCCTTTTTCATTCTACAGAAATGCTAAGAAATTTACTCATAACTACTTGAGAGATGCTATCTAATAACGTGTACTACTGCTATGAATATTGCATGGGTATAACTTTAAGCATAAGCTTAATATATAATTTATTATCTTAATATGAGGATCATCATAAATAAGTAAAAAAAATTGCCAAAATGATTTTTAAATACTGTCGTCTTATGAAATATTGCTCAAATATTTATGAAGAATAAAAGGTAGCTGAAATTAATATAAGGAGGGAAGAAAAATCATAAAAAGTGAAGTATTTGCGTTCATAAAATTTAGATAAAAAATAATTATTTTTATGCTTAAAGCAAAATATCCACTCCTTCACTTTAATTTCCAGTAAACATTTTATGTTAATAATTTGAGATACTTTATTTTACAGACAAAGAATTAAATAACATTTTTTATTGCATTTTGAAACGAAAATATAAATATAATGCCAATGTTGAAAACCTTTGATTAATATCATCTATCATAATAAATCAAAATCTTTTTGTCAGGATAAGCAAATTTAAAAGAATAAAATTGATAATTTAATTATAACATTTGTAATTAAATAGTAATATAGTATTATTTGCTAGTTAGAATATATGATTATGATAAAATTTAATAGAAATATAATTATAATGTTAAAATTTTGTTATTATTCTCAAGAGGTTTACAATTTTTAAAATGAGGATAACTTGATAAAATCGTTTAGCTTAGATTATTTTCAATCAGGAAAATTAGATGAACTTAATAAAATAATAACTTACAACATAAATCACAGTAGATGTATAAGATTAAGTGATCTAATATTTTACATTGTAATTATTTTTATTTATATATTTATAGGATATAGACTTTGTTAGAATTCAATTTGGTTCATTCCTTAATTTAATTCTATCTTTATTATAAAAAGTAGAATATATTGAAAGTGAAGGACTTTAACATGAATATCTGGATATGAATAGAATTTGGCTCTATTTTTAAGAAGATGGTTAATATCCAGGTCTAATTTATTAATTGTTAGATTATTCTATTCATTTTACAGGATATTCTTGTCCATTAGACAAAGGGAATAGAGTTAAATAAAAAGCATCTATTGAAATTAAATAAATTATAAGTGAAATCATTGATAAATGTTATAATAGAATTAGAATAAATCAGAAAAAAAATAAAGATAAGAATACTTCATTATACAAATAGGTAATATAACAAATTTAATCTTTATGTAAATCAAATTCAAGTAATGAAGCAATCATCTTTTATATATAAGAAATAATAGATTAATAAAAAATAGATTAATAAAAAAAGAGTAAACATTTTAAATTATTGGATATTGATGATACAGATATTGAACCAATAAGATAAAAAGCAGTTGACAAAGTTAATAATGTGATTAAATAAATTATTGAAATTGGAAATAAATATGGATAAGTTTGTATTGAATTATTATTGTAAGATATAATCCAATCAATGACTTAAAACTTGAAAACTTTCAAATTTGATCCATATCAATGTGAAAATGATGCTTAAACTAAATTCGAATGTTTAAAAAATAAGGAATTAGAACTAAAATAATTTGTTGAAAAATAAATTAAAAACTAGATACTATTTTCTCTTCAAAAGTACGAAAAAGATTATAAATTTAACATAGATGAAGAAGAAATCAATTAACTTCAATGTTAAATCGTAGATTCTATACTTTAATCTCCAGAAGTTAAGCATTTTTATAATACTTATTGGTTCCAAAAGGTTGACCAAATCAATAATTATATTTATGCAGCAATAACAAAAATTTAATAATCAATTGTACAAGATGGATTAGAATCACTAGTCATGCTCAAAATATTATAATTGATTAATGATTTGATATGAATTTTATGATTAGCAATATATACAATAATATTATTTACTTGTTGAAATTTTTACCTTTATTATTAGATAGAATACATTTTACAAATCAAATTTTATCTAATTTATTTCATTAGGCTGATACCATGTAATGATCTTGAATTTTTATATACTAGGGAACTTTAAAGATTAAGTAAGAGTTAGAAACTTGAACAGTAATGCATCCATTTTATGAGAGTTTAGAGAAGGGAAATTGCTTCAACCATTAAGATATATATATATATAATTTTATCATTTTATTAAATTTCAAGTTTAATGAAAAATTTCTATTCTTTTGAAATTCTTCTAAATGCTCAATCGCGACATCATATTAGTTTACATTAAACATTATTAATGTTCTTCTTATGTTACTATGAGATACATAACATTTTTTCTTCTTGAACTTTATTATAAATTGAATTATTTTTAGATCATCAATTTACAAATTAATAGAATCTAGCTTTAATTTAATAGCCAATACCAATAACATTTGACTATTGAATCATTCCAATTGAAAGTTGATTAGCTAGTTAATCTACTTCAGATTTTTTTTTAAATGTGATTTACGCATCCCTTTAATTAATCTAGTGATTAGCTATTAAAAGTGATTATTGGCTTATTTTACTTTTTATTAGGTTCTAGAATGGAATATCAAATCAACTTCAGTTTAATTGGCACAAGCTGAGTGATTATAAAGTGATTGATTTTTATGGAACATTTCACCTGATTAGCACTTGGAAGAGTATTTCTTAATCTGGCAAAATTACTTTTCGATTCACCTACTTCTAGTTATTTTATTCAGTTCCAATTAAAAATCTTTATTTTATATTTGAATAGTTCTGGAATATGAATTCTGTCCTTGATTTTAGATCAGGTTCTAATATATAATTTCGATAGTTTTAAATTTTGATGTAATGTATAAACACTCTTTTAATTATGGTAATTTAAGTACCATTACTTGTAAAAAGAATTGAAGTTTGATTTATATTGAAACAATTGTAACTCATTTGTTCTGTTGATTTGGTTATAGCATTTAGGAGTTTTAATAAATTCAAGTATATAATTATATAACAATATAGAAAATAATGTAGAGAATCTAAAATTTATCAATTTTGTATTCTGATGCTTTGAATAAGTTGGTATTTGAATGAGAAACAAAATTATCAAATATTTAATATAAAATAAGGAATTTGCAAAAGAATATTGATTATAAATATAAATATACCAGCAAGGAAGCAAAGAATGATCATATAATTATATAAGATTTTATTAACAATCAATCAGATGGGTGATTGTGCAATTAATGTTATAATTTTCTGAAGCATAGCAGATTTGGGATAGGTACAAGCATGGTCATTTTGAGGAGCAGTGAGAATAAAAATGAAACAGTAAAATTTTAAGGAGTTAAAAAAGAAAAGAAAAATATAATCAAAACATTCATGCAACAGATTGAGTCTACCGTTGTTATCTTCTTTGAAGTATTGGATTTTTATCGATACGATAAGTCTGTTTTTCCTATTTGGGATCGATATGAGTTTTCGATTTGGAGAGTTTCTTCTTGCTCCAACTGATAGTAAATTCATTCTCAAGTTCGTGGTTGTTTTAAATAAATGTTGGATGCTTTTTTAATTTTGTGCTATGACAACCCATTTTGGAATTTTAAAAAAGTATTTTAAAAAATTTTGAAATAATAATTAATAAATGATATCTTAGCATCTTAATGGGTGGAAATTTTAAAAAATATAAAACTATCTTATTCATAACTAAATTGTCATTTTAATAAATATTTTGGATACGTTAACTCAAATTAGTATAATTGTTTAAAAGACTTAGTTTCTAAACACTCAACTAAGACTTAAGGAAAATGAGCAAGTAATTCAACACTTGGAATCAATGGTTCTACGTCATCAATGCCATATAGCGGAGTTATAGGATCTTTGCAATCAAAATGAAGTGACTCATTCAAGACTTAATTGTACCCCCAATGAAATGGATTGAATGGATTAGCAAACAATCTAATCATAAAATCTAATTACTTTAGCTGGAAGAATTAAATAATCATTCTTACTAATTTAATTAGTAATATTATTAAATTTATTGCAATTTTCACTTAATTTAGACAAGATACAATATAATCTATTCTAAATATGAAGTCCTCTCAAACTACATAATATAGAGAAAGTACTCTGTTTTATTCAATGAACCATTCAAGTTAATAAATGGACCATAAATATTGGTAGTTTTGTAAATAGGAGTAAGATTTGGCCAAGGAGCAGTTTCAATCTATTTTATTAGATGCTCATAATATTATTTATTGATTTGAAATTGCAGATGTCCTAATTGAGTGACTTCAATATTCGAAACCAATTTGAATTGATTCCAAGTTGGAGATTAAAAGTGAACCAAAATTTCATGAGCCACATCCTTTGGGAGCAGAGTTTCTTTCCATTCTTTTTACTAACATGATTTGAAAGTGAGTTTACATAATTGGACTTATAATACTCTGAGAATGTGGCTGGACATGTCGTTGAATACTTTAAGTTTTGAAATAGGATTTAGATGTCATGATGACGAGCAAAGGCTTTCTAAAAAGCAATTGAAACACTGTCTCTTAATGCTTGAGTAATATTTAGCATTTTAATTATAAATATATAAATATTCATAATCCAAGTTTTGCCAAAATTTAGGAATCTCCAATTTCAATAGCCTGATTTATTACATCTCCCAATTATTGTTTTGATTACAATAATTAATAGGCATTGTTCTCATATTGATATTTCAGTTTATTGATTTCCTACTTTCTTTGCTGCAATTCAACTTGTAATAATCGGATTCTCGTGGCCAATTCGGCATTTTCCATATCTATTTATGCCCATTTCATTTGGCCCTTGACATATTGCTACTCCAATTCCTTAAGACTATCATTCCTACTGGTAAGAACTGAGAGATCCACACAACTTTAGAAAGCTTCAATTGTATCATTCTATTTGACTTGAGTAATAGTTGCTTGTGCGTTTTGGAGCTAAGCAATTATATAGACATAGTACATCTTTAAGAGTTCTGTAAAGTTAATTGAATTAATGTAACTAATTCTATGATTTAAAGTTTAACCATTTTCTAACAGCATGACAATTGAATTCTTGGTCATTTTATTCCCTATTTAATTGATTTGGATTAACACATTGCGTTATAACTATCTCTAAACCTCCTAATCCACTTATTTTCTTCACGCCTAGAATATAATTACTTATACCTTTCTTGAGAATGTCTTTGTAATGAATATACTCTATGGATTTTACACTTTCATCCTAAAATATGTATAATTCGACATCCTCATTTTCCAGATAGTGCTCACTCTTAATAGAGTGTACCTTCTCATTCTAAACAGCCACAATCTCACAACCTTTAGACAATATTTTCATTTAATATTTAAAGTATGCATTTATTGAAATTATATAAATTCATTTCTAATTTATTCAGTTTCTTCCCCTCTGTTATTACAATAATTGTAGTCCTATTTAATTTCTTCGATGTTATTATATTACCACCCCTTGAAAGTCATATTAATTAAATTTGCTTATATTCTAGAATTCTACCTCCTTTTTTCTCCTGTCTAAAAATTTGGAAACCAATCCATATACTCCATTTAGTTATTTTATTTGAATGTCCTTTTTGAAATAGATCCTTGAACATCTATACTTTAGATTCCAAATAACTTGATCTAATTCAATTCTCTTCTTAGGATTTTTAAGAGAAATTTTTCTATTATTTTTCTTTAAGTATAATGAAATCCCTTTTCCCTTAATTCCATCTACAAATCAGTTACAAAATAACCAAATTTTCATCAGAATTTTTACTACTAAACATAAATCTTATTTTATTTTCAACAAACCTAAATTGTTAACACGAATTATGTGCATATTAAAAAATGCTATTAACTAACTGTAAATTTCTTCAAAATGTAGAAAATAAAGAGAAATAATATCATAATAGCTACTCAAATTAGTTCCAATGATTCATGTTTACTAAATTATAATGATTTATTTAACCTAATGCATTCTTACACTATAATAAATAAGGATATTTGAATGATTAAATAGTATGCATAACTAAAAGGTTTGTTTATGAGTAGACATTATTTCATTAATATAAATATTTTAATTTATTAGTGCTTTCAAATTAATAAAAATAATTATTATATTAATTAAAACTAAGATAGAGTAGAAACTCTAAGGTAAACTTTACAACAAACCACTCCCAATAGATCAAGATAAATTTCTCCTGAAAATATGTGTGATGAAGTTGATGTTTTGTTTTAAATATTTAAATAATTATTTTTTTCTTAATTTTTAATATACTTTCATTTGGTATTATTGATAAAAATCTTAATACTTGAACAAAGTTCCATGCATAATTCTAATAAAATCTAAAAAAATAGGCTCTTGTGTATATTTAATGGCTAAACTTATACATGGCCTTGTTCTGATTTGTAAAATGTTATTTATGTAAATAAAAAAATTCTTGGTAAGTAAAGAATTATATTGTATATATTGATAAATCCTTAAATTTCAGATCATAAATCATCAACCAATTATAATATTTAGAGCATGAATAGTGATTCTACTTCATCTTGTATAATTGATTATTAAATATTTGATATTGCTGCATAAATATAATAATTGATTTGGTCGTCCTTTTGGAACCAATAAGTATTATAAAAATGCTTAACTTCTGGAGATTAAAGTATAGAATCTACGATTTAACATTGAAGGTAATTGATTTCTTCTTCATCAATGTTAAATTTATAATCTTTTTCGTACTTTTGAAGAGAAAATAGTATCTAGTCTTTAATTTATCCTGCAACTAATTATTTTAGTTCTAATTCCTTATTTTCTAAACGTTTGAATTTAATTTAAGCATAGTTTTCACAATACTATGGATCAAATTTGAAAGTTTTCAAGTTTTAAGTCATTGATTGAATTATATCTTACAATAATAATTCAATATAAACTTATCCATATTTATTTCCAATTTCAATAATTTATTTAATCACATTATTAACTTTGTCAACTGCTTTTTATCTTATTGGATCAATATCTGTATCATCAATATCCAATAATTTAAAATGTTTACTCTTTTTTTATTAATCTATTTTATATTAATCTATTATTTCTTATATATAAAAGATGATTGCTTCATTACTTGAATTTGATTTACATAAAGATTAAATTTGTTATATTACCTATTTGTATAATGAAGTATTCTTATCTTTATTTTTTTTCTGATTTATTCTAATTCTATTATAACATTTATCAATGATTTCACTTATAATTTATTTAATTTCAATAGATGCTTTTTATTTAACTCTATTCCCTTTGTCTAATGGACAAGAATATCCAGTAAAATGAATAGAATAATCTAACAATTAATAAATTAGACCTGGATATTAACCATCTTCTTAAAAATAGAGCCAAATTCTATTCATATCCAGATATTCATGTTAAAGTCCTTCACTTTCAATATATTCTACTTTTTCTAATAAAGATAGAATTAAATTAAGGAATGAACCAAATTGAATTCTAACAAAGTCTATATCCTATAATTATATAAATAAAAATAATTACAATGTAAAATATTAGATCACTTAATCTTATACATCTACTGTGATTTATGGTGTAAGTTATTATTTTATTAGGTATATCTAATTTTCCTGATTGAAAATAATCTAAACTAAACGATTTTATCAAGTTATCCTCATTTTAAAAAGTGTAAACCTCTTGAGAATAATAACAAAATTTTAACATTATAATTATATTTCTATTAAATTTTATCATAATCATATATTCTAACTAGCAAATAATACTATATTACTATTAAATTACAAATGTTATAATTAAATTATCAATACTTTTATATTTTCTATATATAAAAGTATTGAGTATGTCTAGAGGATTGCTCTAAATTATAGCTTCCATTAAATGTATTTGATAGATTTAAATTAAATAATCAAGAGTCATATTTATTTGTAAAATTATGAATCGTCCTTTTTAAAATAAAACACTCTTAATTTATAACTAATTAGATTCTTATTATCTTATCAATTAAACCTATAGAATCATAAAATGTTCATTATATTTGGATTAATTCTATGGGCAAGATCTAATATATTTATTAATATTATAATTTGAAAAGAATAAAAATAAATTTGCGCAAAATTGAAAAGAGACTTTAATCAAATTTAATGTTAAACCTAAATTTTTTTTAAAAATACAACAATAGAATTTAAAGTATCGTTTTAAGTCTCAGAATAGAATTATAATTCATTTTTTAATAACATATTTTAATTATTCTCCAATTTGTCAGAAGATGAAAAGAGTTGATTGAGGTTTTGCTCATTTAATACATTTATTTGCCTGTAAGAGGATTCTTTGCTTGTGTGCTTTTCTTGATCTCAATGTTTTACAATCGTATTTCTTTACAAATATCATTTGGATAATCATACATCTGATTATTATAATTATTAAATTTTAATGGGCTTCTAACCAGATTATATGCAAATGAATCTGAGAGGAGGAGGTGCATTCTGTAGTTAATTCATAAAAAAGGAAAGAAGGATGATGGACTAGGTTAAAAACAATATCATCATGACTATAAAGGAAAATACTAAATAATTAATGCAATTATCATAAAAATTTTAAGAGGCTCCTTAATTTCAGGAATAAGCAATATAAGTTATGAACATATTACTCAGTGAGAACAAAAAATTGTAACAATCATATATTAGAACAACTATGTGCTATTTAATTACAATAGATAATGAGAATGATATTTATGACATCCTATTGGATGGTCTCATATCATTAGAAGCCTTTATTAAACATTAAACTATTAAGGCTCATTAAGTGATTTATTTCTGTCTTGATATATTCTACATCGTATATTAATTTCAAGTAAGACTAAAAGGTTCCTTTTTGCCTCATTAACATCGTAATTAATATGCGACTGCTATTGAAAACTTGTAAAATGCAGCAATAGCACAAAATCTTTTCATTTATGAAATATCAATTATTGAAATAGCATATGAGTATTGCCAAAAGGATCAATACTCTCCTTTAAAATTTCGGAAGGATTTATTCAATAATCCAAAAACGTTTGATGTGCACACATTGTTTCAGGAAAATCAACAATTATTAAATTATAAATTTGATTCAAATTAGAATGTGAAAGAGATCAACCATTTTGAACTGTATTGCTTTTATTAAAGCATAAAATGGGCTGTAATCTTGTAGGTTCAGATTCCGAATCAACCAGCACTTCTAATTCCGATAAGGATTCTTGAATACACCTTTTCTTAGCATTTATTAAACGAATACTCCTTGCTTCTGACCTAATATTGGATCCAAATAGTATTCGATCTAATCGCTTAAGCACAATATGAACCTATTCATGGTAATCAAAATTCTATGTTGGTTCATAATAAATTTAAGGAATTATCAAAATTTCTAATTGAATACTATTTGAAATTCTACGCATAACTTAAAGTAAAGGATAGTAACATAGAAAACCTAATAATTAATCCCTATTATGAAGTGATAACATTTTTATCAAAGTAGGCTTAGTATTTAAAAGTTGTGATTGACAAAATAAATTTAATAATAAAGAAGTTTAAAAATCAATCAAATTTATAGCTGTTGACCAAGTTGAAAAACTAATATTTTAAGTTTGTTTACCTAACAAATGAAATCTACTAAACTGTTGTTTTGGAAACACAAAAACTTAAATTAGTGAACAACAATGAATCCCAAGATTTCGATGAAATTTCTAAAGAATATTTTAAGGAAATTCCCAAGATTAATTAAAAGATATTTGGATTGATTATTGGGATAGAATAATCAATTAAAAATCCTGTCGGCCCCTAAAAGATTGAGGTCTCTGAAGAAATTTAGTTTCCAAAGATTATCTATTCTTTGATTGATAGTCTCAGAATATATAAAGAAGACTAATACTATCAGTACGCCAAGATATAAAGACAAAAATAATTGATTAATGGGGGCAATCCACCTTAAGCCAAGGAGGTCATTGATATAAAAGTTCCTATCAAATCAGCTATATTAATGGCAACTTCTAGATTTTCTGATGGTTTCTCAAATTAAAAGGAAATTAGTTAAATCAATAATGACACAAACCTTTCACTAAGATCTGACTAATTAATTTCATTAGAGGATTTAAACAAATTATAATTGAACTGTTTCAAATGGGACGTGATATTGAAAAACAAAAGCATGCACAAGGAGAACAAAAAACAAATTTTACCTTAATATCGGAAAGGAATGGAGAAGTTAGATCTTCCTGAGGCTGCAAAGTGGAATATATTGAAGGAGAATCTAAATGACTAAGAATAAGAAATAAAAAAGGATATCAAAGAAATTAACCTTAATATTTAATCCTTAATAACTTTTAAAGAAAATGTGAGTAGTTATATATATGACGTTATCCATGAACCCGATGAAGAAAAAAAAAAAATCATACTTAATAAAGCTTTTTAGGATCTTACAAAATTAATTAAAGATTTAAAATTGGATCGATTAAATGGAGATTTCTAAATGAAAAATGAGAGAAAAATTCCAGATATCAATCATTAGATAACATTTGATGAATTAAATAAATTAGAATTAAATTATTTTACATTACCAAAAGTTAAGAACTAGAAATTGGATTATAATGACCTCAACCTTATCAATAGGAAATCGAGCTATATATCTAAAATCCAGTACATATTGAATAAAAGTTTTATTGGAGATGTGCAAATGATTCTTAAAAATGAAATCGCACGTGAATATATCCCAAAAAAGTTTTTGATCAGTTAAATTTTTGAAAAAGATTCTAATTCTAGATTATTATATCGCCATACTCAGCCTGAATGGAAGAAAGCAATTTAAGAGTTGACTCAAAATAATTTAGTTAGCGTAATGAAAGAGTTGCTTAGGGATATGCAAGAATTATAGGCTGAAGTAAGTAACTTAGATGAGGAAGTCTAAAATCACATGATTGATCTTAACTCATTGATAAATAATTTTAAAAGTACAAATTAATTGATAATTTCATTGGGCCGAAATGAAGATGAAATAAAGAACCTGATTCAAGAAATATCTCAATTCACCAAAAAAATGGAGTAAGAACGAAGACAACAAAGAAAAAAAAAAATCAAAAAACCTGAAGTGTTAAACATTGAACCTGCTAAAGGTTATTAAGAGTGCATCGAAAATTATAAAGTAGTACAATTGAAGAGAAAGTTGTAACTTGATACCTGTAATTGTTAAATCAATCCAATATATGTTGAATAAAGATTCAAAATTAAAAAGTATAATGAAGAAGAGAAAATATCTTAAGAGTTAATTTATGTAAATTCCTTATAATAATTTTAATTCGAATGTTATTGTGAGGTCAATGAGTTTCTTTAGAATGATAAAGGATGGTGCGAAGTGTTATTACTTTTTGGTTCTTAGGGATCCGGTAAAAGTCGAGAGTTAAGAATTATATAGAATAAATTATGGGGACAATACTAATCATTGGGCTGGTTTCCTATTTTAATATCTTTATCTTCAGTTACATAAAATAATAAATTATTTCTTGGGAAATTAATGTAGATTTTTTTAAATGATTAACATTATAATGATTTTATAAAGGCAGTCAACTCCAAATAAATAAAGGTCTTATTTTTACTAGATAATATAGATGAAGTAAAAATAGACATTGTAAAATAGAATTTAATTAAACTCAATTTTCAACATATAGGTATTGACAACAAATTGATTGGAAAAACAGTGAAATTCATAGCTTCAGCAAGATCTGAGCTTAAAGACTTATAAAATTATTAGTCATATTTGTCGTATAATCATAATAACATAAATTTGATGACTGAGATCGAATTGTTGCCATTTAACGATGATTAAAGAAAACAATATTTTTAATTGTATCACTAAATAAGCATCAAAAAAATAATATTTAATCATTTTATAAAACATAGTAATAACAAAGATCAATTTGAAAAAATCTGGGAAACCCTTGAGATAGACATTCAGAAATTTATTAATTAACAAGAGCATGAACCCAAATATCTTATGGATCCAAATGAAAATTATTTGGATTTATAATAAGCAATTGTAAAGAGTGGACTGATAGAAAATACATAACAGAACTATTTTTAACAGATAGTTCAAGACATATCTAGACTTAGAAGTACAATTAATTATTTGGAAATTATAAAGAATCATCGATTTGAAAATCTCACTTAAACACCATTATAGTTAGAATTTTTTGTTTTACAATTTTCCACATTGCGAACAGCATTCAAAGATATATATTTTAAAGAATAACTAAAAAAATCCTATTCTAGGTTGAAGCAGAAATATTCAAATTCCTCCACATAACTTCAAATCAATCGATATTCAGCATCGCTTAATGTTCCATCTTTAATGTAAATATAAATAGATCCTGAAGCTGAAAGTGTTGAGAATACGTTATAAGTATTGGAATAATAAAATTTTTTTTAAAAATATCAATATTTCAATTTACTAAGAGGCGATGTTAGAGGAATTCAAATGGATACAGATGTATTCGCTATCAAAAATGATTCAAATATAGTGATTGATGCATTGAGGGCTAATAATTTGACAATGTATTAAATAATTACAACCTTTGTGGATGAATTAAACACAAAGTATGCTAAATAACTTATAGATGAGATAGAACCATATGAATTTCATTACGTATTCGAGGAGATTAGCACTAATTGTAAAAATTTGGCTTTCTAAATGACAACAAAAAACAGTCTAGTAACAGAATTGTAGATTATAAGAGAGGATGATGAAGCTGAGGAACAATAATCTGAGTGTGAACAACTGCAGTATAACCCTTATTTAATAATAAGATAGGGAAATGTTTGTAGCTTTAAGAATAAGATTATACAAGAATATTACTTTGCCCACTACTTAGAAAGGATTTTAATCAAAGAAAGGATGATAAACGATATATCGAATAGTGAATTAAATAAAGTTAATTTGACAGAAAGTAATTTTACAGGTGCCTTGAATATTTTGAGGGAGGACCTTCGAAAGACTGAGAAAATCAAGGAAAAATTAATTAAAATCATAAAAATGTCATAAGATTCTCAATATACGCGTGTTTCATCTAATTGCATGTATTTGATATCATTCCTGAATTTCAATCTTGGGGGAGAGGATCTTTAGAATATTCATATATCAGATACAAGTATTTCTGGGATCAGTTTTTTTAATTGCAATTTAAGTGGATCTGTATTTAAAAATGTGATTATCAATAGATGTAACTTTGACTTTGCTAAATTGAATAATGTTAAGTGGTCTAAGATCTAAATTGCAGAAACAGCAAGCCTATAACAAAAAGAGAAAGTAGAATAAGTAGCTTTTACTCCTGATGGAAACTACATGATTTCTTTGAGTGCTGTAGTGTTGAAAAAATGGGATTGTAGAACTTATGAACTAATTAGTCAAGTAAATCAAGATAAGGCAGATCATTTTCAATCTTTGGCAATATCGAATGACCATTTTGCGTACAATAAATAATATGTAGCAACGTGTTCTTAAAAAGAGATTGTTTTGAGAGATTTAAACACTTTGGATGACATTCAATATAAAACTCAAATAACTTTCCAACCTATCAATGCTTTGCAGTTTTCTCCTGATGCAGAAATAATGGGTCTAATTGACTCTAATGGAGGAATGAGATGTTGGAAGTCCGACGGATAATCACTTTAAACTAAGTAGGTTGGGGTAGAAAATATTATTAGGCATTCCCCTTAACCTTTATACTAAATAAACAAGATAGCATTTAATGAAAGTAATAGTTACTTCTTGTTTAAAGGTAATTCGAACTTGATATTATTTGAATTATAAAGTTTAAGAGGTGATCCAGTATAATCAATTGAAGCAGATTTATTTAATGCTTCATTGAATGGGAAAACCTTTGCAATTGCTAATAAGGAAGATGTTATTTTTTATAACTGGTAATGTCAGAATTTAATTGAAACATATAGGATTAATTTCAGAGTTTAAATTTTGTAGTTCATAACTTTCAACTCAAAATTGCAAATTGGCATATAACTTAAGGAGGATTTAGTGCTATGGAATACTCAAGACAATTGTATTTAAAGAATATTTAAAGGCTATCAGAAAACCCAATGTTATAATATTAATCCTGAAATGAATGTCATTGCCTAATGGAATGACATTAACGAGATCATTAAAATCTGGAATATGGATGATATAAAGCCAAATAAATATTATTAAATTTTTGATAATGAAGTATTAAAAGCAGAATTCTCATATAATGGGCAGTTGATCATTTTATAATTGTAATCCAAAATAATATTTTGGGATTGTCCAAATGATGAATGCATTAACATTCTAAATGAATAAACTTAATTCTGCTTTTCCAAATAAGGTAATTATATGGCTACATAATGGTCTCGTCATGGCATTATATTGTGGGACAGTACCAACATTTACGACCTCAGACGCTTATAAATAATTCATGACATCTATTCATTTAAGAATATTTTCTTTTCCACTAAACAAGAACTATTAGCACTTATAACAGACGACCGAGAACTAATGAAGACTTGGAAATTGGCATCTATTATTAAGGGAAGCAATAATGAAAATGAATAAATCGCCATCAATTCAGAGTTCGGTGACATAGTCTGCGTAGCTATCTCTGGAGATGATAGTTAAATTGCTTATGTTGGGATTAGAGAACCAAAGAGTATTCAGATATATGACAAAGAAAAAGGAGTCATATTGAAAAAACTGACTCATTATCAATAGATTTTGTCAATTGAGTATTCTAGCAATGGATAATTACTTGCATCAAGAAGCTAAGATGAATCTATTAGAGTTTGGTATATAAAAGAGTCAGGTTAAAATTTTATTCCTTTGAGGATCAAATATAATCCAAATTTATTAGATAGTTAACATATCTGTACCTGGATACCTATTTTTGAAAAAATCATAGCATCTAATGATGGAGATCAAATAATCTTATGGGAAATGCTTTATTCTAATTATACCACATTATTGGAGGAGAAGATGAGATTCGTATAATCGAATGGCAATCTAAATGAGGAATTTTAAACTTACTCCAAAACATCACTTGTTGCTGATGATTGCAAAGGTTAGGAATGCCTACAAGTTTCATTTTCTCCAAATGCAAAATACATAGCAGCATCATATTTTCCACTAAACAACACAAGATTTGAAGAAGCAGAAAGAAATACCACAATAAATATAACTCCAAGAATAATAATTTGGAAGTTGGAGGATAAAACTGTAGTCTAATCATTTGTACTTACATTCTGGCAAAGATTTAATTTTTCTTCCGATTCATCATCGATTGTATCTCTTGAGTATGATGAAGTAAATAAAACTAATAAGCTTAAATTTGACCCAATAATTCGGAATGCTGATACTGTCTCAAATTATATAGAGATGGGATTCAATCATCCTTTTAATTATGTGACATTCTCTCCTAAATTTTAATAATTTTTAGCTGTGAGGGAAGAAAAAGGATTTATCAATCACATAGTTCTATTCACTATTTTCGATCAGTAGCTAATCTTATTAGATTATTTTCAGGTTCCTTATGGACTGGCTGTCACTTTTAAAAACGATGGTGAGTTCCTAGTATACTCAGGTAGAGATACTATCTTAATAAAGAAAATATATAATGTTGAATAGCGGACTGAAGTCAGACGACTTAAAGCAGAAAATCATTGGTCACAAATTATATCTAAGTCTAATGATAGCACTTTCTTTGCTTTTTGCGATGAAAAACGATAATTTATCTTGTCTACATATGATAAAACGGTTCAATATGAAAATGAAATGCTAAATTTTCAGATTCTTTCAGTTTCATTTGATTTGAAAAATCATACGATGGCATGTGGAGGAGAAGAATTAAATATTGAATAAGGTGCTGAGAAAAAAGGAGTTGTTAAAATAATAGATATTCACAATCTAGAAGCCCTTGATGTGCTTCAAAACATAATTTATGCATACAAGGTTATACATGTCATCTTATCAGACGATGGAACTTATTTATTAATTTAAGAGTAGGATTGTTAAATTTATTTGCTGAAAAAATAAAAAGACATTGATCAATATTAGATTGAGTTCATGCTGGATTATGCGGTAGGTATATTAAATGCTTCTTTCTCATCAAATTAAAATGATTTCATCATATTAATAAAAGGGGGAAATGTCTTCTTTTATAATTTTATTGATTCATCCTTAAGGTTAAAAAATGATATTAATAAAGTATTAATTCAATTATATCTTTTAAGGAATCAAAGACTCTATATAGGCTGAAAACAATACCTAAATACTACGCTATATAAGCAAGGAAGTGCGAATTGGAAGATGCCAAAATTTCTACTGAAAAAAGTTCATTATTATAATTATTTAAATGCTACGGTGCCCATTGAATTATAATTAATTAAAAATAAGGTAATTCCTTAAATAAATTATTCAATTTTTAATTTATGTAACCAAGACCCAAAAGAAACTCTTAAATTTTCAACTGTTATTTAATATCAATATATTTAGGGATAATACTAAAATTAACCAATATATATTTATAATTACACTTAGATGAATTGAAATATCATTTCTATATATTGGATAATAATAATCTCAAGATTTAATGTCACTTATTGATTTAATTGAATTGGTAAAATATTTACCAATTATTTTACAAATTTAAAAATTTTTTGTCTCAAAACTTATCATATCCTCTTAGTCACTATACATATCGTCTTTATTGTTCTCATTAGAATTATCAATCAAAATTGAGGTCTCTATTTCATTCTAAGATTCGAATACTTAGTTTATTTAGAAAACCGAGCACTAGGGTTTTTTTATCATTTCCATAAATAAGCTTTTGAGATAACCATAATCTGGCAAGATGTTGTACTTCAAAGAGTCTATGTAAGACATGATCTCCTAAAACTATAAAGGAAAATTCTGAGTTAAGGAGGTAGAGTTAAAATGAAATGACTTGATCCTCCCAATGACTTTGATGTCTACTTCCCTACATCCCCAAGATGGTTTTTGGAACCATGGCAAAGTTGCTAAGGGTTAAGAAAATACATACAATTTCTTAAGAAAACCAAAACATACAAGAGACTTTCTAAATCATCCTTGTAACCTAGCTATTCTCCCTTGTGCGATTGTCTGCTGGCAAAATTTAATGAGCCAATAAATACATCTTTCAATAATTTAGAATTTCTAATTATTTCCTAAGATAATCCAAAATCAATGAGTTAAATAAGATCAGGTTGTAATATTTTAGAATCATTTACCAAGGGTGATGATATCATTATGTTTTCTGGTTTAATATCGAGATGAAGAATGTTCAAATCATGAACTTTTTCCAAAATTTCAGTAATTCTCAAACCAATTCTTAATATTTAAGGCAAAGATAATTGTTTCCTTTTGGCTATGTCACCTAAATTACAATGTAGTAATGGAATAATAAGAAAAGATCTTAATTTCTATATTAGATAAATTACTTATTCTCTGGGGTGACTCCATATGATATCAAAGCTGGAATGCCTGCTGTCCCTTTTAATTTTTTAAGTATTACAATCTCATTTGCGATTTAACCTATTCCTGGGGATTTTTCAATTTTAATCGCCTACACCTCAGAATTTAACCTATTCTCCACCTTATATATCATATGCTCAGACCCACACCCTAGATTTGAAAGAACATGATATTGAGATGCCTCAAGATACATCAAAATAACTAGTTATTATATTAAAATAATTAAAGAACAATGTTCTTGTTTAATATTCAAAATAACGGGGTGAAACCTATGTTTTTATAATAATATACAATAGAATGAAATATAATTTCACTAATTAACACTATAATTCTAATTTCTTCTAACTATTTACCTAGTAAACCTTTAAGAAAATATCGACTTGAAAATTCTTGCAATATAAGAATTCTATTTTATATTTAAACTATTATCCTTATAATTTACACTCATACGTATTGATATTATGTTTTTCATAAATGGTACACACAAGTTCAGAATATTTTAAATAAAATTACTCATTGTTGTGAAAAGTAAATTGAGAATAATTTTCCTCTTTGATGATTTATTAACAATATGAGTGGCTATTGAAAAGAATATATATTCCATTTTTAAGTCAAAACAGAGAGGCCATGACTAGAATATGCATATTAGCATTCGATTCAACCATCTAATTAAAAATGGAAAATACTTCATAATCAAACTTGATCTCTGATAATATAATTGATATATTACAATTATTCTTTCAATGTAATTCTCATACTCTCTCAGATTGAGCTTAAGAAGATAATTTCTCTGGTAGCAAAATTTTTTGACATCTAAAATACACCATTTATTTATATTAATTGTAATCTATCCATATATAATTGATGAAATCAGCAGATGGGCATCAAATTTCAAATGCTTAAAATAAATAAGAATAACTCAACATAAAGAATAATAATTATTTTAGGACTTAGCAAACATTCTCCAAATAATATGGAGTAGTCATTAATTTATAAAATTTAGAACAAATGCAATAAACAACCTCTAATTGATTGATTAAGTTGATCAATAAATCCACGTTATTTAGAATTTATCATTTTTATTTGCTTTGTAGAAAAAATTTATTAAGTTAAAGAACAAAAAATGTATACTTTATTAATATTTTCAATATTAATTAGAGACATTCATTTCAAGCTTAGATTTCGACATCCAATAAATCAAGTCATATTCAAATGCTAAAATAAGTATTTGTCCAATAAAATAACATATATATATTTAGTTCATTACACTTTTACTTTATAATATTTTATTATTATTTACTGAATATAAATTCATAGATTTTGTAAAATGAAAGGTGATAATATCATCTAAAAATGAACTAGAACTGCAGCTCAATTAATTAATAAAGAAAAATTAACAACACTTTAATGAGATTGATATTAATAAATATATTTAACTAGTTTTAATTAAAATTTTTGTTAGTTAGTATAAGTATTATATTCATTTCAATTTCTGAATGTTTTTAACTTCCAAATTTTAGTATAACAAAATTAAGAAATAAATGAGAATAATTTTTCTGATTTTCATATAATTTATTTTATTTTTATTTTACAACCTCTAATTTCTTAAAAAGATTCAACAACAAAAAAAGCTATAAAACTCAATTTTCTGATATAGATAAGCAGAACTATAAATAACATTTATATTAATCCTTTTCAAGAACCATGTTAAGTTTTATCTCTTTTTGTGAAATCAAAAATTTGAAATATGAATAAAAAAAGGAACTCATTTTTGATTTATAAATATGAGACATATTAGAGCATTCTAGTTATTTTTAATAAAAACAAAACTTTGCTACGAGGTTTAAATCACTATAAAATGAATCTTATATTTTAATTCATACAATGATTGTATGTTTGACCTTCAAAATTGTACAAATAAATGCTTAAATTATATTTTTCATTTTTTGGATGACATGTAGAATTTTTTAATGTTGTTTAATTTAAATTATGTGTTTCTTTTAGTATTTAATAAGTTAAAACATTGGCAAAAAGAAAATGATTATTAAATGGTGTTTCAAAAGTTGTGAATCAAAATATTATAATTTTAACCTGTATGTGGATGAAAATACATTTATAGAGAAAGATTCTTTTTCTATGGATTGCTTCTAAATTAAATATATTACATAATAGAATAAAATCTTATATTCTTTAGCTACTACTTGATAATTTATTTTTTATTAATTTAGTATAAACTTGAAAAATTATGGCCGAGTTTCATTGTAGATATGAAGATCATCTTGAATAAGCAATTTTAGGATTTTGTATTAATATTGGTTGTCACTAAACTCCTCAATTTTGTTTTTAATGCTTCAACACTAACTAAAAACAACATCAAGCCTAATGTCTCGGATTTTCTACAATCAAAGAACTTATCTAAGAATATATTCAAAAAGAACATGAGTTTTATGGAAGACTACAAAATTTTGAGAGCAGCTTCAATAATTTTATTAATCAAATGTAAAAGAAAGCATAGAATAACCTCAAGAAATTATAAAAAATGAGTGAATTTCTGACAAAAGGAGAGTATCTAAAATTTAAAAGTGATATCAAATTCTTTAGAAAGTATCATTCTAAGGTTGATGAGACTGAAAAAAGTATTGTTTTACCATTGATTTAGGTAAATTTATAACTTCAATCAATTCTATTGTGTCAGCTCTTGAAAATATCAAACAAGATTATATTAGGATAGATGACTAAATCAATGCTTTAACTGATGATAATAATTAATAATATATGAGTAGAGCCAAAAGTTACTTTGAGAAAAGTATACATCTTTTGATATAAATTTTAGGTGAATAATTATTAAGAGAGGGACAATTTAAAGAAGCATTATCAGCCTTAAACGAATCATTATCGATGGGTTATAATCATGACTTTGTCTATAATTTGAAAGGTATATTTGGAATAATTATAAATTTCAAAGGGCTTATATTATAGAATCTAAATAAATTGGATGAAGCAATAGATTGCTTTGACTTAGCCCGAAATATCAACCCAAATTCTGAAAATGCTCACAGCAATCTAGGTAGCCTATAATTATTTATAATTTTTTATAGGAGCTTCATTAATTAACCAAGGCAAATTCACAGAAGGCCTTTAGATAATAAAAACGACAATAGAGCTGAATCCAAAAAATGAGAAAGCCTATTATTTGAAAGGTTGTTATTCCAAATAATTGAAGGCTTTGCACTATATAAATTGGATAAATATTAAGAATCCTAATATGCCTATGAAGAGGCAATAAAATTGAATAATCGCTGGGATAACGCATACTAAGGGAAAGGCAATAAATATATGTAAATATTCAATAGGCAAATCGTTACTTAAACTTAATAAATACAAAGAAGCCCTTTAATGTTTCTAAACTGCAATTAATCTAAACAAAAATAACGATGAAGCTGTGGAGAACAAAGGTTGAAAATTCCTTCATTTTTTCTAGCTCTCTCTCTACATCTGTTGTAAAAATACAAGGATGCATTAATAATTTATGATTAAGCGATTTATATGAAAAAAAATCCTATTAGATTAAAGCTCAAGGGTATTCTTTACTATGTATAATAAAGCTGACACATTATTAGTTTTGGGAAGAAAGGAAGAAGCAAAATAATATTATTATGAAGCTTTAAGAATAGGAAATCTCTCATTTGATTAGAAATAAATTCTTTTGTAATTAGAAAATATATGAAATATCTTAATTACGATTAACCATTCTTTTTATTTGTCTTTAGTTCTTCAAAATTAAATAATTTTTAACCTTAAATTAATCACAATAATAATATTGAAATTTATCCTGATTTTAGATTAAGAAATAAGTTATAATATTATAGACTTATTAGAATGAATTCTTTTTAGAAGAAGTTTAATATANAAAGTATCATTCTAAGGTTGATGAGACTGAAAAAAGTATTGTTTTACCATTGATTTAGGTAAATTTATAACTTCAATCAATTCTATTGTGTCAGCTCTTGAAAATATCAAACAAGATTATATTAGGATAGATGACTAAATCAATGCTTTAACTGATGATAATAATTAATAATATATGAGTAGAGCCAAAAGTTACTTTGAGAAAAGTATACATCTTTTGATATAAATTTTAGGTGAATAATTATTAAGAGAGGGACAATTTAAAGAAGCATTATCAGCCTTAAACGAATCATTATCGATGGGTTATAATCATGACTTTGTCTATAATTTGAAAGGTATATTTGGAATAATTATAAATTTCAAAGGGCTTATATTATAGAATCTAAATAAATTGGATGAAGCAATAGATTGCTTTGACTTAGCCCGAAATATCAACCCAAATTCTGAAAATGCTCACAGCAATCTAGGTAGCCTATAATTATTTATAATTTTTTATAGGAGCTTCATTAATTAACCAAGGCAAATTCACAGAAGGCCTTTAGATAATAAAAACGACAATAGAGCTGAATCCAAAAAATGAGAAAGCCTATTATTTGAAAGGTTGTTATTCCAAATAATTGAAGGCTTTGCACTATATAAATTGGATAAATATTAAGAATCCTAATATGCCTATGAAGAGGCAATAAAATTGAATAATCGCTGGGATAACGCATACTAAGGGAAAGGCAATAAATATATGTAAATATTCAATAGGCAAATCGTTACTTAAACTTAATAAATACAAAGAAGCCCTTTAATGTTTCTAAACTGCAATTAATCTAAACAAAAATAACGATGAAGCTGTGGAGAACAAAGGTTGAAAATTCCTTCATTTTTTCTAGCTCTCTCTCTACATCTGTTGTAAAAATACAAGGATGCATTAATAATTTATGATTAAGCGATTTATATGAAAAAAAATCCTATTAGATTAAAGCTCAAGGGTATTCTTTACTATGTATAATAAAGCTGACACATTATTAGTTTTGGGAAGAAAGGAAGAAGCAAAATAATATTATTATGAAGCTTTAAGAATAGGAAATCTCTCATTTGATTAGAAATAAATTCTTTTGTAATTAGAAAATATATGAAATATCTTAATTACGATTAACCATTCTTTTTATTTGTCTTTAGTTCTTCAAAATTAAATAATTTTTAACCTTAAATTAATCACAATAATAATATTGAAATTTATCCTGATTTTAGATTAAGAAATAAGTTATAATATTATAGACTTATTAGAATGAATTCTTTTTAGAAGAAGTTTAATATAGAAGCCGAACAAGAAAAAATATCCTTAAATATATTTTTAGTGCATATCCATATTTCTATTTTATAATTAAATTGAACCAAACTTTAACTTTAAGTAATATTCATCTTAATTATATATATCTGTAATTATTATGATAAATACATAAACTTGAAGAAAATTATGTAGCAATCTATTTATTTATTTAATTTATTTTTCATTTTTCTTTAAATTAAAATATTTAAATTTATTAAGTCTTGTCATCCCAAGTTACCATAAACTATCCATCATCTGTTAATCTACCAAAAAGAGTTCCTGTTCCAAAATCAATGAATTAAACTAATTGAAGTTCAACGGATTAACTTATTTTTATAATATTAACATAATTTCCATTTTTACAGACTAACATCTACTTTTACTAAATATATTATGATTAGAAAAAACAATGACAACTAGGCCCATTCTTAACTTTCACTTCTTTGATTTAATCAAATAAATTAGTTGAATTATTTAATTCATAGATATTCATAACAGGGATAAGATATTGCTAAACAGTAAATAGGTTATTATTAATAAAACATAATCTATACCCTTTTTGGTTAATTTTTTACGCAATCATCCATTATTTGTTTTCTTATTATTTACTTATTAATATTTCATCATCATCGTAAGCACAAGAGATTAGATAAGTTTAGCTTTCATTTAAACTCATACTCGTTAACTCATTTTTATGTTGATTTAAGGTTTATGAACATTACCAGGTTTTATCTTTTGTCCAAAACTTAATACTGAAATCTCTACTTCCAGATATAATTAGATTATCTTCTGAATTAATTAATATACAACGAATCCAATTTCTATGTCCTGTTATTTTTTATTAGACACGCCACTATTTATTTTCAAAGAACTTCCAAATTATAATATCATTATCTAAACTACCAGATACAAACGAGTTTGAATTATTCATGAAATTTAAACATCCCACAATGCCCTTGTGTTCACTAAGTGTTTGCTTAAGCTTGATATTCCCTTAATTAAACTCAAATACTCTTATAATACCATCCATATACCCATTTATCATAATTGTAGAATCTTAATTAAAACAAACTGAAAAGCAATATAGATACTCTTTGATAGAATTGATTAATTGATATTTAGGCAAAGCTATATCTGAAGTTTTATTATTAGGTCGAGTTTAAATATCTGTAATCTTAAATGTTTGAAGAAAATTGGAGAAGCATTAAATTAATTTTTCTGTATGTTGAGATGCTAACTAAATTTATGGTTTATTATCACCATTAAAATGGATTAGTTTAGTAATGATATTATTTAGTTATTGAGTGCTAATTTGTGTTAGTGTTTGGCTTGTGATTGAGAAATCTATTTCCACAAATTGATTTACATGTTTCAACAACTCATTGATTTATGCATTAAGAATATTCAATTTATTAATGAATTCATTGCACTGCTATTATGTATCTGATAATAAACCAAGAAGTTCAGGGATTGATTTCAAATTATGTACATGTCCTAAATGAAAGTTATTCTTAGTGCATTAATCGCAGGCTAATTTAAATTCATAGCAGGATTGATTTAGACAAGCAAATTAAATGAGTTATTGATTGTGCATAGAACATTGCATTTAAATATGAATTAATTTTATTATTTCTATATAATCATTAACTATTTTTTATTAAAATCAATTTTTAAGTATTCGTAGTAAATTCTATATTAGAATAAATAACTGTTCAATTTACTCTATTCTTCTAACTCTTAGACAAATCTTAGTTATCAAATGCTGTTGATTTTCTTAATAAATTCAGAAAGATACAATAATAAAATCATTAAACATTTATACAATAAATCATTCAAATCTAACTTTACATAAAATCAAAATTATCTACTTTAGATTAATTAAAAAGTTAAAAAGACATGAATAGTAATCAATTTTAATTTAATTATTTTAATTTAAAATGGCTTAACACGGAATCGAATAATTAGAAGTAAGCATTCAATCTGACTTAATCTAACAACGAACAGAATAAATCTATATTGCTAGCCTAGTAAAATCAAATATATAATTTATAGTAAAATCTTCAAAATTATAAAATTGAGGAAGCCTTGGAATTAATAGATGAAGCATTAAAGCTTAATCCTTTATTTTCATAAGCATTTATTTCGAGAGGTTTCGTAAATATTACAAATAATAGGAGAATTATACTTAGGTAAAAACATGGATGATTGGACAGTTGAGGATGCAATAAAAGTTGGAAGCTTAAGCATATTGAGGAACGGCAGCTTTGATTAAAAAAGTAGTAACTATTTAAATTATTTTAGCAAAAGGGATCAGTCAAAAAGATTTATTGATTGAAGCATTATAAAATTATTAGTATTCTATTCAACTCACTCCTTAATATGGTTTGATATTCTAGAGAATAGGTGAGAACTTTTTTAAAACTTTTAGGCAGAGCAATAGGGGAATTGGGTAATTATAATGATGAATTGAGATACTATGATAAAGCAATTGAAATTGATGATCAATGTTAATTGGCTTATTATAAAAGAGGTAACGATTAATATTAAATAGGAATTCTGAATGATGAGATTGGAAACAAAGATTAGGCTCTTATAGATTATACCAAGGCCATAGACTTGGATCCAAAAAATATACAGGCATATGCTTAAAGAGGTATCAATACCCTTTTATATTTAATAGGAAATTTATAATATTATTTGGGGAATTGGGATAAGGCCCTAATAGATTTTAACAAAACTATTGAACTAGATCCTCAATAGTCTTTTACTTACTATAACAGAGGTATTAATTGGATAATAATAGATAGGGGTTTTCTATTAAAATTCAGGAAATAATGATTAGGCACTAATTGATTTAAACTAAGCTATTGATTTAGATCCTCATATATTTTAAGCTTATCATCAGAGAGGTAAATCAATTTCTAATCCTGAGTAGCAATTCTATATCATGACAGAGGAAATTAAGATTAAGCACTTTTTGATTATACTAAGGCAATTGAACTGTATCCGTATGATGCAAAATTCTACTTTAATAGGGGTAATCAAAAAATGCTATATGGCTAGGAATTTTATACAACAACATGGGATAAATTGATAAGGGCATTTTAGATTTTAGCAAATCTATTGAATTGAATCCCTATAATGCTAAGGCTTATTACAGTAGAGGTTTTAAACTTAAAGCTATAGAGTAGGACTTTTAGAATACGAAATTGGAAATACAGCTCAGACACTTCTGGATTATACTAAGGCGATCGAATTGGATCCCAATTATGCATCGTTTTTTTATAACAGAGGTAATTAAACTTTGTGTTGAGTAGGATTTTTATATTAGCAAATGGGAAATAAGAACCTAGCACTAGATGATTATAACAGAGCTATTGAATTGGACCCTGAGGACCCTTAAAGTTATTGTAACAGAGGTAGCTATCTATTCAATACTTAATAGGAATGATCTTCAAAGAAATTGATGAACTAGACAAGGCACTAATTGATTATAACAAAGCGATTGAGTTGAATCCATAGGATGCTGCTTTTTATTTTAATCGAGGTACTCAATTTTTCATGATATCTATAGGGATTTTATATAATAAAATGGGAAATAAATATTTATCTCTCTCAGATTATAACTAGGCTATTGATTTAGATCCTAATAATGTTTAGGCTTATTATAACAGAGGTTATCAATACATCTTATCGAATAGGAGCTCTTCACTTAATAATGGAGAATAAAGCTTAAGCAGTGTTAGATTTTAATAAGGCTATTGAATTGGATCCTAGAGATGAATCATCATATTCTTACAGAGGTTATCAATTACTATATGGAAGGACTTATATATTAGAAAATGGGGGATAAGAATTAAGCACTCTAAGACTATGACAAAGCAATTGAATTGAATCCTAAAAACCCGTTGCTTTATTATTAAAGAGGTTATTAGAATATTCTAGTGACTAGGAGTTCTATAGAGCGAAATTGGAAATAAGGATCAGGCCCTAATAGATTATAATTCAAGTATAGCATTGGATTCTAATAATTCCAATATTTATACTAACAGAGGTAATTAAGCTATTAAGTGTGAAAGGTGCTCTTTTGAAAGAACTTAATTAAAACGATAAAGCATTTTAAGATTACAATAAGGCACTTGAGTTGGATTCTAATAATCTGTTTGCTCTTGCCAATTTAGGTGATCTATATTATATAAGGTAAAATTATACTCTATCGTTTGATTAATATTACCGAGTCATTAATTTATTGATAAATATAAAATCTCAGCAAATCAATCAGTTGAATTTATAGGAATGGCATGCCTTCATAATTCAAGAAAAATTCAAATTACTCCAGGAAATTTAAGACAGCGCTGTTTAGTTAAGATTAGAACTCTAAAAACCACCAAGCCAATCGAATTATGATTAATCCTCGATAAATGATATTAAAAGATAATTTCGTTGCTTAGAGAGAAAAATAAAAATATAATTGAAACCATAAACAGAATTTTCAAAGCTGGAAGAGAAATAACAAGAACTTTTTGAATTATAAATGACGAAAGAAGATATGATTTGCCTTAATAAATAGGTAGCTTAATCACTTCAAATGACATTATAATAAAATCCTACTACTGTTCAATTAGAGGAAGATGCTAAATTGAAGCGGATGGATGACTAAATTATTGAAGAAAAGCTCTCTTTACTTCACAAAGTTGAAAATAATCATCAATTAATTTATTACAATGCTTTGTTTTAATCTTTGTCCTGCTATCTATAAGTAATTCTATAGATTTCATAAGAATTATCACAAATAAATAAAGATCTTCTGATTGAAAATTAATCAAAAATATTAGAAGAAACAATTGATTAAATTTTTTCTCCTAAATCAAAGATTGAAATAGATAGAGAGGCATTTGACCTTATAAATTAAGCCTTAGATAATATGATATAATCTGAAAAGAAAAATAACATTTAGGTTAGGCTTCATAGATTGACCAATATATTCAAATGCTAGAACATAACCAACATCTTCGAATTAGAAAAAGAACTAAAAGTAGCTATTATTGAACTTGCAATTTAATAATCAAAGGATTTATAGGAAGAAAGTAATTCATATTTTGCTGAATTTGTAACAAAATTATGCACTAAAAAATACAATTAAGAGTAAAATGTACATTAAAAAAATGGAATTCATGATGCTTTGATCATTATCAAATATTTAGAGGATATGTCAGTGTCAATTAAGGAGATGAATGAAAATAAGCTTAGGGTATTAATTTTAGATGCTCTAGAGAAAAATAACAAATTATAAGTTCAATTACAGCAAATTGAAAAACCAATTAGTTATGATTCATTTGTTATTGATTCAAATTCCTCCTGTTAATGCAGCAAACTATTTTGCTACATTTAATGAGCTAATTATTAATAATTTAAACTTAAGATTTATATCATAGATTTATGTTTATAATTTTAATGAATATTATTGAATTTATGTATTTATTATTTGATAAAATTGCCTCTACCATAAAATGTTTGTTATCATTATAAAAATGAATATTTATAACACGAATATAATAGAATAAACTATTTTTATATTATTCTCTGATAGAATTTTATAGAAATGAATTGAAACTGAAGGATTTTAAATATTTATATTTTTGAGATTCTTAATCATTATCTCAATCATTTTAAATTTAGAAATAATTTTCATAGTATTTCATAGAGTGGCTTTTAAATTCTTTAACATTTTACTTCTTTGGGTCGAAATTTCGTTTAATATAAAATATTTTGAACCTTAAATTTCTAAAGCGAATAAAAGTGAAAGAATTAACAACTTAAATAAATATGGATTACATCTATTCTTAAAAAATCAAATTGATTTAAATTATATGTATATTGCTCATATATCATACTAAATTTTACTGTATTCTAAGTAGTCTATAATTACTACCCAATTACCAACTTTTTTTGCCCTTTAATATTTACCGCTATATGTAACTTTAGAATCGCTAGAATACCAATCATCCAACTCCACCCATTTTCCAACCTTAAGACCACAACCTTGTGTATCATATGACCCACCACCGCTAAAAATTGATATTTTAAGATTTACATCAGAGATAAATCTTATTCATTCCAATTTCTCCCTACAATTTACCAAGCGCCTATTTTTTTCCCATCTTTATATGAGCCTTTTAAAAAAATTTAAGAATTGCTAAAAAATCGATCACTTAATTCAACCCACTTTTCAATTTTATTGCCATTAGCACTTTTATCATATGAACCTCCGCCACTATTGATTGAAATTTATATTAAATAAGAATTTACATTTTTTATTATCCTCCGTAATTAAAAAAAGTTTCCCACTATCCAACCTTTTTACCATTTTGATATATGCCAATATTAGTGACCTATGAATAATACCAAAACCCGTCACTCAATTCAATCCAACGTCCAATCTTGATGCCTTATCCTCTGACGTCATAGAACCCACCACCACTAAGCTTAAAAAAATAAAAATTACATCAACTTAAATTCATTATCCGGTGTCCCTCTATAAAAGCTGCTCCAACTACCAGTCTTATTGCCATTTTTATATTCCCCAACCTCAATAATTTAAGAAACATCTCTAAATTCTTCACTTAATACTCCCCACTTCCCAATCTTGATGCCTTAACCTCCTTTATCATAACACCCGCCACCGCTAAACTGTTCTTTTTAATGATATACATGGGTTTAAATTTATTATCAAATGCTCTTCTATAAAAAATATTCCATTTTCCAACCTTATTGCCATTTTAATATTCACCACTGTAAACAATTTGAGCTGAATTTCTAAATTCTTCACTTAAATCAATCCAATACCCAGTCTTAATGCCTTAACCTTCTTTATCATAAGATCCACCACCACTAAATTTTAGTTTTTATATTTACATCTTTTGAAATTTATTATTTGTAGTTCTCCTAATAAGAATACTCCAACTACCAATCTTTTTACCTTTTTAATATTCTCCAGAATAAGCCACTTATGATTCATCCCAAAAATTATCACTTAATTAATGCCAATTTCCACTTTTTTCCCCTACTTCATTATACTCACCACCGTCACTAATATTATTAATATTGATTTAATATACATTATTTCACCCTTATATAAATACCTCCAATATCCATGCCTTAAGTTGTTAAAATACCCTCCAAATTCATAAACTTAAGCTCTCCTAATAAATTATTAATTTTATTTTACGTCCAAAAGTTTTAAAATATCTCAATCCAACTACCTTATTTTTTCCCATCATTAGAATACTGTCCTCCAATTTTATTCATAGTTATTCCTATCCAAGTAACATTCCACCTACCTATTTTTCTGTTATTTTCTCCATAATTTCCAACCCATTTCAGATAAAGTATTTACTCCAAATTTGTCATTATAGTAGGCTTTTCAATTATGTCATTCAATGACTCACTATTAAGGTGGACAGAAAAGATTACCTTCTTAGGATGAAACCATCTCTGGTATATTAAATTTATTGTCTTTCGTAATTTCAATTTGAAATGTAACATGTGCAAATTTCTAAAATTAAACATCCCAAATTAAACTTTTATAGGCTTAGACATTTTCTTGTTAAGTATCGACTCTTTCTATATCTTAAAATGTAGAATAAAATGATGAATTTGTATAAATTAATGGTTAAGCCTTAACTTCAACATTCTATTAATCAATTAGATTATTTTGATAGGCAAATAGTTCCTAAGTAGATTGGAACTCTGGTAAAAATTTGAATTAATCTAGTTTAATATTTATCTTTGAGTTCAAATTGTAATTTGTTTTTTTTACACAACCAATAAATGTACTTAAATCCAAAACAGGTACTTATTGTGAAGTTACCTTATCTAGTTCTTCAAAGAAGCTGTAAGATGTTGCAGAGTCCACTAGTTATGTAATCCAATCCTTAGAGAGCCAAAGTAAATTGTCAAATTATTGAATTAACCTCGATTTAAGAGATTCAAGAATTTTCATTAAATTTTCTACGCATTAAATATGAGGGTTGATAATTAATTGATATTATTGAATTCTTTCACGCTGTTGTTCATAAAAACAATTTTTGAGCTGTTCATAATCCACAATTCTTGAATGCATGAGATATTATTATTCGCAAACCTTGCATAAGAGTCTCAGATTATTTGATATAAAAGGATCCAAAATAACTGATTTAACAGGTTATTGGTGCTTTGATTTACATAAGAATTTATCTTCTTTTTCAATTAATCTTGGTATAAACATTTTATTTAATATAAGTTGTAAAAAAAATTTGGACATAAAGAATGATTTCACAATATTTATTTTTGGTTGCTTACAAGTTACAAATAAGAGAAAATTAGACTAGCACTATAAATAATATCTCCATATTTTAGGGCAATCATCTTAAAATAAAAAACAAATGCGTTATTAAAGATTATAAATACTCAAATTATAAAAAATTTATCTTACATCTTGAGTGAAATAAATATTAACAAAATAATCATTAAATTATTCTTCAATAAAATCAATTTCCTTTTATCAAAACTGCAAGGAAATACTTGTACAATAAATTTGGTTTCTAATGGAATTAATTGCTTAACTACACTCCCTCTATAATTCGTATAATAGAGAATTTGTTTAATTTTGAACAAAACTAATCAGCTATCTCAATTGATGTAAATCAAAATTTGATGCGGATTGAATTCAAATTATTTTAGGCGAAATTGAAAAAAATGGTTACAAGATAAATTAGCATATTAATATGATAGGTTTTATATCGCATTTTAAGATTATGTTACAAGGATAAATAAATAGGAAACTTGAATTTAATTTATTTTCATCATAATATCATATCATAATTATTTGATATAGTTGTTGACTAATTTCATCTCTTGAAGTTAGTTGGCAATGAGATTATAATGTAGAGAAGTTAAAAAGGAGAACAATTTTATATTCTTATCAAAATGAATCATAACTAATATGAAAGAAGAGATAAATTAATAGAAACAACCAGAATACAAATATATAAATATATCAAATGTGTGAGTATGCGTCCAACTATTTAAAGATCTGGTGAACTAATAATGAAGTTTACTAATTTTTCAATTTAATATTTATTTCTTAAAATCATATTGAAATTCTAATTTATTAGAACCTATATAAAATCACGAAGACGAAATTAATGAAAAAGTTAATTTTTATAGCAATTACAGTGATAGAACTATCTTTTAATTAATATTTAGGTAGTAAAGTTAAAAAAATTAATATTAAAGAGGAATAGCTGCGATTGCACAACATTTAATTAATCGAAAAAAGTATAAAAATCAAATTTAAAACAAATTTTACTAAAGATTTTAAAGTCATATTTAAGAGTTTATTCAGAAGTCAAAGAAGATGAAAAATTTCATCTTTACTCGGATAGATTGGAAACAAAATTATGTAAAAGAGTAAATGATACAGAAATTACTCAAAATAGCATAAATATGTTTGATCTTCTTAATTGTTTTACAAGAAGAATCAGCTTGAAACATCCAAATTGAATAGGTTAATGACGATCTATTAATTAAGTAAACTTTTGATTCAAATGTATAAAATGCATTAACCACAACACCTAAATCAGTTAAATATTAAAATTTAAAAAGAAAATTAGAATAAAAATTAATTAGTTACTTTGGCAGATTTGAAATTTTGGAAATTATTAACATCATGAAATCCTTAAGCAATTTGGAATATATTAAAGAAAATTTAGCAATTATTTAATTTCAGATCACGAAAGAAGAAAATGACCTAAAAGCAAAACTTACACAAATAAATTTACTTAGCATTCATGAGTTATCAAATACGGCAAATGAAAATTATAGCAGTTCAAGAGAAAACAATAATATAATAAGTTTGTGATGCATTACAAGGAAGACAATTTAACAAGTTATGACCTTTATGAAGAGTTTATTAATTAATATCAGTATATCGCACAAATTTAATTACTACTAGAATAAATATAAAAGACAATATAATAACTCAATTTTTTTTAAGTAAACCAAAAAGGCAATCACAAGAAATTTATTTCAAATTCTTAAAAAAAAAACAATATAAGTAAACCATTTCCCTCAAAATTAAAAGGCCACTGATAATAGAAATTCAATTCTGCTTGCACAAAAATGCTATCTCTTGTACATAATTTAGGTTGGCAACCCTGGAGCAAAATCATGAATTTCTAGTTTGGTTGAAGAGACTGAATGCAGTGCATTTTAAACTAGAGATTGATTTTGAGTATTCTACCATTGCACTTACTCTATAAAAGTTGAAAAGTTTGCAGTTGCCTAAGAAACAACAGTGCTATTACTATATTATCTGGCGCATATCTTAAGGTTTTGCCTTGTTAAACATGCACTCTAAAAATGATGCACTTGCTGTTTATGAGATGAACCAAAGACAAGACTTTGTCAGACTAATTCTAGTTCTAGCATGACAGTCCTGTGCTGCTACATATTTCCTTACCAATAAAGCTTGTGTAATTGTTCATCGCCAGAATTAGATGTGAATTCTTGGAAATATCTTTGATATAATTCATAAAACTTTTCCAATTCTAAAGGCCTTCTAATGATGACTTTGACTCTTATCCAATACATATTCCCTTTTTACTGCTTTAGCTCTATTTAAATGTCCTTTATACAGAACTTCACTTCTTCTGTACTAAGCACGAATACATCTTGATTTGCTTTGCATGTGACAAACCTAATATTTCCCAACACAACAAGACAAAGTTCACAAATAAGATTGCTACAATCTTTGTTTAAGAGGAAACTTTTGAATCATAACAGTTTTATATAATACAATCTGCAAAGATTGATGCAAAGCAACCATTAATTTATTGATATATTAAGACGTCTCACTAACTTAGCAATTACTAGCAGCCACCATACAATTGATGTCAGAAAGATAATATTAATAAATATTTGGAGAACTTAAACTATTTTTGTATAATTGAATATTTTATTATAATACAATAAAGCTAGCAATATCTTGGTTAGTTAATGTTTGACTTAACGAGAGTCTGCATTCATCTTTATTATGATAGGCGTTGACCTCCTACTTCTGGAAATTAAAGTCAATCTTATCAAAAGATTACTTAACTTGTGAATCTGAATGTTGTCTCTAAATGTAATACTTGGACATTTAATATCTTGTGCATAAGGTGCCGTTTGTGCTTCAGGTTTGAAATGTCAGCGCCTGCCTCTGAAGATTGTTTCCCTGGAAATATATCTGCTGATGAAGAAATTGGGATGAAAATCCTGAATTAAAGCAAAAGAAGATTAATGATGGCATCTCTGAGGAAGCTGTAATCCTTGAAACACTTTTGAATATCATGCATTTTTGGCAAGAAGTGAATTTCATCAACTTTCAGTACATTCTTTTAATGTAGATAAATTCTGCATACTCTTTTCTTGGATTGACGTTCATAATTTTTATCACTGCTTCTTTTTTTTATATCTCAGGACAAATCACCTACTTTATGCATATTTGTGAAGAATACCCTTATCATTAGATGTATAGATGGAAAGCTAGTTATGGATATTGAAATTGTTCTTAACAATCTCTAAATATTAACAAAATCACATTTTAGCATAAACAATCCTAAATTTGCACCAGATAGTAAATATTGTTGGAAGACACATCGCAAGAAAATTATTACAATATTTTATAATCTGAATGAATATAATCGTCAATGTCCTTGGGAAATCATATTCTTAAGTTTATCAACATTTTTGATATAAAAAATAGTTTGAATTATCAAAAGCTCAGTTTATATCTACTGGTATACAATTTAGCAAGTATTTATCGATGTCCCAGACAAATATTGATAGTAGGGCATATATTATAAGTATAAGCATAGTTTTAATACATACAATAAAAAAATATATAGGTTCAGCTAGGAAAATAATTATTACATGCAAGATATGAAAATAAAAAGTACATGTGAATTTTCAAAAGAGACATCATAAAAATATCCAAAGATGCCGCACCAAATATTTATANCTAAGCACGAATACATCTTGATTTGCTTTGCATGTGACAAACCTAATATTTCCCAACACAACAAGACAAAGTTCACAAATAAGATTGCTACAATCTTTGTTTAAGAGGAAACTTTTGAATCATAACAGTTTTATATAATACAATCTGCAAAGATTGATGCAAAGCAACCATTAATTTATTGATATATTAAGACGTCTCACTAACTTAGCAATTACTAGCAGCCACCATACAATTGATGTCAGAAAGATAATATTAATAAATATTTGGAGAACTTAAACTATTTTTGTATAATTGAATATTTTATTATAATACAATAAAGCTAGCAATATCTTGGTTAGTTAATGTTTGACTTAACGAGAGTCTGCATTCATCTTTATTATGATAGGCGTTGACCTCCTACTTCTGGAAATTAAAGTCAATCTTATCAAAAGATTACTTAACTTGTGAATCTGAATGTTGTCTCTAAATGTAATACTTGGACATTTAATATCTTGTGCATAAGGTGCCGTTTGTGCTTCAGGTTTGAAATGTCAGCGCCTGCCTCTGAAGATTGTTTCCCTGGAAATATATCTGCTGATGAAGAAATTGGGATGAAAATCCTGAATTAAAGCAAAAGAAGATTAATGATGGCATCTCTGAGGAAGCTGTAATCCTTGAAACACTTTTGAATATCATGCATTTTTGGCAAGAAGTGAATTTCATCAACTTTCAGTACATTCTTTTAATGTAGATAAATTCTGCATACTCTTTTCTTGGATTGACGTTCATAATTTTTATCACTGCTTCTTTTTTTTATATCTCAGGACAAATCACCTACTTTATGCATATTTGTGAAGAATACCCTTATCATTAGATGTATAGATGGAAAGCTAGTTATGGATATTGAAATTGTTCTTAACAATCTCTAAATATTAACAAAATCACATTTTAGCATAAACAATCCTAAATTTGCACCAGATAGTAAATATTGTTGGAAGACACATCGCAAGAAAATTATTACAATATTTTATAATCTGAATGAATATAATCGTCAATGTCCTTGGGAAATCATATTCTTAAGTTTATCAACATTTTTGATATAAAAAATAGTTTGAATTATCAAAAGCTCAGTTTATATCTACTGGTATACAATTTAGCAAGTATTTATCGATGTCCCAGACAAATATTGATAGTAGGGCATATATTATAAGTATAAGCATAGTTTTAATACATACAATAAAAAAATATATAGGTTCAGCTAGGAAAATAATTATTACATGCAAGATATGAAAATAAAAAGTACATGTGAATTTTCAAAAGAGACATCATAAAAATATCCAAAGATGCCGCACCAAATATTTATAATTTAAGCGTTATATTATAGTAATCTTTATCAATTTCAAATAATATTTTTTCTACTATCTCCATATTCACTATAATACTTTTATTAAAAATCATAATAAAATCTATCTGGTGATTTACAGGATTACTGAAATTTTAGAATTAATATTAAAACATACCAGAAAATACAAAGCTTTAATAAAAGTTTGCGAATACTTTGAATTATATAACTATATTTCAAAGTGACTTACATTAATCATACTCATTTTTTTAAGGAAATTTGCAAGTTTCTATTTAATTTTCTTAAACAAGATAAATTACTTCTCTAGTTAAATAATCAGGAACTTTCCTTCTCTAATTACATTTGTGGTCTAAGTAAAATGTCAAATTAATAGTGATGACTAATTTGAGTTCTCTAATTTTTTGATTAAAAAATATTTATAAGTTAACCTAAATTGCAATTCATATTCTTATTGTCTATGGATATAATAATCTGAACATAATTATAATTTTTCAAAGGCAGTAGATTCATTTCAAAAGATAAATAAAATGAATTGAAGAATATGATTATAGCGAAACAACCATAGATATATCTATGAGCTAAACTAAATATTTTGAATTTAATAGTATATCCATCATTAAATGTAATTTAATGGTTTATTATATAAGATAAATTTTGATTTGGAAATAAATGTCGAATAATATTGAATAAATTCTACCTGCTATATATAACATCCTTTAATCTATCTGAAAAGCGATTAAATATATATAATAAGCCTTAGCCTTTTAGAATTATTCTCTACTATTATGAATGAGATTTCTGGAATATTTTCTAATCAACTTTTATTTTAGTTTTCTTGGAAGGAGTATAATTTCTGATTGTTTAACAATAATAGTATTATATCTGCTTTCAAATTCGTATGATAATATCTCTATTAACTTTAATGTAAAAAGCTTTTCAAAATAGATTTATATAATAGAGGAGTATTGCTTAAAAAATTCAAGATTATTAAAAAATAAACTTTTTGTAGAGCATTTTACAATTCCCTAAAGTTGAAATAGTGTATTTTATTATTGGATTAGCTCTTCATTAATTTAAATTTTAAAATTTCCTTGTCTTAGCAATTTGATTTAGAAACATTTTCTAAAAAGTTCAATTTCAATTAATTGAGACTCAACTTTTAGATCTTTACAATTTTTTCTTTTTTTTTTTTAAATAGAGAATTAGGAAGGAGATTCTTGAATGAATAATTCCACAAATTGTTTCTCAATCAACTCTAGATCTTTCCCTTTTAATCAATAAGGTTTTCATTTCTACTCTATTTAAATAATATGAGGATTTTTTAAATTCCTTTTTATTTTGATAATCTCTACTTAATTTCTACATCTGTGATTTGAATAGTTATAATTCAGTTCGAAAATTAACTTTTTCATTGATTTCGTCTTCGTGATTTTATATAGGTTCTAATAAATTAGAATTTCAATATGATTTTAAGAAATAAATATTAAATGGAAAAATTATTAAACTTCATATATTAGTTCACCAGATCTTTAAATAGTTGGACACATATATTTATATATTTGTATTCTGGTTGTTTCTATTAATTTATCTCTTCTTTCATATTAGTTATGATTCATTTTGATAAGAATATAAAATTTTTCTCCTTTTTATGATCAAAATATCATTTAATTCTATTAAGTATATATTCAGATATCACATAAATTCTATAACTTCTCTACATTATAATCTCATTGCCAACTAGCTAGTTTTTAATTAACCTATGTGGATGAAATTTAAAGAAATTTTATTGGGTTATGTAGGAAACAAGCCTCAATTTACTCACACGCATTCATCATTTTCTATTTCTTCTAGATGTGATGAGCAAGTGCGTAATAATGCATGATTTTGTTGATTTACATCGTAAGTAAAAAATTATTTCATTTGATATTTTGAGCATATTTTAAGTGTTTAGTATTAAAGCTATAAAAATGGTAAAAGATAGGAACTTTTGGACTTTGATGAGTATATTGTAAATTCTAACATTGAAATGAACTTATGAAATAATTTTTAAACATTTTAATAAATAGTAGATTTTATAAATGCTTGAAAAGACTATGATTATTGCTTCACCTCCTCAGATTATTTGAGGATCAAGATCAAATTTTGTAGAATCGATTATTAGGACACAATTCAATAAAATTCAAAATTCTATTACTTTATACTAAGTAAAAAGATCATGATTTAACTTTTAAATCTATTTATCATTACTGATTGAACCAAATAAATTTTTTACAAATAGAAAATTCTTAGCATAGAATTTCTTTCATTTGAACATAAAAACCAATAAGTATCCATTCATGTGTACTGAAAAAATCTCTTAATTAAAATTTCCTCATTACTTTATCTCTAAAAGGATTATTCAAATTAATTACTATTTTAGAGATATTTTGAATATAAATTTTCAACTATCAATTCATAAACTTGTTGTTATGTTACACACTAAGTGGTATTCAAATTTATTAAATGGAAGTTAATCTAATATTAATAATATCATAGCAGTTCCTTTAAGAAAATTTTGAAACTAAATATTTTAAATTAACTTAATGGTATTAATGAATAATGTGTAACATAATTTGTTAGCTATTTATATGTTTTTATTTTTTTTATTAATTTGTGTTATAATTAATAGTATTAAATTTTATTCTATTTACCCATCTTAAATTTGAAATTTAAGTGAATTGAATGAATTTCAATAATTATGAACAATGGATATCAATAATGTCAGATTTATAGTTTGAAATAAAATTAAAAATAAGAAGAAGCGCAAATCGAATACTTTGTCTATCAAGACTTATAAAACTTGATTAATCTATTATATTCAAAATAAGCTGTACTAGAACATTTTCACAATAATCCGAATAATCAAATGGTTACTTTGAGTGATAACAAAATAATTTTACAATTAAATTTATCAGGTGGAATCCATCAAGATTTGCAATAACAATATTCAAATAATCCTTATTTATCATCTAAATTACAACATGAAAGAAATTATGCTTTATAGACACTCAAGAATGTAGCTTAATAATTTGAAAATCAATTTAATCCTTTTAGTTAAAATTAAGAACTTGTTAATGATCCAATTGGATTATATTTAAAGAAGTATATAAACAATTATGAATCGGGTTAATTTGAAAAGAATCAATTTGAATTATTGAAAACCGATCTTGAATCTTAATTTAATTAGTAGGTTTTATAAAAAGTTATTTCTTCAATTCAAACTGTTGATACCTAGATAAATTAAATAAGACAGGATGGCAACTAAAAACCAACCTAGGAGTAGATAATTTAAAGAGCCGAGTAATAGTCTATATATTTTTAGATAATATAAGCAAATGACGAAAATTAAATTGATTTCTTAGAATAATTTAGCAAATTAAAATTACAAATAAGAAATAATGGACAAAAATGATTATTCCTTAGAGAATACAACTCGACAATAATAAATATGCTCAAATTTTTAATAAGCAAAGAAATCATTATAATCAAATATTAATATTGAATAAGAGAAATTATTAGAATTTATATAATACTTAGAAAATCATAAATAAACAAGAACTCAATCATTATTTCATAGTGAAGCAGAAAAGTTGTTTGTTCAAGCAAAAAATTTCTTAGCATGTGGTAATAATTAAAGTATTTTTGAAAATTCTTTTGAAATTTAATTATCAAAATTCCCAGATCTTTTAAAGCTTTAGATCATATTATTTTATTACTTTGTATTGTTCCTTGAGTACTTTTACAATAATAGAGCTCATCAATATTAAGAGCTCTTCAATATGATTGAAGAAATTATCCATAATAGTAAAAGTAAAGAAATAATAGATGTTCGCTTTTTTTAATATTTAGTAAATCAAAAAGATTTGATAAAAAGATATTTGGCTTAAAATATTTAAATTAATAATAGACAAGAGCCTCATGTTCATTAAAGAATTTAAGAGTTAGACTATATTTGGAGTATGTATAATGGATTTTGTATCTCTTATCAGGTTAAAAGGAATTGAAGGATTAGGATATGTTTAGAATATAAATTCTAAAACTATAAAATTTTAAGAATGTATATAAATTTTTTCTTGATATTTTTACAAATCTATTGATCTATAATTTGAATAAAATACAAATTATCATATAAGATTATTTATCAGCTCAATTTTGTATAATTCATTATTAATAACACTCCGGGTTTCATCTATAATAGAGTAATAGATTTTATTAACATTTTTAAAAGTACAACAAGTTTCTCAATGATTATAATTTATTTAAACGCTAATAATTATTTCTTTACGATGTACATGTTACATATTTTTCAGTAATAAAGCTGTGCATTTTTCTTATTAATAGAAATAATTATCTTTTTGAATTTAAAATTAAATCTTGATCTTGCTTTGCAGATCTTCAAATTATCTTCATTTCAAAAACTTTAATTGTTTTGTATTCTTCATTTAAATTTGTTCATTTTCTCAACTGCGGTATTATATTTTATTATTTTAGGTATGCTCGCATAAGTTTAACATCAATCTAGGTTGCATTTTAAGACTGTTGAATTTATATTGTTGAAGTTGGCAATAGATTCTATTATTGATTGTGCTTAAAAGTAAAACGTAATATTAATAATTGAGTAATATTAAAGTAACATGATAATAATAATATCATTCAGCTTATCGGATTAATACTAGGACTAATAATGTGTGGATCCTAGATGAACTTGAATAATTCAATTATTTGTGGCAAGAATATTGTTAATTTCTACATAATTTGCTTGTTAAAATAACAATGCTATAAGCACTAAGAGGAATGACAAATATCAATAATTGAATGGTTAAATTTCCACCAAAAATTTATACAATTAAACCTTGATCAGAAACTAAAAGCGATTTAAAATTTTAATGCCAACAGATTTATATGATAAGAGTTAACTGTTTTCTATGACTGGATTATGATTAAAAAATTTCTGCTATAAAAAATAAATTAACTTTAGGTTCTACTCTATTTGACTATTTAAAATATATTTGGTCAAAATAAATTTGCAGGATAGAGTAGTTTTTTTGTTGAGGAACTAATTCATTATCTGATTGCTCTTATTAAAACAATGCTTTTTAGGATCTGTTAATTACAGACTAAGTATGGATATTCAGCACTATAGTGTATCAACTAGAAAATAATCTGCCTTCATTGCTTATTGTGAAGTTGGAGATGATGTGGAGGTAGTTAACAATATTGATGTCTGTAATGCCTCTCATTTTTAATTTTGTGAATTGATATGCATAGATTATACCCAACCCCAACCCCAAACCCAAACCCAAACCCAATCCAAACCCAAACCCAACCCCAAACCCAAAACCCGAAAAAATTATGCAATCAATATTTAAACATCTATTTAGACAGCTTTATCAAACAGTCCTTGCCACAATAAATGATTGAATATGAAAGACTAGATTCAGCTAGTTTATTATGTTTATACCCAATATTGATAGATGAGGTAATTATCATATATTCTTAAGTACAGAAAATCTAATATTGTCACCTAAGTGTTCAATTAGTACCAAAAATTGAGTTTGATAACACAATTTCCATTAGTAAATATTATAAATAAAGATTGATCTTATGATCTTACTTGAACATCCAAACTGAATTTGGTCAAACAAAATTAATATCTTGTTGTTTTGTTCTTCAATGCCTTCTTTAAGGTTTCTAAAATTAGAAATTTTATAGAAATGTTCTAATATTTTTTTATGAATTCAAGTCTATTTTTACTCTAATTTATGAATCAAAATTAATGATTTTAAATTCAATGAGTAACTTTCAGATTTTATCATTCCAAAATACTAAAACTAAAAATCTCCAGTTGGAGATTTGAAATTACTGATAAATATTTCCAGAAATTACACCAAGTTTAATTATATCTATTATATAATTAGTTTAGATTTTGCAAAATAGTAATCTGTTTTATAATCTAATTTAACTTTAATCTGTGCAACTATACATTCAACATGAAACTCTACTTTAGAAATAATCATTCTCACAATATTTTCGTAAGTGATCATAAGTATAAATTGAAATAAAATATCATTGTGCATTTGATGTTTTGTAAATAATAAAAGGAGCCAGACCAAAGAAGAGAAAAGATTGTTCTAAGAATTACATCAAATTCATAATTTGATTATTGAAGATAGATTTATTAAAAATACAATTTATATTATTTTTTTTTAATTTCCAATGAGGCTTAAATTACACTTCTATCATTGAAAATGAAAACTCAGGTAAATTTAAATCATATTTGTAAAAAATGCATTAAAAGAGAATTTATAAAGATTAAATTATATTTGTTTTAATTTATTTTTAATCATTCTCATAGTTAACCTTTGGAAACTAAAATTGATTTATTAAATCAATACGTGATAAACATTCAAACATGGCTATGAAGAGGTGAACTCTTAAATTACTCCAGCAAAATAGTTTATCAATTTTACAATTATTTCAGGACCCATAAGAATTGATTTGATTTTACTTGGAATTTCATTTTGTAACTTGGATTTTTCTCCCTAACATATTTAAAATAATGTTCCTAAGTAATTACATTCACTATAAAAGTTAACACATGGAATAGTAAGTCTCAAAATAAAGTCTCTGAAACCCCAAGATTCTAGAAGTCATTCAATTTATACCATCCCAAAGATTTTTCACCTGAATTATTTTGTAGATTGTCTTTTAACTTTATTTTTAAATCAGTTCCTGTAATTTAAAATCTTAATGAAAGAGGCTAAAGTAAATCTTCCCACATCTCGTTTCTACAGATCATTGTTCCATCATGATAATCCAATTTTAAATTTTCTATTTAAACATCGTTTGTATGAATCTCCAATCCTTCTTTATCCCAAGAGTCTAGTTTCCAAATACCAACTTTTAATTCAATTAAGTAATGTCTTGGTCACCATTGTTTAATATCCATAAGGGCCCATTAATAGGCTTTTAACTTAGTTTCCACATCTATCTAAAGTCGAAGAACTTAACCCAACGATTTAAAAATCCGTATATCTACAATCAGCTACGTGCCTGTTAAACAATTTTCATATATTATCGATTTCAGAAATGATATCTTCAGAAATGAAATCATTGTCTATGTTGTTTATAATTAAATAATTATTGAAAGCTATGTATACGTATGATAACAATTTCGCAAAGAAAATTAATTTCAGATTATTAACTAGAAGAGTTATTTAAAATGTTAAATCACATTTTAAAAAAATTTTTAATCATTTAAAATTTTAATTAAAGAATTATTTATCATTTGTTTTAGATATTCTTATAATCGGCGTTTATTCGCATTTGATTACAATCACAGTATAAAAAATATTGTTTTGAAAATAATGTTTTTGTTGAATTTCATGGATCTTTATTCTATATTGTGATCTTAGATTTGAATGAACAAAAAAATTATTGTATTACTAAGTTATAATTACTTTCATATATTTTTTTTTAATTTATTGATCAAATGAATCCTATTCTCTGATGCTGCTTGATACTTGAATATAAAAACAAAACAGAATAAAGTCTGAATCACTTGTATTTTTTTAGTAAACTTAGAGGTAAAACAACATTTGAGGGAATGATAGCAAATTAGCATAACTAAATGAAAATTAAATATAGTTTTTTTTTCGTGATAGAGAATTTAACCGTTCATTTAACTTTGAACTAATGAGCATGTCTCAAATTCTTTCATAAAAAAAATGTAGAAATAAATTTCATATAAGATGTTATTAAAATTTTTCAGCAGATAGAAAATAAATGATACTCATAATATTTAATAATTATCAATCTTATTTCAATTTTATTAGTTTTTCTAATATCAAACAAATTTTAGATTTGAATAATGGTTTTAGATCCTTACCTTAATAATTTCAAAAACTCCTCTCAATAAAGCTCCTTGCATATTCGTCGTATTGTACGATAAACATTGCTAAGTAATGGTGCTGTTAAATAAGATTTAATGAAATGGATCAACTTTAAAGCGGCAATTTAAATTATGATAGAAGGTCTTTGTACCAATTATCTTGAGGTAAAATCTCTTTCGCTGTCTTTATATCCCATAAACGAATAGAGCTATCATAACTACCAGATGCAAATATTGTACCATTAGGATAGAAATTGACTGACACAACATAACCAGAATGACCATCTAATATATTTAACTCATACATTTTAATATTTTTTCATTTACAATTTAACAATTAGGTTTAATTCAAGTTCATCCCATTTATGTCCACATTATCAAATTCTGATCCAATGAAATTCATTTCGACTAATAAATTGAGTGCATTCGATCCACTTTACATAGCAATATCAGTTAAATGTACAATAAATTAAAAAAAATTGCACTCTGATCTCAACATTTATAATTTTTTCCCTTAAAGTTGACTTTATCTTTACATATAATTCTGTAAAGTAATTCTGTTTATTAAAGTCAATTTGATAAATTTTTCTCATTACTTAAACTGATAAACAATGTCATTATATATCTTCTATTTCATTTATTAGAATAAAACAAATCATCAACAACATCAAATACTCACCTATAAAATCAAGAAATGCATTAATGATTAAACATTCATATATTAAATTTCTTACTTTAAGTATTTAATCTTTGGAATTCCTGTTAATTATGTATATAAATTATGCAAAATTATTGGTGAAAGTAGTTTCTTTTGGATGTAATTAACATAAAGCTTATTTAAGATTATTAGATGGTTGTTAGGAATGGATAAAATTATGATCTCTAAATCTTTTTAGGGGTTAGAATACTTAATGATGATTAATATATTTTTTCAGTCCTTGATTATATCTAATACTTTTAATATCAATAAAAAATAACTTTGTTATCATTTAAGATTGTTTCTAAGATCAAGTTTATTTCTTATAATTCTTGAAATGTATCTTTCAAAAAAATAAAATTAACTTTTATTTCGAAGGGAGTCCCCGGATAAAAGTTGACTTTAGGTCCAAGCGTCAAGTGGCCCCGGAAAGTGGACAGTGCTGACAATTACTATATTGGAAGCCCCTATTAACGGCGATAACATCAATGTGACATAAATAGGAGATCCCATCANAGGGCCCATTAATAGGTTTTTAACTTAGTTTCCACATCTATCTAAAGTCGAAGAACTTAACCCAACGATTTAAAAATCCGTATATCTACAATCAGCTACGTGCCTGTTAAACAATTTTCATATATTATCGATTTCAGAAATGATATCTTCAGAAATGAAATCATTGTCTATGTTGTTTATAATTAAATAATTATTGAAAGCTATGTATACGTATGATAACAATTTCGCAAAGAAAATTAATTTCAGATTATTAACTAGAAGAGTTATTTAAAATGTTAAATCACATTTTAAAAAAATTTTTAATCATTTAAAATTTTAATTAAAGAATTATTTATCATTTGTTTTAGATATTCTTATAATCGGCGTTTATTCGCATTTGATTACAATCACAGTATAAAAAATATTGTTTTGAAAATAATGTTTTTGTTGAATTTCATGGATCTTTATTCTATATTGTGATCTTAGATTTGAATGAACAAAAAAATTATTGTATTACTAAGTTATAATTACTTTCATATATTTTTTTTTAATTTATTGATCAAATGAATCCTATTCTCTGATGCTGCTTGATACTTGAATATAAAAACAAAACAGAATAAAGTCTGAATCACTTGTATTTTTTTAGTAAACTTAGAGGTAAAACAACATTTGAGGGAATGATAGCAAATTAGCATAACTAAATGAAAATTAAATATAGTTTTTTTTTCGTGATAGAGAATTTAACCGTTCATTTAACTTTGAACTAATGAGCATGTCTCAAATTCTTTCATAAAAAAAATGTAGAAATAAATTTCATATAAGATGTTATTAAAATTTTTCAGCAGATAGAAAATAAATGATACTCATAATATTTAATAATTATCAATCTTATTTCAATTTTATTAGTTTTTCTAATATCAAACAAATTTTAGATTTGAATAATGGTTTTAGATCCTTACCTTAATAATTTCAAAAACTCCTCTCAATAAAGCTCCTTGCATATTCGTCGTATTGTACGATAAACATTGCTAAGTAATGGTGCTGTTAAATAAGATTTAATGAAATGGATCGACTTTAAAGCGGCAATTTAAATTATGATAGAAGGTCTTTGTACCAATTATCTTGAGGTAAAATCTCTTTCGCTGTCTTTATATCCCATAAACGAATAGAGCTATCATAACTACCAGATGCAAATATTGTACCATTAGGATAGAAATTGACTGACACAACATAACCAGAATGACCATCTAATATATTTAACTCATACATTTTAATATTTTTTCATTTACAATTTAACAATTAGGTTTAATTCAAGTTCATCCCATTTATGTCCACATTATCAAATTCTGATCCAATGAAATTCATTTCGACTAATAAATTGAGTGCATTCGATCCACTTTACATAGCAATATCAGTTAAATGTACAATAAATTAAAAAAAATTGCACTCTGATCTCAACATTTATAATTTTTTCCCTTAAAGTTGACTTTATCTTTACATATAATTCTGTAAAGTAATTCTGTTTATTAAAGTCAATTTGATAAATTTTTCTCATTACTTAAACTGATAAACAATGTCATTATATATCTTCTATTTCATTTATTAGAATAAAACAAATCATCAACAACATCAAATACTCACCTATAAAATCAAGAAATGCATTAATGATTAAACATTCATATATTAAATTTCTTACTTTAAGTATTTAATCTTTGGAATTCCTGTTAATTATGTATATAAATTATGCAAAATTATTGGTGAAAGTAGTTTCTTTTGGATGTAATTAACATAAAGCTTATTTAAGATTATTAGATGGTTGTTAGGAATGGATAAAATTATGATCTCTAAATCTTTTTAGGGGTTAGAATACTTAATGATGATTAATATATTTTTTCAGTCCTTGATTATATCTAATACTTTTAATATCAATAAAAAATAACTTTGTTATCATTTAAGATTGTTTCTAAGATCAAGTTTATTTCTTATAATTCTTGAAATGTATCTTTCAAAAAAATAAAATTAACTTTTATTTCGAAGGGAGTCCCCG